TTTAAATTATATAATAAATTTAATATTTATATATAATATTTATTAATATTAAAGTTAATAATATTAATTTAAATTAATATAATTTAATTTATTAATATAAAAATATTTTTAATAATAAATAATATTATAATATAATAAATTATAAATTTTTATAAAAAGTTTTATATAATAAATTTATTTAAATTAATTTTTAATTTAATAATAAAATTAAAAATAAATATAAATAATTTATATAAAAAGTTTTATAATAAATTTATAATTATTTAATATTATTTAATATTAAAAATATTTTTATATTAATATATTATATTATATTTAATTTATTTATATTAATATTATTTATTTATTAAAAATTAAAATTATTATAAATTATATATTATTTAATTTTAATTTTAATATTATTTAATATTATATATATTTTATATAATTAAAATATATTACTTAAAATAAATAAAAATATTATTTTAAAAACTTTTAACTTTTAAAATATTATTTATTTAATAAATTTAAAATAATTATATTTTATTATTATTTTAAATTTATAATTTTAATAATTTTATTATAAATAAAAAACTATTATTAATAATTAAATATATAATTTTATAATAATAAATATTTATTTTAAAAATATTATTATTATTTAAAATAATTAATAAATTTTAATTTTATTAAATTTAATATTAAATAAAATTAAAAAATAAATAAAATAAAATTAAATTATAATATAATATAATAAAATAATTATAATTATAAACTTTAACTTTATATTAAAATATATTATATATATATAATAAATATAATAAATATAATAAATATAATAAATATAATAAATATAATAATATAATAAATATAATAAATATAATAAATATAATAAATATAATAAATATAATAAATATAATAAATATAATAAATATAATAAATATAATAAATATAATAAATATAATAAATAAAAATATAATAAATATAATAAATATAATAAATATAATAAATATAATAAATATAATAAATATAATAAATATAATAAATATAATAAATATAATAATATATATTAATAATATATAATATAATAAATATAATAAATATAATAAATATAATAATATATAATATAATAAATATAATATAATAATATAATAAATATAATAAATATAATAAATATAATAAATATAATAAATATAATAAATATAATAAATATAATAAATATAATAAATATAATAAATATAATAAATATAATAAATATAATAAATATAATAAATATAATAAATAAAATTAATATTATTTATTTAATAATTATATTTATTTATTTAATTTTATTAATTATTTTATTAATATTAATTAAATAATAAAAGTTAAAAGTTTAAAGTATTAAAAGGTTAAAAGAAATATTAAAAGGTTAAAAGTATATAATTTTATTTTTACTTTTTTAACTTTTAATACTTTAATATTTAATTAATATTTAAATATTTAGTTAATATTTAAATATATATAATTTAAAAGTTTAAAAATAATATTAAAAACATTAAAAATATTAAAAATATTAAAGTATATTAAAAGATATTAAAAAATAAGAAATTTATATTAAAAATATTAAATTTAAAATTTTAATTAAATATATAATTTTATATAAACTTTATATATAATTTTATATTAAATAAATAATTAAAAACTTAAATAAAATAAATATAATTATAAAATAAATAAATATTAACTTTAATAAAATATAATAAATATAATAAATAAAATAAATATAATAAATATAAAAATATAAAAATATAAAATAAAATATAAAAATATAAAATATAAAAATATAAAAATATAAAAATATAAAAATATAAAAATATAAAAATATAAAAATATAAAAATATAAAAATATAAAATATAAAAATATAATAAATATAATAAATATATAAATATATAAAATAAATAAAATATATAAATATATAAAATATATAATATATATAAAATATATAAAATATATAAAATATATAAAATATATAAAATATATAAAAATATATGAATATATAAAATATATAAAATATATAAATATATAAAATATAAAAATATAAAATATATAAAATATATAAAATATATAAAATATATAAAATATATAAAATATATAAAATATATAAAATATATAATATATAAAATATATAAATATATAAAATATATAAAATATATAAAATATATAAAATATATAAAATATATAAAATATATAAAATATATAAAATATATAAAATATAAAAATATATAAAATATATAAAATATAAAAATATAAAAATATATAAAATATAAAATATTAAATTTATTAAAATAAATAAAAATAAAATAATTATTTTTAATTAAAATTTAATTTTATTTTATAAAAAGTTTATTTATTAATTATATATATAAAGTTATTTTAAAAAAATTTATAATATATTATATAATTTATTATTTATTTTTAATATAGAATTAATATAATTATAATTATAATTTTTAATTAATTTTAATTAATTATTTTATTATAATTTAATTTAATTTAAATTTATATAAATTTATATAAATTATTTTAAATTTTTAAATTTTTAAATTTTTAAATCTTTTAATTTTATTAAAATATATTAATTATTTTTATATAATTATAAATTTAATTATTAATATTTATTTCTTATAAAATTATAAAAATTATAAATTTAAATAATAAAATATAAATATTTATTAAATAATTATATTTTAATTTAATAAAATATAATAAATAAAATAATTATTTATAAAAATAATTTATAAATTTATTTTTATTATTTTATTTATTTATATTTAAATTATATAATAATTTTATATATTATATTTAATAATATAAAAATTAAATTATAATTTATAATAACTTTAATTTTAATAAATTAATTTATATTAAAATTAATAATATTATTTTAAATTAATATTATTTAATATATTAATATAAAAATTATTTTTAATAATAAATAAAATTAAAATAATAATAATAAATTATAAAATTATTATAAAATTTTATATAATAAATTAATTTAAAATTAATTTTTAAAAATATATTATATTTTTTAAAAACTTTTAATTATTTATTTTTAATTTAATAATAAAATTAAAAATATAAATAATTTATATAATTAATTTATAATTTATATTTATTTATTAATATTTTATTTAAAAATTTTAATTAAAATTTATTTTTATATAATTTAATTAAAATTTATTTTAATAATTTAAATACTTTATATTTTATAAATATAAAATTAAAATTAAAAACTTTAATTAAAATTTAAAAGTTTTATAAATATTTATATATTTAAAATTAAATTTATAATTTTAAAGTTTTTAAAATATAATATTTTTTAAAATATATATTATTTATAATAATATATTAATTATATTTATAAATAAAATTTTATTTATATATAATTAAAATATTAATTATTAATAATTATTTTCTTTTATTAAATTATAAAATAATTATTTTAAATAATTTATATAATAAATAAATAAATATTTATTTAAATAAAATTATAATTTTAATAAAAAATAATAATTATATTTTATATAATATTTATTAATATTAAATTTAAAATATTATATTAATATTATATTTTTAATATTTTATTATTTTAATAAATATAAATATTTATATAATATTTTAAATAAAATAAATATATTATAAAATATTTATATTATATATTTTATTATTTTATTATTTTATTATTTTATTATTTTATTATTTTATTATTATATTATTTTATTATTTTATTATTTTATTATTTTATTATTATATTATTATATTATTATATTATTTTATTATTTTATTATTTTATTATTTTATTATTTTATTATTTTATTATTTTATTATTTTATTATTTTATTATTTTATTATTATATTATTTTATTATTTTATTATTTTATTATTTTATTATTATATTATTATATTATTATATTATTTTATTATTTTATTATTTTATTATTTTATTATTATTATTTTATTATTATTATTTTATTATTTTTAAAAATAAAAAAAATTAATAAAATTTTTTTAATTTTTTTTATTATTATTTACTTATTTTTAAAAGTTTAACTTTTTTTCTTAGGGTTAGGGTTATGTGAAGTAGTGGGGTGGGTGTATTAAGGAAAGTGTGCATGAAATGTGGATTTGGGGTTTTGTCGCAAAAAAGCGTTTGGTCCATTTTAAGCACACCACCAAGTCGAGCTGCAGGTCACCGTGCGAGTGGGGCCAGTTAACCTCCGATACTGAAATCCGGGGAAGACAAGGATGTCAAATCGACCCCACAGTTGCAGCAGCTCCCCGGGCGTAGCCCAGCACTTGAGCCTTGACGAGAAGATCACGAGCTGTGCGAATTTGAATGGCTGCCAAAATGCATGCAACGCAGGATAGATGAAAAATGCAACATGGCCTCGTTAGAGATCAAAAAGGGCCGACAATATCGAGATCAACATATGACAAAGCCACAGGAGGCTGAATGGCCATCGGCATCAACATGTGCCTCTCTCTCTCTGCATCAAGCAGAATGCTGGAGCAATGCACCCTGGGGGCCATGGGAAATCGGGACAGCTTGCGGAGAAAGTTCCTCCAGATCTGAATCCTAATCGCTTGAACGGACCGGCAACCGACATTCCGCATGTGTGCCACGTGAACAGCTTCAGCCTTCACGCTGAGGACAACCGCCAGCTATTGGGCGCCACCTTGGGCGAACCAGTTGACCCCTGCCTCGCGGAATCCTCACTACTACGCACATGCATATAGTTGGAGCAAGGGATGGCAGGTGGGTGGTTCTGGACCGAGCGGCAGCTTACACCTAAAATTCGGGGTTCTGGCGAAAAGTATATAGATACACGTAGTGGACGGCGAACCCCGTTTTTGTTGGGCTTCGCTCCTTAGGTTTTCTCTCTTGGCTCAGCCTTATACATCGGTGAATCATACCTCGTCAATCTTAGGAGTCCTGCCGAGTCACATTTCGTTAACTCTGCTGGAACCTTTCACCATGGGCAAGACCACCTTCACCCTCGCGGGCCGGGAGTGGGCCAAGATTACGTGGTGGAAGACCAAGCACATGCGATCCCTCTACCTTTTTCTGTGGGCTGCGATGTTGACTTCGGCCACTAATGGTAAGGCAATGAACGTCTTTGGACCTGATGTGTCTGATTTTAACCTCTTGGAGTCGTATAGGTTACGATGGTTCCCTCATCAACGGTCTGCAGAGCATGACTCAGTGGCAGGACTATTTCAACCACCCAAGCCCTTCTATCATGGGCCTGCTGACGGCTTCGATGGCGATGGGCTCGATGCTCGCTATCCCTATCGTTCCCTACTGTGCAGATATTCTCGGACGTCGCATGGGCGTGGTTATCGGTTGCGCCATCATGCTGGTGGGGATTGCCTTGCTCTCAATGGGCTTTCACATTGCCATGTTCATCATGGGCCGACTATTACTCGGCTTCGGCATTGCTATCGCTCACGGATCCGCCCCCCTCCTGATCGCAGAACTCGTGCACCCGCAGCACCGCGCTGTCTACTCGACCATCTACAACACCCTGTGGTACCTCGGCTCCCTCATCGGCGCTTGGGTCTCCTTTGGGACGAACAACATTGCTGGTGACTGGTCCTGGCGCGTTCCCTGCCTTCTGCAGGCGATCCCGTCGTTATTCCAGATCTTCTTCATCTGGTTCGTCCCAGAGTCTCCCAGGTGGCTTATCGCCAAGGGAAAGCATGCTAAGGCAAAGGCCATCTTGACCAAGTACCATGCTTCGGGCGACGAGAATGACGAGCTCGTCGCCGTCGAGTACCACGAAATCCAGCAAACCATCTCTCTCGAGCAAGAGTACGAGAAGACTTCCTGGAGCGAGCTGTGGTCAACTCCCGGCAACCGCCACCGTCTCCTTATTCTTGTCAGCTTTGGTCTGTTCTCCCAGTGGTCTGGCAATGCTTTGGTGTCGTACTACCTCTCCGGTGTGCTCGAGACGGTCGGAATCACGGACGACAAGACCAAGCTGGAGATCAACGGTTACCTCTCCATCGTGCAGCTCGTCTCGGCCGTTGGCATTTGCTTCTTTGTCGACAAGATCGGCCGTCGTCCCTTGTTCCTCACGTCTTGCGTGGGCATGCTGGTGTCATTCATCGTTGAGACCATTGGATCCGCCCAGTACGCCAAGACTGAGAGTACTGCCGCTGGTCACGCAGTCATTGTCTTCATCTTCATCTACTTCATCTTCTACAACTTGGGCTTCTGTGGTCTTCTCGTTTCATACTCAACCGAGATTCTGCCCTACAGGATCCGCGCCAAGGTATGTTCTTTGCACCCCCGTGATTGCTGTATTCGGAACATACTGATGCTAACTCGCGTCTCCACAACAGGGTCTCACAGTCATGTTCCTGTTCGTCGACATCGCGCTTTGGTTCAACCAATACGTCAATCCCATCGCCCTGGAGGCTATCACCTGGAAGTACTACCTGGTCTATGTCTGCTGGATTGCCTTTGAGACGTTTGTCGTCTGGAAGTGGTTCATCGAGACCAAGAACACCCCTCTTGAGGAAATCGCCAAGTACTTCGACGGCGACTCCGCCATTGTTGGTGGTGATGCTGCTACTGCCAAGGCACGCCACCTCGCCGGCGACGAGGATGAGGTCAGCGAGACCAAGGGCGAGCATTCCGTTGTCTCGACCACAGCACGCGTCTAAGCAGTGTTTTCGGTCTAACAACTAGCCATTCGAGGTTGCATATAGCTTATAGGCTGCCTGATGGCTGAAGATGTTGTTTTTGAGTTCAATGTTGCTTTTAATACTGAGGTAGTGAACAAGGTATAAATAAATGAGAGTTATCCTCTACTACGATCCCATAACATCGAGCCACATATTGTGACTTGGTTTAATTCGATGAAAATGGACTATTAATCACCACAGATGAGTCAATTCACAGTCAATGTGTTTTCTCTTCCGAAATGAGGAGTAAGAAAGTCGGCCAAACCAGGCCCCTATAACACTGGCTATCATTTTATTGCGATAAACACTTGAAGACGAGAGATAGGGTTATAACACAACCCCAAGGGGAAGAATTCGAAGCGAAGAAGAACGTACCCATTCTGACGGGTATCTCAAAGGATTATTTCATAATATCTTTATGCCTGATCGCAATTTTATCATTGTTCAACCACTCGAGATAATTGATTGTGGATGGGCGAAAACATTGCTCGGGTCCAAAGTCGCCTTGAGCTCCTTTAGCCTCGACACCAACTCATCGCCATAGTATAGCCGATTCGCCTCATCAGCACCAAGAGTGGGATCGGCATAGTTTATATACGCGCCGTACTGGACCCCCTCGTCATCCAAGACATCCGTAATGGCCCCATTGAGCCCGTTCATGAACTCGATTCCCGTCTGAGGAAACGCGTCGTCGGCCCCAACGAATCCATAGTTCTGCACCGTCCACATAAGGTTACGATGCCCATACGCGGAGAACTCGGGGCCCCGCGTGTTAATCTGGCTGTCTGCTCCACCGTCCAGGTTAACAATGGCAAACCATGACACGGGTGTTGGCGGGTTCGCGCCCTGGGTCGCGATGTAGCTCATGTAACTCCTCAGTGCCGCGGCAGAGAACCCCGGCTCCGGGACGGCTACGCTCTTGGCAAAAAAGTTGCCTCGCGCCGTGTACGGCTCAGCGGTAGACACGACCAAACCTCCTCCATTCAGGTTCTCTAAGTTGGCTCGCCAGTCGAGTTCCTGCACAGTCACTGGCGACGAGGGCTGGGGCAAACCGCGCAAAAGCTCGGGTGATATGGTGTTGTTGAAGTCGCTTGGTGATCCGAGGTACACACCGCGGACCTGGAAGCCGTTCGCACCGAGGGTAATTCCGAAACTGAGGTTGCGTGTTGTCACCGAGGCGTTCTGGGCCAGGGTCTGGAGATGTATGAAGGATGACACGGCGGTATCAATGCTGGTTGCTGGGGCGGCGCCGGGGAATGAGAAGCCGAAATAGGTCGTCACGGCGGGAGCTGGCTGGGTCTGAAGGTACAGGGTTGTCGCGATGCCAAAAGACGGAGCAGCCCCTCGCATCACCTGAGCGTGGTTAGTCCGTGTTGTTAGATGTTTCGTCGTGCTATTCCATTTCGGTCGACTCACAAAGTATAAATCAGGGTTCTCCTCTGCCGAAGCATGGACGATCTCACCATCCGCCTTTACAACATCCAGTCCCACAATCTGGTCCAAGGCCATACCCCAGGCTCGAGAGGTATACCCATACCCTCCCAGACTGAAGTGGCCGCCTACGCCAACTCCAGCACAGGTGCCATGTGCTAGGGCTCGACCCTTCTCATTCAAAGTCAGAGCCATATTACCCAGCCTTGCTCCAGCACCCACAGACGCGATTCCACTGGTGTCGACGACAGTAACGTTGTGGAAGCGCTGCAGATCAACTACCATAGACCCATCCTTTCCACCCGAGCTTGTCGAGGCATATGAGTGGCCACCTGACTTGGCTTGGACCTTTATGCCATTTTGAGAAGCACAGGCGACCGCGTCGGACACTTGCTGATTCGTCTCGGGAATGATAATAACCGCGGGGTCAAATTGGAGACGAATATTGTAGCTGGTGACGAATTCAGTCCAGTTCGCACTCGTGGAAACTGCTAGCGGGACCGATTTGTTGCCCAGACAGTCGAGCAAGCCAGTCTGCCGGGTCCTCAGCAAGGCAGTGGACGGGGTGAGGCCGGCAGAGCCAACTTGCGCGAAGACGCATATCGCCGCGAGCGAACTGATGGTATTCATGACTTCCCAGCGTTCTCTACAGTATGAACAGGAAGTCCACAAAATTTGAAAAGTTGAGATCAGGCAACCATGGGCGGGCTCGACGCCATGCTGAAGAAATTTCTCAGCTGGAGCACAAATGTCTTACTTTGGCCGCTGTGTGACTTTGCACCGTCCACCATTTCTGCACTTCTTGTATGCCGCTGCTTCCGTTCATCCTGGATTCAACAAGCTCAGCGATGATCAGGAGACTTTAGCGTTCAGTGTGACTCGTCTTGGTTCATGCATGCCCGGATTACCCTGCTGGAATCGCCAAACCTAACCTTATGCCATTCCGAGCAAACCTACGACGGATATCGGGGAGGATATCTACCCCATCAAAACGTTGAGAAAAGTCGTCTCTAATAGTAGGAGACTCTTGTGACAAGTCATCCGTGTCACAATCAGGGACACAGAGCTTCTCATGTAACGCATGCACAGGTGTGACCGGAACGGCTCACAGCAAACCTTATTGGCACATGGCAAGTGCTAAATCCGGTCACTGAATTAGGGGCCTTACCGGGAGCCGTAACGCAAATCTCGCCAAGAAAACCAATAGTATTAACCAGGAAGTCTCACCTGCCAAGGTTGTGGCGCGGTCGCTGAAGGAGACAGGGATATCTGCAGCGCATGGGATGAACCTGTCAACCCCGCAATGTGACAGACACCTCAGGACAATATGTTGCAAATAAAGCCCAATCACAGAGGTTACGATGTAAAGAATGGCCGACTCCACAAGTGTACGTGACAGTCGATGGGAGATTCCATTTCACCCATTCAACATTTCACGCACCATTCTTCCTTGCTTTGCACTCTTCTGATCGCCGAATAATGCTCAGCTACCATAAGCTTCGAGGTATAAAGCAGTCGGACAAATCCACGAATAGAGAAAAGCACCATTGCTTCAGATAATCCTTTTATAACACAAAAGAGTGCATACATCAAGTTGGCCCCACGCATCTCGATGCATCGAAGTGCTCTCGAGTGCCAGCCAGGACTTGGAAAGCGGACAACACTCATCCTCAGCACTCCACGCACCCGCTCAAGGTCCATCTATATCTCCAGATATCGTCTCAGTCGCTCATTCACCCATTCCTGACGAATTGAGTGATTTGTTCTTTGTGGTCCACAGAGAAACGCTGAATACTTAAGTAGGCCACTCGCCCGGGCCAATTGTCCCAACAACCAGAATCTCGCGTCGTAGCACTTGAGCAACGCGTGCAACTAGAGGGCGGCCCTCTTGACTCCATATAGCGAAAGTTAAGACAGAAACCTAGATCAGTGACTCGAAATTTCATATCCATCCTTCAACACCCTATACCAAGAGGAAGATCTCTGATTCGGCGGCCCGTCCAGCACCAATGTTCCTAGTAAAACATTCTCCCTGCATGAAGCCATCCACGTAGCATTCGCCCACGAAGCAATGTTCCCCAGAGGACAGCTTCGGTCGTAACAAGGAAGGCACAAATGCGCCATACAGAACCACCACTATATCCCCAATCTCAGCACCAGCTGGGCATAAACCTGTGAGGCCATCTTCGGTGGTAAACATGCACTTCCCATGACAAGGCAAATAATCCGTTATCCTTTCAGAGCCAATAGAAGGGCCGTTATAATGCGCCCTATAATGGTCAATAATACCGTTATGACTAGCATCAGGTTCAGATTGCGAACTCGACCAGCTGGTTTCCACGTTGGTTATGTGTAGATACGCCCTCCGCATCTCTGGGGACACCACTGGGTCGCGAAGTAGAGGATAATACGACCGGGAAGAAATCCGACCAAGGCGGAGGCCTCGCAGGGCCAACTTGTGTGAGTCGGCCCCGCTGTCGTGCTCTTCCAGCAGACTCGCGTCCAGGTCACGTCCAGCACTTGCGTTGTAAGAAGCGCGCTCGTCGAGCCCCAAGAGGCTCTGCTTCCAGGAGCTGCGCCCTTCGAACCAGAAGCTCCACGAGGGTCGCTCGGAGAGACCGGGCCGGTCGTGTGCCCCGTGAGATGAATTGCTCATGTCCAGCCAGGTCCGGCCCGCCTGTATTTGAGCTGTCGATAAGATCCGAAGGGACCGGGTGCGGTCGATCCACCACCTCGTGAAGTCTGCGTACACCTTGACGACAGGTTTAGAGTAATCTGGGCGAACGAGAGGTGGAAGGTAAGACAGGTTGTGCGTCTCGTTGCCGAATACTAAAAGTGCGAATAGTTTGTCCCTGGCATCTGTGGCGCGCATGTCGAGCCCGTCAATGGCTACGTCGAGTATATTCAGTTGTTGCTTCGGCGTGACGTGGAATGGACTTGTGTGGCGGGGTGCATGGAAGAGCGTCTTCCAAATCCCCGGCATCATATTGGCCGCCGTGTCTGTCCTTCCATAGTAAGTGTTGATGCAGTGATTGGCCTGGATGAAGGCAGCCCACGGCAGTTCCTCTGGCCCGCAAAGGACTGACACTCTCTTCGAAATGTTCTTGATCGTTGCACCGTACTTTGTGCTCCAGACTTCTTGCAGAACCCAGACACGATGGAACCATGGAAGAGAGAAAATCCTGGTGTTGTCGAAATGATACCAAGCAATGCCATCGGAGACGATTCGGTGTGTGGCAATGGGACGGGTCATTCCTTCAACGAATTTGTCAACGTCCTTGTTGTTGTTAAGATTGTCTTGATACTTGCTCGTAATATCCTTAAAGGCTGCTAGGTCCCTCATTGCGGCATTTCGGGTTATTCCAAGCCAGACGAAGACGTGGTCCGCGTAGGAAAAGATGTCGCTCATCATGGCGACTTGCTGCGACCTCTCTGCGACATCACTCTGCTTGACACAAATCAAGTCGATCCAGACTAAACAAGCAGCGTCCTCACGTCTTAAGCGTTTTAAGGCCGCGAGCAAGTTGTCGTTTACAGCAATGTGGGAGGACACACGCTCGTCATCAACATGGGATGTTAGAGGCACCAGCGTCGTGTTCGTCGTTTCGCCCCAGCAGTAAGAGAGCGCGTTGAAGTGGAGCCGCTCCGGTCTTGACAAAGAGGTGTATCGCAGCGAGAGATGCGTTAGCGTGTCGTCTTTCCCGGGCTCGATGGCGACGACTCGGATCTCACGCTCGTCTCTATTCAGTGGGCGATAGAGCCTTTCGTCCGGGTCCGGCCGGTCTGAAGTCATGGCAGCAACAGTCTCCACCCAGACCTCGATACGCCCTTCGATCACCCAGTTGACCCAAGCTTGCCATTGTGCCCGTGGGACGAGTTGCACGGTGTCTCCGCTCTTGATGGCAGAGAGCCATGCCTCTGACGAACCTTGGTCCGAGTTTTCATCAGGTTCGTCGCGGAAGTCGAAGGCTGTCACGTGCTTGGTAGGTTCGAAACGCGCGTGTACATTTCGGTGCAATTGAAGGCGTGGTACTCGGTACAAACCCGAGGGTTCGAGAACGTGGGCGTCGAACCACGTGTGCGTGAAGTCGTAGGTACCGTGGTTGTGTGGGAAGTCGCTGAATCCCTGATCATGAGAGACTGTCGTGAAGGCAAGTCGGCGGACAATGAAAGTGGTGGCAGGATCACTGGGCGCGGGAATATGAAGGCTGAGATAAGGTTGTATGGGGCAGAATTGATGCGTGTTTTGTGGTTCATTTCTACTGGTACTCATATAAGTCCAGCTCCGATCAATCTCACAGTGCGTGGCCATGATAACCAGAGGCTGAGTTTCTGAGCGCAGGATATTGAGGAGATCAAGTCATACGGGGTAGGTGCCTTGTGGACGAAGTTTCATCCATGCCAGTGGGTCGATTTAATTGGACTCATTTTCCATGTAAGCGCTAATGCGCATCCCGCAGTATTTAAACATTTTTGGAACATCTCAACCAGTGATTTCAATGGGTACTCCGCAAGCTATAGAGGAGCTCTGAAATCAGAGGACTCGTGGATTATCTTCGTTCTCCTAGTTGCAGCGGTCAACTGGCTACCTAGGTACGTTACTTTGCAGGTCACATGTGAACCCAGCATCCCATCATGCACCAGCAACCAGCCTTTGCTCTTCACCAGATTATTGATAGTCAAATCCAGGATGGTGGTGGAGGGGGTGAATCAGCTCGTAAGCGCCAAGTCCGTTTTGATAGAATTCCGAGTCTATTTCTGGCCGTGGCCGCGTCTCAGTGCAAGAGGGACCTGTCAACACCCACGCTAAAAACCTTGGAATATTTGAACAGGAGTGTCTGCACGCTTAGCCCTGGGCTGAATTATTATTCCGACAGATTAATAAGATGGTTCCTATGTTCGCGTACCATGATTAGTACTAATCGCCAAGGAGGCCAAGCGATCAGAATCAAACTGTCATCCACGACGATTGTAACCTTGGGACTCTGCTAAAAGTTTAATCATGGGATGAGCAAGTCAGGGCGGTGATTCTACAAGAGTGCTTCGTGTCACAAAGGATGGTAAAAGCTTGTCTTGATGCCCTGAAAAGGCCACCTCGCCATATCAGTAATTAATACATGGTAATGATTACTCCCGTCTGTTGCCCATTTGACGGAGTTTTCCGTTCTCCTTGCTTCGTCTCAGTAGCATCCATATGCAAGAACACCGCGTCGGCACCTTTCCCAATGGTATTCTGTGGGTGATGTACCTGTCAACTTATATTCTTCTTCATATCCATGATTTATGACTAGACTAGGGAGTCTGAATGCCCGCCTCTGCTCCCAATCCATCTTCTCCCTTAGCCTGAGGAACGTCACATTTGTACTGCAACGATCCAGAAATCCCAAGGTCTCCGCACATTCAAATAGGCCGGCCCGGGTGTGTCGGGCCAACATGCTCAGGTCTTCCTTCAACATTCGCTGCCAATCCTAATCGGTCGAGTCTTGTTCAAACCGAGTATTTGCCTTCTCAATGAAACTTCTGGTCCTCGAGTCTGACCAAGGACTTGGCTTAACGGGAGGCAGAGGCGGTAGAATGGGCAATTCAGCGGCACCACGAGCGGCAAACTGGCAATATTGCATATATCACGAGACATTCGACTGCAAAATGCCCCGCGCATGTTTGTAGTTCGGTTCAGAATATTGAAAGCTTAAGCCGTACTCCACTTCGCAAATTCTAGTTAATGCCAGGTTGCATTCGACTGCTTAACTTCACACTCAAGCTTTGCACATCCCGGCATACAAAGCAGGCCGTGGGGTAATTAGCACGTACGGCATGTGGGTACATTGTATTTAAGGGGCTAATGACAAGACATCTGGACTAGGTACGGAGTACGAGAGCCTTGAGCCAAGACGCGGCAGCCGATTATCCAAATCCTCGTGTAACCCCGCCGCCCAAGCCCAGGACGCGTTTGGGTGTTGTCTCGGCTACTTGATTCTAAGAGGTCTGCGGGCGGTTCGTGATTCGTGTAATTAATGTCATGTTGCACCAAGATAGAAGCATATGCTTCCACCTGGGCACCATGGCCCCCAAGCAGGCCATGCATCACGAGCATTGTATCGCTAATGCAACGCGGAAATGCACGGTGGCTTACCGTGCATGCAATGTGATATCACAATGACTGAGCAGGTCCTACTGGCCCCTTTTCTCTCGACTCAATGGTCCGAGCCGAACAATCTTGCTTCAACGATGAGGTACTCAGTGGGACTCAGAAACTCAGCATTTGCAACGGCGGCAGTCGAAGTGGCCACGGGGCTGGCAAAAGGGCACGTTTACGCTGAATCCGCTTCACATGAATGAGGTTTTTGCTGACCGAGCTGGCCAATGCTAGAGCATCAGATGTCCTCCCCACAAGCCTTGCCCTAGGCGGCACACCCTCACCCGTAACCAGCAGTTTCGTGCCCTTTACTTTGAACAAGAGTACACCTCTGGCAACGCTTGATTATGGAATCGAACGGGCCGGGTACGCCTTCTTCACGGTCGCCGGACTCAGCGAGCCGGTCCAGATCGAGGTGAGGTATAGCGAGCCGTTCGCGGGACTGAGCGACCCGCACTCTGACGGTCCGTTTCTCTTCTCGCCCATGCTTGCCAACAGTTTCCGGGTCGAGACGTTCAATGTCACCGACGTGGGACGCTTCGCCGCCCCGTTGCTCCAGGGAGGGCAGCGGTGGCAGTCTATCACTCTGCTCACGGGCGGGGGTGTCTCCTTCGACAGTGTCGGATTCGAAGCCACTGTGGACATTACTGCCGTTGACGAGCTCCCAGGCTCCTTTGACTGCAGCGACGACACGTTCAACGAGGTGTGGAAACTGGGTGCAGTGGCCGCTTCGACTGCGTGTGTGGAGAAAGGATCGCAGGGCGCAGTGTGGGAGGTGGACCCGAGCAAGGGAGTGTTCGTTCGGTCCACGAAGCCTTCCATCACCCTCGAAGGCACCGGATTCTCCAACTACACACTGGGATTCGAGACAAACATTGATCGAGGCGGTGTCTGGTGGAGTGTTGCGAGCGCAGAGAGAACAACAGCGATCCAGTTAATGCTCGTCGGCGAGTTGCCCGAGGAGACCACCTTTGTCAACACGAACCGCAGCTTGTTGCAACCTAATTCGGTGCTACTTGGCTACGGGTTTAATTTCCTCAATCAGACCCTTGTGAGCTCCTACCTGCTCGATTGTTTTCCGGTTCCATTCAACGTTAGCGAGGGGTCCTGGTACGACCTATCGACCTCCCTCTCGCAAAGCGGTCGCCTGTCAGTGTCAGTCAGCCAACAGCCGATATTCAACGTGTCCCTGCGCGACTACAACGTCGGAGGCACCATAAGCACCAGCGGCACCTTCGGCTTCGGCGCATGGCAGGATCAAGCAGCATACGTCCGCAACGTGGTGGTCACAGACACTGCCACTGGCAGAAGGCTATACTCCAACAGCATGACCTCCCGGGACGTGCTGGCCGAGTACGGGACCCAGGCTAATGTAGGCTCGGTCTGCCTGGACGGACCGAAACGCGACAGGGCAGTGTGGCTCGGTGACTTCTACCACACAGCACGCATCATCGCCACCAGCACGTCGCGGAACGACTTGTCGAGGGGAACGCTGCAGTTCCTGCTGGACACGCAAGACGAGCACGGCGAGCTCGCCATCAGCCCGCCGCTGGGATACGACCCCTCGGGCACGTACAACACCACGGGCGACCTGGTGGACTACCAGTTCCTGGGGCTCGCGAGCCTCCACAGCTACGTGCAACACTCGGACGACCTTTCGTTCGCGGCAGGGACATGGCCGCGCTGGCAAAGGGCAGTCTCGTTCCTCCTCGGCACCATAAGCCCAGCCGACGGCCTGGTCCACGTCGCCACCGCGTTCCTCGGCCCGCCACGGGGCGGCTCGGCCGTCTCGTGCCTCGCAGCCCAGGCGCTGCGGAACCTGGCGGAGGTCGCGGCGGCCCTCGACGACACCTCCTCCCAGCAGGCCTGGGCCGCAGCGGCAGACTCCCTCGCGGCCGCCATCAACACGCACCTGTGGGACGACGCGCAGGGCGTCTACGTCCAGTCGCCAGCCGACCCGGCCACCTTCTCCGCAGCCTCGACGGCGTTCTGCATCACCTCGGGCGTGGCAGACACGACACAAGCCACGCGCTCCCTCGCGGCCGCGGAGGCCCGGCTGAAGCTTGGCCCGGGCTACCGCGACTCGACGGTGGCCGCGGACGCCAACACGGCGACCCTGCTATCCCCCAACACGAACGGCTTCCTCCTCGACGCGATGCTCACGGCGGCATCTCGGGCCCAGGAGAACGACACCGCCACCGCCGCGGTGCTCGCCCGCACCGCCGGCGCGCTGGTCCGCTCGCTGTGGGGCGCCATGCTGGGCGACGAGACCACGGCCACGGGCGCGAGCTGGGAGTACGTCTCGCAGGGCGGGGGCCCCGGGCTGGGGCTGTTCACGAGCCTCGCGCACCCGTGGGGCGGCGCGGCGACGTACGTGCTCACCGAGCGGGTGCTGGGCCTACGTCCTGCTCCTGCCGCTGACGGTGGTGGTGGTGGTGCAGCTGTGGGATTCGGGTACCGCAGGTGGGTCGTCGACGTCTCTGCCGGTGTCCTGCTGGGGCTGGCGAGGGCCGAGGGGAGCGTGGCGACGGCACATGGGACGCTGCGGGCCAGCTGGGTGGTCCGTCGCGGACGGGACGGTGACGGCGGTGACGTGCTGCGGTGCGTTGTGACGGCGCCTGCTGGGACGGGCGGGGTGCTGCTGTACGACTTGGGACGGTCTGTTGTTCTGGAGGGGGATACCACTTACGATGTCACGGTCAATCTGTGACGGCTGTCGTTGTTGATATGGGACGTTGTTGGGAGAAGAGGGGGCAGGATGATCAAGTGATCAAAGTTTGAATCTTGTCAGAGTACTACTACTGTGCTACTAATTAGCTGTTCATTTCTCCTCGGTCGCGAATTGATTGAACCGGTCTGCTTCCGTATACGTACACCACCGACACTCTGCCCGTGTGCCTGTATATCCGCGGGGCGCGGAGTGACGTCTCGGATGACCTTTTTGACTCGACTGATATGTGATGACGCTCGTCCCAATTTCCCGCCCGGGTGTTTCAGCATCTACGCCATCACGACGATAACCCGAACGCGTCCCGGCGCCCCGGCGGCCTCGTTATTGGCCGGGGGCCGGCCCTGGACAGTGCGCTGTCATCCCACCTCGCACCGAACTGGTTTTGGTGTGATTGAGCCGTTGATTTGTTTGTTTTCTGTGTGCGTGCTGCTCGGCTGTTGGCAAGGCAGGGCGGGCGTTCATTCAGGATTCGAAGGATCGAGATCCAGCACTCGAGGGCCTCAACTGCCGCGGCCATGAGACAGCCAACATGCAACGCTCTCGCCATACATAGTAAGCGGGCGTGAGGTGGACGAGCGGCACAGCAGAGCAGGCCATTCGATCCTGCGCTAGAAATATCCCTCCGCCACGCAGTGAAACCCAAGAGTTGACAGCTACTAGTTCTCAGGGTCTTCCACATGGCTCCTTTCTTTTAAAGTTAAGCTTCCAAGCACGCGCCCGCAGGCGAGCAGAGTGCTATTTTTTTTCCGAAAGGGGTTTGGAACGTAAACCAGTTAAAGTGGCCAAAACTCCCTGACACTTGAAACAATGTTTCCGGTCGACTCCCCGGCCGCCACAGCCCCGGGCTGACTGGTCCTGGATCGAGATCCATCGCTCGGAGTTTGGCGCACAGCCAATTCGTCCAGGCCGGAGCATCTCAAGAATAGTAGCCCCCACGTCATTTTTTTTGCCTGAGCCAGGAATGCCAACACCTGGGCAGGCAGAAGAGCATTATTAGACACCGAAACATCCCATCCATGTGATCCCATGCGTTTCTTCCGCTGCAGAGGATAGTCGGCAGACAGTAGACATCGCTTATATCGTCCCGTGCTGACCACCCCAGGTTGAGCTATGGCCTGTTCGAACCTGTGTGCGTGTCTTCAATAGTCACCACTTAAGGAGGATTGTGGCCACACCATACAGGACCAAAAAAAAAAGGTCCCCAGCCAAACTCTGGCCTGATGCCTTGACGGCCTTCTTGTCCATGTTTATCTTCATTTGTCTCTAGTACCCAGAGTACTGCACTTCCTCTCCCTCGCAACAGTAGTCGCTGGGCGTCTCAACTGTTGCCGAAAGCTTTCACTGCTTTCAGTTCCACCCATGATTTCTTGTCTCTCTTCGGCCGGTTATCCGAGAAGATGCCACACGCCGTGCCAGTCTACAAGAGGCCGTCCAACAAGGACAGGCTATACATCGCACTATATGCCAGGGGTGGGGACAGCATCATGTCCGGGGGCGAGGACAAGTAAGTAGCACAGCCTGACACGCAAAGTAGTACTGGTTACTTGATCGGTGCTGACATGGCCTCCCTTCTCCAAAAGATACCACTGGGCCCTCCTGGTCGGCCCAAAGCACGAAGACAGCAACTCAAAAGGCAAGCGGTTCCACGTCAAGGAGACCATGACGACCGTCGACGGGCGCACCCAGAGCCGCTGGCTGTACGAGGAGCGCGACATCGGCATGAACCCCACGGCCATGATCCTCGTCCGGGTCATCATCGGCAAGGTTGCGAACCTGGAGCGCGTCGCCTCGGTGCTGCGCAAGGTGCCCCTGCACCAGGAACAGGCCGGCTGGAACTGCGTCTCGTGGCTGCGCGATGCCCTCGAGGCGCTGCGCCGCGACGGGAAGGCGCTGTCGGGGGCGCGGTCGTCGGCTGCGACTGCTGGGGCTGCGACTGCTGTGTGGGAGGAGGACAGGGAGGCGGCGCTGGACTTTGTCAGGAGGAAGGAGAGGCAGCACCGGTTCGACGGGAAGGCCACGCCGGGGTGGTTTGATATGAGCCAGGTTGCGACTTATGACTTCCTGCGAGACAGGGAGGTCATTGCTTGACGATGACGGTGATCAGGGAGCCAGCTTGGGAGCGGGACTTCAGCGATGGCGTACAGGTCTGGGACCCAGCGGGGCGTTCATCAGGAGTTCTGAGATATTGTATTTTGTTTTTCTTTGGGCCGTGTACCTGGCGTTCTCAAAAGTCCCCAAAGAACCTTCTTCTGATAGTCTCGGCCTCCAATGCATCCTGCGCAGGCGCGATGAACCTGTCCACCTCCTCCTGCCACCAGCTGTTCTGCGGGTTGGGATGCTTCGCGGATGTGTACTCCCAGTAAGGCGGGTACCAACCCGCCGTCTCCCAGTCGACGATGCCGACCACCCTGTCGCCCCTGACGAGGATGTTGGAGCTGCTCAGGTCGCCGTGCGTGAAGACGGGGTCCCCCCAGGCCTGCTCCTGGAACGCAGCCATGTCCTTGACCCCTGGTGACGACGCGTCGTCCTGGATGTCCTCTGCGGCGATGCCCCCCCGAAGCTCGCGGTGGAAGTCCTGGATGGTGGTGAATGGGCCCCACAGAGACTTGGAGGGCAGGCGGTGATCAAAGATGGGGCCGCCGTCGACGCCCGCGACGCCCATCCCCGGCGGCGGCTGGATGCTGCGGAGCTCCTGCACAAAGGCCCTGAGCTGCTCCAGGATCCTGGCCTTGGACTCGTCGGGCCGGCTGCTCCACCCGTCGGCGAGATTCTCCCCGTCTATGCGCTCCATGATGATGTAGGCCCGCCCGTCACGCTCAAAGGCCGAGTGGACCTTGGGCACGGGCACGGAGGTGTGCTGGGCGACGAACTGCAGGGCCCTGGCCTCTGTGAGCCTGGTGAAGGGGGTGGACTTGATGCAACACCTTGGCGAGACGAAGACGACCCGGCCGGGCTGGCTGGCGAGCTTCAGGCGGCCGGCATGCTTCTGGGTCGCGGTCTTGTAGGCGAGAAGGACGAGCAGTCTGATCCAAAGCCTGTCGTTGAAGGGCTTGGACGACTCCATGTGATGACGAGGGTGGGCTGGTGCAGTGGTGAGTCCTCAAACATGACGGCCATGACGATTCCGACGAGACGAGGAGATGAAAATGCTGGCCAGCAGCTCAGGAGGCCATCGAGGCCACCACGTGCGGCGTGGTGAGGCGACTTGTGAGAGAGATGGCTGGATGGCGGAGCTGCAGTCCAGGATTCGGAGTGGAGGTGAAAAGTGGGTCGGGGGGAGCCCCCGTTCCAGATTTAGAAACGGTACTCCGTGCGGCTGATGGGCGAGATACGTCTTACATAAGCACCGTCCCGCTTCCAACATGCACTTTCCCTCTAACTTAGCTTATTATGGGCCAGACTTCAGGAGCTTCTTCCCCGCACTAGCATCACCCTCTGTTGATGAGCACTTGATATCAGACACCAGGTGTCGCACCCGCAAAAATAGTAGGCACAACCGGACAAGGCTGACTGCCTAGGTACCTACGAAGTGCCTTGGTATCTTCTTAGGTATTTATTACTAGCTGCCAAGTAAGGAGATGTGGTAAAAAAGAGGTGAAGTAGATAAAGGATAACTTTAAAAGCAAAGCTCTGGGATGAATACTTCACTGGTTATTTTATAGGAGGTCTGGTACTGGTACCTCTAAGGCCGTATCGGTTCCTAACAGAACTTGTCCCATAGGATGTTGTCCATGGGGCTCGTTTGTGCCCTCCATTTGAGACTTGGGAGATGTCGACAAGGCACGTACATGGACGCACCTGCCATCCGTTTATTAGCGGGCTGACTGACGTGACAGCACTTGAGCGGGACCTGCAAGTTCTATGCCACTCGACTGCATCCTACATCCTGCACATGTGCATACCAGCCTGACCTCCCAGCTGACTGCCAGACCAACTGCCAGACCATACTCATCCAGAATAATAACATTGATCAGCATCCACTGCAACCATGTCGGCATCACTGACACCGGCCGCCAAACGCATGGCCAAGGAGCGCAAAGATCTCGAAGAGGCAAGCAACCAGGAAACGGACCAGGACTACGTTGTCTTCTTCCAGGACCACGACCTCCTCCAGTTCGACGCCTATGTCATTGCCCCCGACACCATCTACCGGTACCGGCTCGTGAAGCTGCATTTCGATATCCCAAACACGTATCCCACGGACCCCCCGAAAGTGACATTCATCCAGTACTCGGGAGGCAGAATTCATCCCAATCTTTACGTCGACGGCAAGGTCTGCCTCAGCATTCTTAAGTAGGTCTGATATCTGCTTCAGTACCTCAAATTCTACACTCCCCCAGTACATATAGACATGTTCAATACCCACTGTAGGCTTCCCCCGTACTGACACGATATGACCGTGGCAGCACCTGGGATGGACAAGAATGGGTCCCTGAAATGACCTGCGTACGCCGTGTCCTCCCAGTCTTTCGCACGCATGGTGGTTACCGAGGTGTTACTTTATCGAGCAATCTTTCACATAGCCGAACAAGCTACTGACCCGACCCTACCCGTCTAGCATGCCGTTCTCATCACCATAAGGTCTCTTCTCGACGATGAGCCGTTCAAACATGAACCCGACGAGAACAACAACACCGGGGTCAATAATCCCGAGTTCAACAACTACGTCGAGTACAGGACCTGGATAAGCCTACTGACCGACTACCTGTGGCCCAGGCGGGAGGCAAATCCCGAAGCCAGGGCCTGGCTGGACAGGTACGTCTGCAAAAACGGCCCGAAGATGCTGCGTGAGTATTCCAAACAACAACACAGGGCGAGCGTCAGCCACCGGAAGAGCGTCAAAGACGTGTACTGCGGGCCGGATTCCCCAGGCGAAGATTTGGATTACCCAGGCTGGTTTGAAGCACTAGGGACTGCCATTCTGGCAGCGGCAGCCCGTGGAGGGGCCATCATTTTTACCCACACCCCTTCAGAATCGCCGCCACTCAAGAGGAAGGCGGACCACCAACAACCCAGCACAACGGGCGAGGGCTCCGAGGACGCGGAAAAGAACGGCAAGAAACAGGCCAAATCATCTGCGGCTCCCAAACCAAAGTCTCCCCCAGAGACCATCGATCTTACCTCACCCTAGTCTTTCAACCAACAGCCGAGAGGGTGTTGAAGTTGTGGATAAGCCGAGACCAGGACTCTCAAGTGCTGTGCGGCGCCCTGAAGGGTGATTTGCGGACTGGGCTGCTCCCGTTGGTGTGGGAAAGACTGTCACGGATAAGCCACTCAGGCTGCTGTATTCGTGTAAAAGCCGCTGGCACCTGTGGCGATGCTCTCTGGAATGGGCATCTGGCGTACATGTTGTGGCACCAGCTTGGCGGGTGAGGAACGATGAGGAGGTTGTCCAGTGTTCGTGGTATACCCTACCGCTATCTCTAGGGAGAACTTGCTTGACTCTCGCACGTGCTTATTATTAGGATGAATTAGGAAATCAGGGATTGTGACATACTTGCCTCCAACCCCTGCAGTTTGCATGGGAGATCAGTGAACTGAGATCACTTTAAGTCTTTGCATCTAAAACCGTGCAGGTTGACCAGCGATGCTTATCTTCTGCCTTTGACCGTGCTTGCATTCTATCGGGAGCTGTCGATTTTGCACACTGGACTACAAGTGCTCGTACAAAAGCGAAACTATACTGATTGATACTTGCCATAGGCATGTAGTGGTGATATTGTGACAGCCACTGTATTTTTTTAAAAACGCTGGGTCTTGATCATTTACCACTCTATGAAAGTGATGTATACGTTTTATATCTACGGGGATTAGAAACGAAACCACCAAATCACCCATTATGACAGCCAGTAATATTTACCGACACCCCTGCCTTTGAAATGGGATTGGCTGGAATACCGAACGAATCACTGTAGCGAAGAAATGCTTACCTAAAATCTTACATTGGTTATACGAACGGAACCGCTCATGTATTCAGCTGGACCCCTCATCTTTCTGCCTAATTTGCCTCCTTGACATGTGAACGAACAACCTGCCGACATCCATCCGTCTGCTGACAGAACGCAATGGCGGAGGCCCTTGCCGCCGTCGGCTTGGCAAGCAGCATCGTCGCATTTGTCGATTTCGCCCAGAAGGTCGTATCGCGGCTGAACGAGTTCAGCAACGACCTCAGAGACGGCACGAACGCCCTCTTCACCATCCAGACGCAGCTGCCAGTAATCATCGACGGGCTGAGGAGGATCAAGGAGCGCGCGGACTCTGGGAGGCTCGACGACGGGGCCAAGGCGGCTCTCCAGCCGATCGTCTCGGCTTGTCAGGCACAGGTGCAGCTGCTGAATGGCATACTGGACAGCATCCTGCCGGCCGCGGATGCGTCCAAGTGGGAGCGCAGGAGGAAGGCCATCCAGAGCCTGACGGCTGATGGCCAGGTGAAGAAGGCTTCCGAGATACTGAGCCGGCACCTCCAGACCTTGACGTTCTACCACTCCATCGGGGATCCTGTGCCGCCCCAGTCGGTCGTCAAGAAGGTCTTCTGGCTTGTTCCTTTCGACCGGAACGGGAACTTTGTCGGCCGGGAATCTGTCTTCGATCAGATTAATGAGGCGTTCAACGTGTCTGAGGGAAGTCAGCCAAAGGCTGCCCTCTATGGACTCGGAGGCATCGGGTGGGTCCGACCTTCTGCGGCCAACACATGCCTGGCGGCTTTCAACTAATGCAGGCGTGTTGCTTAGAAAATCCCAAATCGCCCTCGAATACTGCTTCCGAGAACGTCATCATCAGCCGGAATGCTCCATATTCTGGGTGAACGGAGCTACAGTAGCCCGTTTCGAAGAGTCCTTCCAGCTCATGGCAAAAGAATTCGGCCTCAGTGGCGGCGACAACGCTGTGAAAGACAATCTTACGTCGGTCAAAGTCTGGCTAGAGACTGAGTTTGTCGACCCATGGGTCATGGTCATCGACAACGTGGACGACGAGACAGCATTCTTCCGCGAGAAGTGTCACAATGACAAAAGTCCTTCACAAGTCCTTCCGCACTGCTCACACGGGCAGCTACTCTTCACTTCAAGAACCCGAGATGTGGCATTCGACCTGGCGAGTCCGGAAACACCGATATCTGTTGACTTCTTGTCGACAGAGGAGGGTCTGGATCTGCTGCGGAAAAGACTTGGTGCCGATCAACCAGAGTCTGACCTCGTGGAACTACTCACCGAGCTTGGTCACATCCCTCTGGCCATTACGCAGGCTATTTCGTTCATTGTGAAGAGGAGAAAGTCGGTGAGACAGTATCTGGAACTGTACCTCCAAGGCGAAAAGTCCATGAGCCGCCTCCTCAGCCACGAGTTCCTCGACCACGGCCGACAAGAACAAACAATGGAATCAGTCGCCAGGACATGGCAGATTTCTTTCGAGTGGATCCAGAAGAACGACCCCAACGCTGCGGAGATATTGTGTCTTATGGGATTTTACCAACACCATGGCGTCCCTGAGAAACTTCTGCACATCGCAGATGTTGATGATTTTGTGTTCGAAGAAAGCATTGCAATGTTGCAGGCGTTCTCACTATTGGAAGTGGACAAGGAGAGGAAAAGCTACAGCACACACAGGCTCATCCAGATCACCACAAAACTCTGGCTGGAGCAGAAAGAGTTGCCTCAGTTTGAGCAGTGGCCACTCCGAGCACTGAAGCAGGTCAAGAAATGTTTCCCATGGGGCGATCAGGATGACGTCAAACAGGATGACTATTGGGTTAATTGCCAGAGTCTGCTTCCACATGCCACCATTCTTCTTGAACATCGTTTTAAATTTTATAAGATGGAGTCTGACCTTCAAAAAGCAACTCTGCTGCTGTCCACTGGACATTACATCGAATGGGACGAACCGCACGACGAAAATGTCAAGAGAGGCTACAAGGAATCTTTAGAATTATGCCAAAGGCATCTGGGCTCTGATCACCCCTCTACTTGGGCAAGTATGGGACATTATTTTCGATCCGTCACTCACATTGACGCCGTCTATCCGCCGAATATAGATAGCAACAAGGTGGCCGAGATGGGGCACGCGCTTGTCAGCCACTATCGTGAAGTTTCTGGGCCTCGCCATGTGGATACCATCTCAAGTATGAGTAGCATGGCCCAATTTCTGCACAAAGAGGGGAAGTTTGATGAATCCGAAATCATGCAGAGACAAGCGTTGAAAATCAGTGAAGAGGTGCTTGGGCATGCAGATGATCAAACCCTCGCATGTATGGAGAAGTTAGCCAGGACCCTTGAGGCCACGGGCAGGTTCGAGGAGGCGGTGGAAATTCGGAAGGATTGCATAAATACCGACACAGAACTTGTTGGCCAGGCACATAGGTGGGTTATGAATGGGAAACACAACTTGGCGATCTGCTTAGAAAAGGCGGGAAGACTTGATGAGGCTATTTCCTTGAACAGAGAGATAATGACCTTGAGAGAGGCAGTACTCGGTCGTGACCATTTCGAGACGCTGTCTACGGCGAGAAACCTTGCCTATGCTCTCTACGCAGGCCGAAGATATGAAGAGGCGCGAGATATTCTTGACCACATTTTGAACGTGATCAAAGACGGCAAAAGGGTCTATCATGCGCCGCTAATAACAGCACAGGAAATAATTGAGTTGAGATCGGAATTTGAGGAAGAAAGAGATCAACTCGAACCTTAGCGACAGCTCTTCGACGGCCGGGACTAGGTACCTACTTACCTTAGGGTACCTAGGTACCTAGGTAGGTAGGATAGGTAGTTGGTGGAGTCCTCTGCGTTATGGGGCATCAATGCAGACTTCTCTTGGACGCCAATGGTGATGTTCTAATACATGTGCATGAATGCCCCAAGTGATGGAATTTTCACCGCACTCGGTTCTAGTTTCACACCCCGTATAGAAGTCAAGTTGAGGTGAGCGCATACAATCATCAACATACTACAAAATAGCCCATACATTAGGCGGTTGGATATTTGACAAATACACCAACCACTGGAGACCTAAACTGATGTTTGAGTGGTTACCACCTGCAGGTAGGTTCTCAAAACTTCCTGAAAGTAGTTCCTACTCTGCCCAGCCATCATGACCCAGTGCTCTGGTCAATTTATTACCCTAGCTTTCCAATTCAGAGGTCTGTTTCTCTGACATTTATCGCCATTAAAAATTCCATCTGTAGTTCAAAAAACACCCTCCGTTCCACGAAGAAACTTAATGCATGTTAGAGCCAGTTTTACAAGTAGACAATTCGCGACGACAACCTTGGAAGTCTGCTGACCTCCTGATCACGACGCTGGTTCCTTTGGTTCCCGACCGATTGAGAGGCGCCGAGTTGTTCATAAATTTGCAGGTCATGAGTTGGAGCAAGGCCTTGATCGGCACCATCACTCGCTGTAGAACAGCATAGACAGTCCCATCCCCCACTTGCGTCGTAGCCGAGAGCTGGAAATCGCGGCGCCAGCTCACCGAGTCCCAATCCTCGGTGAGTGCGGGTGGAACCATGTATTTCAGATAGAACGTATTCTTCTTCCCATCGTTATATGGCAAATCTAGCCCGAGTTGGTTGTTTGTGGAAAAGTCGAGCTCGGGTCAGTCTCGTCCATGCCCAGGTGATTCCCTGCGACACAAAACTAGCACGCCCGAACGACTCGCAGTCTCATTTTCCGTGGATACTGGCTACCCTATCTTCTAAAGCATTCCGGGCGAATTTTGGCGAGAGGATGCCGAGCGATGAGTAGCCGGTGCTTTTGCCTTGAACGCTGTCGTCTTGGGACATCGAGTCGCTGGCGGTCCAGGGCGGAAACACTGCTTTCTCTGTCGTAGCGCCGAGGGAAAGCTAGTGACCCAAGGCGAACTGGAAAATACACATTTTAAGGGATCATAACGCGCAAGTCTGGACTGGCGGGGCTAAATTAATACCAGCTGTGCAAAGCAGGGAGGGTATAGTTCTAACACGTTCACGGAAATTAGACCTCACCGATGTCCAGAGTTTTGATTGGACAAGAGCCCGTAGACGAGCCAACCCTTGAGCCCAAAGAACATAGTGGACTGGGTCTAACACCACTCACAGATCACAGCGCGTACATGACGAAGTCTCCGCCCACACTGACGGGAACAGACGCGGACGATCTCGGACCTGTTCCGGGCCCCGGTGACCCCTTTCCGGCGACCGGAGCCGCCGGCGCCTGTGACGATGTCCTCTTGCCCGGGACGCCACACTTGTTCCGGGACTTATTCCGCTGGAGCAGCGCCTCCCGTTTCCTCCTGCTTGTGTTCCAGGACATCTGCCTGACCGGGAACCCGAACGACGTCCGCTTCTGGAGTTTCCCCGGCTGTTGCGCAGAATACCCCTGCCTGCTACGGCCCGTCATGCTTGGCACGGTCGAGACGGCGGAGTGGACCGATGCACTGTCATCTGCTGATGCTTCGGGTGCCGAGTTCTCGTTACTGGAGCTGGCGGCTGTTTCGTTGTGGCTTTCTGGGTTTTCCTCGCCGTCTTCAACCTTGTTGTCCACCTGGATGAACGAGGTCTGGTCCATGGGCAGCGAGTCGTCAACAGCCATGGGATGCCATGCGTATCGTTCGTCCCATATCGGTGCTACTGAGTTGTAGACGCCTTTGGGCACCCAAACTGTCATGTCGTCATCGTGCTTCTCTTCCTTCTTCAGAAGCCTCTTGAACATTGTGAAACCTGAGGCTCTATATAAGTGGTGTGCTGGGTGCGGAAAAGATTGATTTTTCAGAAAGATTCTGAGGTGCTGAGGTGCTCTGGAGACGTTATTGGTGCTGTGTCAAGGTTGTTGAGCTTATAGACAGAGCAGCACGCCGGACTTGGACAGAGGCCTCTTATGACAGGCTGGGCACCTCACGTGTTTCGTTCATTGTGGATCCAGAGCGGGCGCAGCTCTAATGCACCCTGGATCTCTAGTGGGGCAGCCTGTCACTGTGGATCAAGCTTGTGCGGGAGCTGGCAATATTGCCAGGTGGTTCTGTGTGTGTATTATCTCGGTAGAATCGCCTTCAAGTTCATACAATACCTTGAACAGTGCTCAACTGTGCGCAGAGAATGAGTTAGTGCCAGTGCAAGTTCTATTGCTGACGTAGCTTGTTCACAGCAGTCAGCTGTCGGGGCTTCGAAATCGTTGATATCATGGAACTGGCCAAATTCCAAGATCAGATGAGGTGGATCCCTGACCACGTCGTACAGTGCCAGCGTATAAGCTCGAGTTCTCCGCGACACGTGCTAAGTAAACATCAATGATCGTATCCACACGTTTACCCATCTTGTTCGAGGCATATCGGACGTTCAACTTATCCACATTCCATTCCACACACATTTAGCATCTTAAACTTGCCAATTTGGACCTATGTACCAGGTTACTTGTCTATGCTATTCCTGTTTAGCCCCAAACTTGAGTCTAGCATGGTTTTCGATGCTCTCATTTCGGTGAGCACTTCCCACTTTTCTCATCCGCGAGCCTTGCTATCACGGCCTCTAGAGTCCGCAGTGGAAGACTAATTGTATGAGTCAACTCTAACTCTTGAAACACCTCGGTGACATCACATCCCCTCACTGCTTCGAGCCGTTGCTAGCTCGGTCTCGATTAGTGGCATAGTCTAGGATGTCATAGTGACATACACCTGCGGCGAGGTAATTTGTGTCCAGTTATCTTTCAAAGCGAAAATACGCAAGAGACCCACGAGCGCTCGCCAACTTCTATCTGCCTCAATCATGTAAAGCTTGTTGCAGTGCCGATATTCGATAGGCTTCATGTACTGTCATGAAATTGATATGCTGCGGTTCTGTAGTCGCAGAATAATGCATTCATATACTGCTCAACGCTGAAATATGGATTGGGAAGACGGAGGCTAGGTAGAGTGGGATGACGTGTATCAATGGCACTATTCATATACATCACGTTTCCATTCAGCGAATCAAGTCCGTAATTCTGAGTTTGCAGCCTCCTGAGCCTTCAAGCATTTTACTACACGACCGTAAAAACTGATATTGACTTGTGGACTTCAACATATGATAATTGTGTGTCTTGATCACCTATTGGGTTTGTTATCCTGTGTTGAGTTGAGAAGGCTGTCACTAACAGCTCTTTACCCAGTTGCGTGTCGAACTGAGCCCCCACTTGACTGAAGAGAAGTCACACCCTATATATTCAAACAGTCAAGACTTGAACACTACCTAGGTATCTAGGTAGTAGCCAGTATTCTAGGCCGAAAACTGACGTTTCTTCAAAATTCCAGCGCTGACCTCAGCTTCACGCTTCATGGTCTTAACAATCTCATCCATAACAGGTTCACCCTCCGCGACGGAAATGCTCGGGTCTGTAGGAGCCGGTGGGGTCTTGCGGCTAGGACAATAGCCACTATCGGCAGCCGCAGGGCCCATGCAAATTGGCGTGCTGCAACGAAGTCCAGATCAGCAAGAATTCCGAGCCGAGTAATAACAAATGCCGTCCACACATACCTGTGACGCCAGACCCTGCTGCAGGTCCGCGAAGAACTATAGGCAACACTATCTCCAAGCAGCTCGATGGTGCGGCCGACCTGATCAGCCATGCAGCCCACATTCCAGTTCCAGATGGATCCTACGTTGGCGTTGTAGAAGTCCATCACGCCGACCTGAGCAAAGGCCTCCGTGTAGGCTGAGTAGAAGATCATGTTAGCCATCTATCCCACATGGTATGTCGATGAATGTCAATGAAAGCAAGGAAACATACTGGTTTTGGCGTAGTTGTCCGCAACGCACGACCCCTTTGCGACCGTGTCCTTCCAGTCTTGTGACTGCGAATACCACGAGCCGCCGCCGGCAACCCAGTAGTCGAGGTTGTGGGAATTCTCGTGGAGGAAGACCGACTCAGCGCCAGAGCAATCTCCGAAGAAGCTCAGATCCACGGCATTGGACCAGGCGGAGCAGGATTTTGCACCGTAGACATTGACAATCCGGACATATTGACGAGCACCAATGGGGACGCGCCTTCATGCCCTTGCTGTTAGCCAATGTGTTTCTGTTGGAATGCTTCAAGATTGGACGTGACGGATTGCGCACTGACCCAAACCTATCTGCGACCTGATTGACGGTCATTGTAGCATTATTGCATCTGCAGATTTGGAAAGAGTAGCTGCACTATAGCCATGTCCAGGTTATACTGTCAGTCGCGGCCTCTGCCTGATGTGATGAGAGGGATAATGAAGACCGTTAGACTTACATCCGAGTACGCCACATCATAAACCTCGACGTCGTATGGACTGCAGTATCCCTGTGTTTGGTCAGCCTGGCTCTACTTGTCTTGCAGATAACCCTTCTGGCCAGATAAACTAGGGGAGGCGAAGGGTTTCACATAGACCGGAGATAGGTGGCTCACATTATTGCTGGCTACATCATAGCAGTCTTGAGGTATCGCTCCCCAAGTCCACCGACTGAGAGTGTAGCCGGGGGACGGGATGTTGTTTAAGCCGTTGGGGTCCAGAACACCCAGGCCATTAGGAAACGCTACACCATACGAGGCTGGGGGCGCGTTCTGAGCACAGGCTGATCGGAGTACTGCTCCAAGAGCAAGGAGAGCAAGTGAGCCCTTCATGTTGGCCTGATGAAAGTGAATGGCAGAATTACTTTTCTGATGCTAAACAATTGCTTGTGGACCCGGGCGAGTTGGAAGCATGCAAAGGCACATGAACTCACCCTGACTTTATACATTTTAACTCAACACAGCGCACACGGGCATTGAGACCACCTCCAGTGAATGGTAATGTGCAATAGTGACAAATCAAAACGCTGAATCCACGATTATTTCCATCACTCCCTTGTGTAAGTATCTAAGCGAGGCAGCCATCTATGTTCTATTTTGGCCAGGCAAGTTAGTGTTGCTGGGTGAGGCTTTCATCAATAGTTTCTCTTGGCAAGACAATGATAGGGCTCGTGAGCGAGCGCCCATGCTCATGGAGGCATCTAGTGAAGCCCATCGGAGCCCATGGTATGCTGAGTGTAACCCCACGAAAAGAATTTCTAGCCAAAGCCCAAGGCAGGCGCTAGAATATGTTAGCCCAGTTGCTCGTGTGACATGTGGGTGGTCCCCTTATTTGGGAGTTCTCGAATCCCTCATGGTCTAGATTGGGCATCGTGGGCGTCCATGCACACGCAACTTCCCAAAAGTGTGTGGACCTTCCATGCCATTAAGATCCTTCTGGCTCATTATAAACCAAGGGTGGTGTGTATGCCTTCAGTACACTATTGGTGATTGTGACCAAAGGCCATGAGCCATCTGACCAGCAGGGTAGCAACCCGTGGACACCAGGCAATGGCAGCAACATAAGCACCGAACCAACAATTTTTAGCTGAGCACCTATCCAACGTCTGAAGTCGAGCTAGCAAGGAATTTGTTCCTGTTATCGATGTCTGACTCAGCACCAGTCGACCAACTGCCCCAAGTGCATTCCATCTGCGACGTACGAAATCGGGGTTGCCGGCACTTCAGCACGCGGACTATGTTCAGCGCTACACACTGTGTATCCTTCAATTTTGTAATGAGCGTTGTGGTTTTTAATTTATTATATCTTAAGCACGACTTTAAAGTTTCGACTTGGAGTTTAACGCCCCAGGGAGCCGATATCTATGCTGCTCTGAGCTATAATGGATTCACATTCGGGGCTGTCTTCGCGTCCAGCATGTATCCACCGTGACAAGACCCTTGTAACCGTACGGTTACTCCCTCTTGAAAGAATCCATGTTCAGAATCCTTATCGTCCACGCTGTGAAATCCGAACTGACCCTATAACACCTGTACACATGTGTCCCCCACCTTTTGCTCGGATTTCGAGCTACTGCCCTCCGGACAAGTCCTTTCTCACTGCGCGTCGTAACCACCTGCCAGGCCTTGTCTACTACATTACAAGAGATAGGGAATACATTTCTCTTAACTATAGACCTATAAAGGAGAAAAGATTGCTCCTTTTAACCTATGTACCGTCTTGATGGGGCCGTTGAACATCAATACAAGCATCGAGGTAGCCCACATCAGTTGTTAATTCCCGTGTCTCAACATGCCCGGGATTCCAGGGGCTGTTATAAAGATACAAATTGGCTGAGTATGGGTGATGACTCCCACGAGAATAACTTGAAATGATGACCCTGGAAATACTGCAGGCGCGGGTGAGAAACGGCGAGAGGCAGGTGTAGCGTCCATTATATGCCGTCTGGTAGGACACTGTGTGCACACATGATTCATGCATCGCTTCCTTCTTGTGTTATTTGAAGTTGGCACTCATTGAGATATAGTCCGCCATACGTCCAAAGCCGCTAACAGTTTAGCTATGAACCTTGCCCCATAACTGTTAGGAGCAGGACTTTTGAAACAGTCCGCTCTATCAACCTCCATAAGGAACCCCTCATGACCCCCTTGACTACTTAAGTATATTAGCACCACGACACCGCAATTTCATTCCGCAAGTTTTTTCCTCCTTCACTCACGCACACTTGGCAGACCACACAACGGTGCATTTGTGCTCCGCCCCCACAACAACTTGTGTTCAGTTCCTCTCTCTCTTCATAGGGACAACAATATCCCGAGCCGCTCAAGATGGCTCCAGCAGATTGGACGGACCACGACAGGGAGGTCATCGAGTTCGGCTGGCGGCTCTGGAAGCTCGGGGGCAGGTCGCGCCGGAACGCGGTGACCTCGACGGCGATGAAATGCGGCGACATCACGGGCGCCCCGGACGCGTGGTTCGCGGCCCAATGGCCCCAGCAGATCGGCAGGTAAGCACATACCTACATACCTACCTACGCAGGCTATTGAGTGACGAGACCTCTGTCTGTCTGTCTGTCTGTCTGTCTGTCTGTCCGACACACCCGCTGATCAATCGCACCCAAAACCAGATACTACGCCAACCGCGACGCAGCAGAGAACGGCCGCCCCAGGGCGCAGGCCAAGACGCGCGAGCAGGTCGCCCTGCTCGAGTACGCCTTCGCGCAGACGCACGGGTACCCGTACACGGGGGAGGTGCTCCCGCTCGCGTTCCTGACGGGCCTGCAGGTGCGGCAGGTCAAGTCGTGGTTCGAGCACGAGCGCAAGAAGTGCGTGGCCGACGAGGACTTCCTGCCGCTGCAGCCGCCCGAGATCTTCGGCATGCTCGGGCAGGCGACCAAGGACGCCGCCGCGCTGGTGCGGCTTTATAACAAGGACCCCAGGGAATGTGCCAGGTCGCTCGTCATGTGGGAGCGGTGCGTGCGGACTGGACATGATGGCGGGCCTGAGTCGGAGACGATGCAGCGGCCGCGGCCGTATTATAAGAAGTATTGGAATCGGATGTTTCTTGAGGATGGGACGGAGCGCAGCCTGCTCGAGGCTACTGAGGAGCTGGAGGGGGATGAGGATGATAATGACAGCCTTGCGAACTTGACTAGTGAGGAGCGGAGTGATATTTGGAAACAGATAAAGGTTCAGAATCGCCAGTTCGCTATGAATCAGAGGGAACTGGGGGCGGAGGCAAAGGAGGAAGAGGGGACGAGCGAGGACATGCCATATGGCATATGCCCACAATGGAGGAGAGCCCTGGAAGGCCGGCTAGCCGGCCAGTCACCACAGACTGAGGTGACGGATTGAACGGTGTACGACCAACAATCTGATTCTGCCCTGGAAACAGCCCTAATAGACAGCCATAACTACACCGATGCCTACTCCAGCTTCACCTGTCGCTTCCCCCCCAAGAGCTTCGCAATGCCCCCAAACAAAGTGACAAACTGCGGTGCCGTCAGCAGAAGATCTCACACAGACACAAAAAGGTGCAATGAACCAAGCTTACCGCAACGTCAAAAACCTTGAAATAAAGCCCCAGCGCCGGGTACGCATCCCCATCATAAAACGTCCGCATGGTATGCCAGAACCCAGCGGGCCAGCTCTGAGAAAGCAGGTCGGCAAAGAACCTAACGACACAGGCCGCCAAGGCCAAGCATCAGCACAAGAGACCGAAAGCAGAAACACACATAGAACGAAACAGACTCACAGGTGCTTATAATCCCCCGGCGGGTCCGCGCTCTCCCGCACGACGACCCTCTCCCCGGGGATACTCTTCATAGAATGCACCGCCCCCGCGGGGATGCGGACCGTCTCGCCCGCCGAGGCGACGCGCTCGGCGCCGTCGATGGTGATGCGCAGGCGGCCCTCGCGCACGTGCATCTCCTCGGAGTGGTACCTGTGCCAGTGGGCGGGCACCTCGAACAGGTCGTCGCCGGGGCGGCCCTCGGCGGTGCCCTCTGTCGTCCAGCGGGCGAGGGAGTCCTCCGGCTGCGTTGGATCGAAGATGAGCTTCAGCGTTATGCCCTGGGTGGTGGTTAGCTGGACCCGGGCCTTGTGTTTTTTTTTTTTTTTTTTGTTCAGGGCGCTGTGCTTGGTATGTGCGTACTGTCGGGGCATTCGTACCTTGCCCATCGTGAGCGTCTTGACGACCTTGGTTTCGCTCATGGTGGTAGTCATTCTTGCTCTCTGCTGCACAGGTGTCCCTGACAGCACGGAGGCTTCAATGTTCGTTGTGGCGTTGGCGAGGTGAGGACGGCGCGGGGTCGTTCGACTAAAACATCGAAGTACAATTTGAGCTGTGATGATAAGCTCTCGGATGGTGAACCCAGCTCTCAGCTCTCATATAATAAGCACCGCAGGAGCCTCAATGTGTCACAAGCCTAGGCTGGTAGGCTGCGCCGCACGGCCAGCGCAGCAAATCGCCTGGCAACAGCTGTTCGCACTAGTACGATCCCACAGGATCCGCCGACTAAAATGGACCACGACATGCTGAGTGGTGGTCAGCTACCACGAGCTAGCACTAACGGGAGCCGACCAGGCTGCAATTGGAATGGCAAGACGATGTTGTCGGAAGGCAGTATAATTCAGGTATCAAGATCGGAGCGGCGCAAATGTGAACCGGGGCTTACTAGCCCTCTGGAGCTCGGTAGGGCTGCCTTGCCAAGGGCCTAGACGTCGTGACGGGTCAGTTTTCTCTTGGGCTTGGCGGGTCGTAATACTTTGTACATCCAATTCGCGCTATATATATATATATCCAAAATCTACCTCCAGCTATTATCCCAGCCGGCCTGCTCGACAGCAAACGCCATGGCGAGCTCAGTGAACCTGGCCATGTGGTCAAAGGAGAAATAGCCCCTGTCGTCATCGACGTAGATGGTGTCGTTGGCCGTGTGTATATACGGGTCATACTCGCCGGGGAACCCGCCGGCGACGGGGTTGCCCTCCGAGGCAAAGGCGGCGGGGAAGCCCATCTTGGTGTAGCTCATGTAGTCGGAGCCGGCGCCGGGGAACAGCTCGTAGACGCTGGTGGGGATGGAGGTGATGTACTCGGTGCTGAGCTCGACGGCCCATTTCGTCAGGGGCGCGTCGGCGTCGGTCTTGATGAAGCCGATGCTCTCGGTGGCGTTGCGGCCCACAAAGCCGGTCATGTCGAACTCCACCATGGCGCCGATGGCGACGCCCTCCTTCTTCTTGTAGGCGGCGATGGCCTGGCTGCCCAGTATGCCGCCCTCCTCGGCCGCGTACCAGTGGAACTCGACGGGGCCCTCCTTGGGGATGTAGCCGCTCTCCGCCAGGATCCTGAACGCCTCGAGGATGCTGACGGTGCCGGAGCCGTCGTCGTCGGCGCCCGGGGCGGGCAGCAGGGGGAACAGGTAGTTGGCCGAGTCCTGGTGGGCGCCGATGATGGTGAGGGGCTTGTCGTGGTCGCGAACCTTTGGCTCGAAGCGGGCGATGATGGAGGACTGCGGGAAGGGGTGGGTGAAGACCTCGAGGCTGATGTGGGTGTGGAACGGCGCCTTGGCGACGATGTCGGCGATGTGGTCGTGCAGCCACTGCGACGACTCCTCGCCCGTCTCGCCGCCATAGTAGCGGTTGTAGTAGCCCGACAGGTGCTTGAGCACGTCGTGCATGCGCGAGGTCGACACCTTGGCGAAGAGCGGCCTGACGAGGCGCTGGTGGGTCAGCTTGGGGAGGTCTGTAGCACGGATATGTGGTCAGCATCTAGATGGTTCTGCAGTTCAAGTGGATGGCCAGGGCACAGCAACAGATACATACTGGCCTTCCCAGACCAGGCACCGACGCCGCCATCAGCATACAGCTCCTGGTGGTCGGTGATGTCCATGAACTTCTTCCTCTCCCGCCGCAGCCGCAGCTTGTCGCCCTCCTTCATCCACCGCGGCTTGTCCTCGCCCAGCACGTGGATCAGCCTCGACTCGGACAGCTGGGCTGCCATCTCGGGCCGCAGGGAGATGAGGGCATCGACGGGGTCGGGGTTCGCTGCGAGGGCGGCCAGGATGGACTCGTCGACGACATGCTCGGGGTTGAGGTCGGACTTGATCTTGCTGCTGTCGTCCTGGGGCCCAAGCACTACTTGTTGTGATGCATCTTGGACCGAGGCAATGACCTGCTCGCAGCAGGCCAGCAGCAAGAGGGTGAGCTTGGCTGGGAGTGAGCAGCGCATCGTGGGGAGCTTGTGGTGGACAGGCAGAAGAGAAGAAGGGCTGGTCTGAGGCGACCGTTACTCTAGTATCAAAGCTCCAAGCTATGATGCAATCCTAGTCAGGTACTGAGTAAGTACCTAGGTACTCCGTACCTAGGCCCGTACGTGGTCAGTGGCCCATCACCCCTGTGTCTCGGCCTGATTGACCTCCGTCTCTAGGGGTCTGCCCCCGCCTGATAACGTCCAAGCTTGCCGTTGGACCTGCTAACAGTAAGTTGCCAAAGTACTGTTTCCAAAAAAAAAAAAAAAAAAAGGTGCTATCGATCTGCTTGGCCCGCATTCTCCGATTTCTGGCATCTTGACTTTATGCAGCGTCGATCGGTTCAAGACTATCGCATTTGGAGGGACTCAAACTCCGGGAAAAGGTGCAGGCAATGGTTTAATAATGCCATTGACTCGTTATTTGGTACCTGATTCCTCTACTCTGCGGGTGCTTCGTGTCAAACGCAGTCCTACCCAGGATCTCGGCCACCTGGAATATGATTATGACAGATAGCGATGCCTACCCTAGCCCTTACACCCCATAACTCTGATAAGACCCCGGTACTTAGGGTATCCCCATATCGACTTGCGGTTGGGGGAAACGATCGGGAGGCGAAAAAGGATTCTCGTAGGCATCCAGGCCCCAGAGCTTCCCGGCCTTGTAGTCCAGGATCAATTCGATTGTTCCGACAGCATCTTCGACTGGCACCCTCGTGGCTCTCTCCTGGTCGTTCATGAGAGCGGCACAAATTGTGGTCTCGTAATAGCGGTTGTCCAACGCCAGGTTTGCACTTTCTCGCCGGATACCCCCTGGTCTGAGCAGCTTGGACCGCAGTGCCCTGCTGGCGCGGTTGCTTTCGAGGTCGAAAACGGTGAAGGCAAGAGCGTTGAGGATCACGCCGCGATACCTTGCCCAGAACTCAGCGGTGCTGCCCATTTCGAGGATGCTCAGGAGGTTCCGAGCTGCATCCTTCAGGCCTCGGCGTGAGATGAGTTGGAACATAACACCCAATGCGGATGCTGTCAATGTGAGCTCTGCAGGGTCATATTTCCATCCTTGGACGAGATCATGATGGCGAGTTTCATGGAGCCAGCGAGGTAGCAGCCCGTACCACTTCATGTCCAGCTGCGTCTGCAAAACCCCCATCTCCTCGGGAAAGGCATTGAACAGCTGCAGACACAGTGGGAACAGACGAAGCTCTTCGATATACCGTGCCATGTTGGCAGAGAAAAAAAACCAATCTTGCGCTCGGTCTTTCGGGAGCAAGATGATCGAATCGATATCGAGTGGGAGCGCGCATCTGATAAAATTCTGGCAGCCACGAAGAGCCTCACCCTGTGCGACGGCCTCGGTGAAGGAAAAGATACCTGCTGCAGGAGAGCATGTCAGGAAGTCCTTAACTGTCTGATGCATGAGCTGTACGACACACTTCCCCGATATCGCCCGCGAGTCCTGGCCCGCGTTTTCTGTCGGTTTGGCTGACTTGGGCGGACGAATTTCGATCAAGGAGCCGCAGAGCCGTCGAAGGATACGGTTGAAGTCTTCCCAGGACTGAATCTCGATCCGCCCGTCGATCAGAGTTCGTGTGGGTGGCTGGCTGCCTGCATCATTCAACTCTTGGGAAGAAGCAGCCAAGGCGTCCCACAATTCCTCCATGGTGAACGCCCTGAATTCACTGGCCGTGTTGATCCACATCAGGGCCTGGCGAGCTGTACCTAGTGCGGGACCGGACATGGTTTCGGTCAGGTCTTTGACCATCTGGCCGTATAAGGCGTCGATATCCCGAGGCAGTTCTGCGACGCACGACATGAGGTGCTCGAGCGTGGCAACTGGTTGCTTCTTCACGAGCTTGAAGATCGAATCGAAGACGAGCACCACCCACAGAATGACCCCCGCTGCCCTCTCTCGAATGTTGTTGCCCAGGATATCAAGATCAAGAGAACTCCCTAGTTGGTGGCTTGTAAAAGATGCCGGCGCTGGTCGAACACTTGGGCATGGCTTCTGTTTCAGTGCCGCATGCGTCTTGAATTTTATCACGCCCCCAGTGATATGGTCGTGGGTTTTCATCTCGCTCTCTGCATCTCGGTACTGGCCAGTCATGATTGCGCCGAGTTTTGACAGGCCATGTTGCACCACCAGGTATATGTCTTGGTTGTTCTCGTCCTGCAAAGTAACTTTGCGTTCTTCCCAGAAGGATCTGTCGAAGGCGTCCGTTGGACGACTCAGTAATATGGCCTTGATCGAGGACCCCGGTCTGGAGACCAAAGTTTGAATAAACCACACTATCCTATCATCTTCGGCTTCGTCGATTGCATCAAATATCATCAGTATGCTGAGACCTGACGTATTTATGTTCTCTATAATCTGTTCGAGCTCTTTGTTCTCCCAGTCCGGCGAGCGAGTTGACAGTTTGCGCCGGTGAATCAATTTATAGTAGTGGAAAAGTGGCTTCCTTTTGAGCAGCAACTGGGAGAGTACGTTCCGAAGGAGCGACGAATAAGCCGTAAAAACGTCACCTCTTCTCCGACAGTAGAACCAGTCGCTGACTAAGAGATCACGATTTTGTGAAAATCGACTCGAATGATTGGAAACGCCCACCTGAATTGTCTTGGCCAGAACCGACTTCCCACAACCGGCCTTACCGATAATTGCCAGCGCTCCAGAGTGGGAAGTCATCAGCTTTCGGAGGCTGGGGTGATCCCAGATCCATATATTGGATGACAATACAGGTGGCGCAATTTCGTCTCGGCGGAGACTTCCTCCCCTCAACTGAAGAGAATCCAAGCACTCTTAACATTTGTAAAATCAGTATGGGCGGAAGAGAATGTCAGGACAATATATGAAAATATTACAGAAGAGATGAGTGCTGGAAACATACCTTGGTATTCTGAGTCTGCTCGGACAGAAGCATGGCCCTTCAGGAGGCTCAACAAATTCGGCGTCTCTCGAACGGACATGATCACCGAGCAATTGTGCGAGAGATTCCTGTTTCTTGATCTTGACAACAGCCCATTGACAGCATCAAGTGCTTCGAATACTGCAACCGCCGATTCTGTATTTCCAGGCCATTCGAAGATGAGAAATACGTGTCCAGGCACTGCATGGAGAGCCTCCACGAGCAACGATATCAGGGAGTCGATGAGCTTAGTTGGTCCACTGAAATCGATTTCTTCAAGAGGAACGGCGAATCCTTTGGCTTTGGCCTGCATTGCAAATGATAGAAGAACAATTTCCTTAGTGTCGGGCTTTTCTTCAACTGCAGCCCGACGCTGGTCTCTTTTCGTCTTCAGGACCTCAGCCTTAGCGGCGAGATAGGGCTCCGGGAGTTGAATTGCGGTGCCTTCGTCATGGTTATATAGGAAGACATGGTTCATGTCTTCAGTGTTGGCACTCAGTACCTTGCGAAGAATGCACTTCGCCACGTGGGTGTGGTCGGCGCGTCTGGCGAGGCCCAACCAGCAGCAGAGCACCGATCCGCGAGACGACACCCAGGACTGCATGACGCTGTTGTAGACGAAGCCATCCAAGACCTCGTCTTGGTCATGATTTTCGATGCGGCATTGAGCAAGTGCCACTTCAGAACGTTGCGACTCCCTCGCAGTCATGTCGTAGAGATCTTGAAGCCACTTGTGGTCTTTTTAGATGTTAGTCAAGCATCAGTCCATTCAGTATGACCTCAATATCACGCCTACCGCTTGGTCTTTTGTTTGTTTCTGCTGAGGTCATGTAACCTCTGTTATACCCATATTGATGGTATAAATGTGTGCGCACGACGTCAGCTGCTAAACAAGCGGACAACTTGACCGTTAACGAGGCTCGTAACACGAGAGCATCAGGTGTTGGATGACCTACCCTCATTTCCACTAATGTTGAAATTCACTGGCCCTTGATGGATCCGTGTATGGTCGCCATAGCTGCCCCCGTTGATGCTGGAAAATTGCCGCACCTCGATATCCCTCTGCTCCTGCGGTGTTCCTTGAGGGTGCGTCATCACCCCCAGAGGACCCTTCAGCCACCTAGAAAGAGAGCCTTGTACAAAAAGCGAAACACTTGTGGTTTTCTGCGAGCTTGATAATTCCAGGGCATGAAGCTGAAACAGTCCGGAGGGAAAACCTAGAGGATGCCTGTCTGGAGCACGTAAGCGCCCACATGCACCGCCATCAGCCCTAGATTAACATTGCTTACCCAATAGGTTTAACCCCATCGTGGCTGAAAGTATTGGCCAATAGGGGATCTAGAACTCTCCGAACCCTAACGCGTGGCTTATCTTGTCCTCGTTTATTTAAGAGCCCTCGTGAAGGTCAGCGGGAGTTTCAGTACAGATTCAGCAATGTTCCCCGCTTCTATCACCCACCAACAGACCAAGCGGATCTTCCATTAAATATTTCTTTGTAAATCGGCAAGGAGCGATAGCAAAGCGTCTGAAATATCCCACGATGGTAATTAATGTAGCTAAGAGGAAAACGGAACAAAGGCTGACGATCAGTGAGCAGGCCGCAGAAATAGGAACAGCGTCCGCAGTCATCAGTCTTTTGGAGACAGCCATCTCTTTGGTCAGGACGATACAAACTGCTCGGAAACAAGTCAAGGACTTACCAAAGGTTCTCTCGGATACTTCTGCACAGCTGGAAGGCCTTGTCCAGTCTTTGATCTTGGTTAAATCCGAACCAAATCTCCAGACCGCTTCCGTCATGTTGCAGGTCACCGCCATCATTGATGTTGCTGAGGAACTCAGAGACGTGCTGAAGACTCTTCGAGAGAGGCAGGAAAAGAGCTCGGGTCGCCAAATGATGCATGCTATAACGGCCGGCAACGAGGACGAAAAGAAGATCGCCGGCATTGTCAGCCGTGTAGACAGTGCCAGGTCTGAATTGACGCTACGTATTATGGTTGCTCAGGTTGGCCTGATCGGCAGCCTGAGCGACGGTTTCCGCGTGGCGTCATTAACACTGGCCGAAGTCAACGCCAAGGTCAACAGTTGTTTGGGAAGAGACTTGGTCCTTGCAAACATGACCCGGGGCCGCGCACCGGATGCTGGTGAGCCATCTACAATAGTGAAAATTGGTTCATGCCAGCTAACCAGACATCAAGACGGAACCGTAGAGCTTCTGCAAGAGGAGGTGACGAAATTGGGCCTAATTGACCAGCCACAGCCCAGTGACGCACCCGACTCGGGTCGTAGAGGACCGAGTGTGCCGGAGCAAAACAGTAGGATTTACGGCAATATCACGTTGGACCAAGCCAGAATCATGACCGGCGATGTGGGGGCTGGAAACTGGCAGTCAATTTCCAGGGTGAACGAGGTAGCCAACAACAGATTCGGCAAAGACACTCGGATCATGACAGGGAGTGTGGGACCGGAAGCTGCTTCGGCGTTCATGGAGAACTTTTGGAAGTGACGCGCAAGTTCTGTTAGTGTCCTAGCCCTATGCATGCAATACATTTTTGAGTACTGAGAACCCAACTTTCCTTCTTCTTTTCCTGTCTCTTTCAGAAGGAGAATTTCTGAGCCGTCATGTGTCATTTCCTCCTCATGATGAAACTGAAACCAAGGGTGTGCAGCAATTTCTTCCACACTGGGGCGACTGGCTGCATCGTACACAAATATGCGTGAGAGCAGATCCAACAACAGCGAGCCTTCATCGTCGCGGATGCGAGGGAAGGCGCCCCGAAACGCCTCTTCCATCTTATCGTCGTAGGGGACATGATAGTACCCGTCAATGCATACAGCCGTAGGCTTCCATATCATCGATTTATAGGCGACGGGGTATGGAACGCGCAATGGCGCATCCTTGGGCACGAGCAGCGGTTCCGGGTCCTGGGTTGGGACCTCTGTCTCGCCGCGGCTTTTCATATACAGTGACGGTGGCTCATCCAGTAATGAAAATATCCTTTCCTTCAGGGGCAGCCTTGGAGAACCGTAATGATTCAATTCTCCGATTGCCAAATCTGTTCTTGGCCATCCATCTTCGTCGAAGAGCACATCCGTCCAATCGCCTGGCAAATCACCGATGGCCCTCACGATCTGCTGGAGGACCTGGCAAGGGCAGCAAGCATCGTAGTCAAGGAATAGGTCCTCGGAAGAGCGCATGCGGAATATCACACAGCCTAGGGCCCAGATGTCAGACGCCTCGCCAGGTGGCTGGCCGATAACGACCTCAGGCGCCATATAAATGGCAGGCGTGCCTATCCTCTCCGGCGGCTGGTCTTTTTGAAAGCACTAGTTGAAGTCAATGACACACAGGCGCTTGGTTAAGCGGTTCGTGGAAGGCACGAAGAAGTCTAGAGGTTTGACAATGTATGCCGGGGCGCTGGGGCCGGTAGGCTTCCCCGAGTAGGTCTCAATAGGATCGGTCAACGGCCGGCCGAAGGCTTGGTAAATGTCCTCTTCCTTATAGCCTTGAAACTTTTCGGGAAGCTGAATGGTCAAATTGCCGGCAGTTAGATCTAGTGTCCATTGCAGGAACTGATCAGCATCATCGCCAGTTTCGCCTGCATGATTACAGTCATCATCATCCTCATGATGGTTCAGGACAAGCCAAAAGAGTATTTGTGGAGGCAACCCAAGGGATCAAGAAGACCGGCAAGAGGGGATCCCCCCTCCCCGAGCCTGTGACTCGGCGCTAAGCACAACTCACCACCCCCTGTCACCAGATTAGTCTGAACGCCACCGTATGAATGCGTGTAGGCCAGAAGGCCCAGAAGGGGTGCCAAAGTAAATTTCATCTTCTGGCTTCAAACGATCCTTCAATGAAACGCAGTCCAGTCTTGGTGGACTTGGCGCAGCTGAGTATCGCACTGAAGACTTGATCTACCGTGACAACTTTTACTGTTCCCCCGCTCTCATTCGAGTTTGTGCGTCTACTGAACCCTTCTCATCAACCATTGTAATCCCGCAGTCACCTTTATCGACTGGTGGTCCTCATCCATGAACTCCCCACGTAGGCGCCTCCTGCTTGGGAACGGCCATGGGCTTGACGTGGCAATTTAATCAGAATGAAGACGTGCATTGCGTGACTCAAATCGTGTTTCATTGAGTAATAAATGGACTTTTTGTAATTGACAGAAAATGCCAGGCGTCTGTTGGAGAGCCAGAAAGGAAATTTGGCAAGGAAAATATCGAAGCTAGACACCAATACACGAGCCCATACAAGCCCAATTTTAGAGCAAAAGACGAGCCTTCACCTAACAATTGTCACTGCAATCTCGGTGCGGAATTCTGGTGATTCCGTCATCACCTACTCCTTGCTGATCAGGAGTGTCTGCAAGTCCCCTGGCAGATCCGCAGGCCCAGTCGCATTGAGACCAATTTCCACGCTAGGGTAGTCAAGAGACATCAGCATCAAGAGCTGGGGATGACGGTTCCATCTCTTTCCCATGGTGGGCGCTTCACTTACAATTGCTGGTACACATCCTCCTCCAGCCCGGCGAGGTCATACTCAGTGCCATCAGCCAGCACCAGGACATCCGCCCTCTGGCAATTGGAGTCGTCGTACTCAGGGTCAGACTCGTCCCGCTTCCGGCCAACAAAGTTGTAGCCCACGCCGGTGTACTGGAACCCGTTGGAGCGGTTGCAGATCCACGGGTTGCCGTTATTCCCCGAGATGGTCATGAGAGTACTGCAACCAGCGCCGGAGTAGCCCCTGCACTGGAGGGCCCAGCCCGAGGGGATGCCACGGACGGCGACGGATCTTCCGGTCCCGCTGCAGCACCAGTTGGGGTTCGCGTCGCGGCAGATCACGCCGCTACCTCCACAGTCGTTGTTGCTGTGGAAGTATAGGTCCACGGCCGAGACGGCAGCGACGAGGCTGGAGATTGCGATGGAGAACTTCATCTTGGGAAGATGGGGTTTTTGAAAGATTTGAAGAAAGCTTTGATGATGATATGGATGATTGAATGGCTATGTCTGTTCAAAATTCGAGGTCGAGGGTGTCTCTCTTATTTATACCCAGAAGTCGTGGTCTCGATACCCACTCTGATGGCACGACGTACTGATCCGATGTGGGCTTCTCGACTTTTCTTTCCATCTACGGAAATCAGTCGATATGAGAATGGTTCTGCCTAGGCATCCTGTTTCTTGCATCTGTGTGACTGCCTTGACGCCCTGCAGGCCAAGAATATCCCATGAGGCTGGGATCATCACTCGGGCTTGGTGTTCGGACTAGGCCCATCGTCAAGAGATGCTTCAGACGTCACATTTCAATGACTGTCAGCATCTCCTACAGCAACAGTTAATTTGATGATCATTGAGCAGGCCGATGTCGACCAATGTCCAATCCTGGTTTTCGAGAGCGGTACCGGTAGAGAACAGGAAGGGGTCCCTTCACCAGATTGACAGAAATTATAGAACGGCGTTGAGAGTTTTTATGAGAGCACTTTAACTCAAGTACAAGCAGCATCATGTTAGCTTTCAAATGTTGGAGCCTAACTAGAAAGATATTGCAATCGGGTAAAGTTTCCTCTAGTCGACACCGATGAAGCCGTCCACTCCTTTTTACCCAAATGCATCAAGAATCCTTTGGATTAGGTAAGGTCTATATCGTGAGTGGCTTTGAGCTGAGTTATTCAGAGTCGCGGACTCGGAATGGGCCCTCCGAGGGAGGATAGTTGGCATGCCAAGATTATAAAGAATCCTTTCACGCAGCGCCAACATCTCCACTACCTATTGAGCCGCTGCGATGTAAGCTGACTTGAATGCAGGGTCCAAAATGGCGAGTACCATGCAGCAACATTATGCATCTATGTCAGAGCACTCTCTGTGTAACACTTGGCCCTTGGCCTGGCGTGACCGTCAATGTGCCAGTGACTATGAAAACAGCAGACCTGTGTAGTTACCAATAGCAGAGCCCGGCAGCAACGGCACGGATCTCAAGCCAACACCAGAAATGATATTGAATTTATCAAGGAACTTAGAACTGAAAAGGTAAACCTGTTCCTGTCAAGACTTTCAGGCCTCCTGTAATACTGTAAGCCGGCTTAGCGAGCCGCTATTTTAGAACGTAAACCTCAAGGTGATTATGGATGAGTAACTACGGCTTGGAACTTACAAGGCTGTCAGTACGGTGAGGAGGATTTAGGCAATCATGAAAGCGAAAGCGCGGACTGGACCAGCAGTGTATTTAAAAAAGAAAGCTTCTTACAACAAGAAGTAAAACAGAAAGCTGTGTGGATAAGAAGCGGTACATAATGAATTTGAGACGGAAGCTAAGATGCTACCTACCTAGGTACGTATACTGTTGAACAGAAAGGCCTCTCAGCATCAGACAAGTTCAGCATATGAGACACGGTTGGCTAAGTTTTTGAATGATTTGAAGGGGTCACATCTGCTTTGACTCCCTTGAGAATTTATGCATGATGTGACTGCTTTATGGTAGTGCATAACGTGACACAATCAGTGAGAATCATGCTTCAACGTGATTATCAGCCAGATCTCACGTTCTTTCAGTGAAGATTGAAGCAGGACTGAGGATCGACTTTCAACAGCCATGAATGATTAGCCTTCTAACAGGAACATCAAATAGTTGACGCATGAAACTGTCGTTCGAAATGTATCAGGAATCATTGTATTAAGAGACAGTGATGCCTTAGATCGGGTTGTGATCATTGACAGTTTGTATGTCCCCTGGCAGAACATTTAGGTGCCCCAACTTGCCACGTAACTGTTCGTAGTCAAATCTCAAACACGCCAAGTTCGCTGTGAGCATCTTGTAATTTGCAATCATTCCACGGGTCGTCATTCAGCACCAGTGGGTATTTCTGGCCCATGAGCCAACTGGTCACTAATTACTTGTGCTAGTGATGATAGAAGATCGGCAGTGAACCCTCATCGGAAAGTGTCAACTTAAAGGTTCAACTGTCGCTGATGATGGACGAAAGTCGCTGTCAAGAGATACGGAGAGTGTTTGATGAGCTTCGCCGCATGCATCGCGAACCTTGGACACACCGGGGCACCTCGACTGCAGATCCTATTCGCCTCTCGACATGGAATCATTTCCGCCGGCACGGCTTTATCCGAAACATCGTTGTTATTGGGCTTGAAGATCCAGGAGAATTACACGAACTAGTCCAATATACGAGGGGCCAAATCCGTGGCCCACCATTGGAGCGGCTCAGAGTCGTTGTGCCGCAAATCGTGTTCGTTAGACACGTCATGGACGTTCTGCGACAACACCAGCCATTTGGAGAAGTCATTGTCTATGCTCAGAATTCTGGTTTCTGCCAAGAGACTGTCTATGGTCTGGCGCATTTTATAATCCACGTTGTTCGAGATGCGCGCGCTTTTATCGATGGCCGGAGCCTCGTCTTGGATCTAAGGATGGAGCAAGGGAAAGTCATCGATGGCAGAAACATTACCTCTAGTATTTGCTCTGAAGAACACGCATCTCCTGGAGCAATACTGAAACGGTCTTCTACGATAGAGCTACCTTTCGGCTTCCTCGTCTCGTGAGTTGTGCTTGTTGTCAGAATTTCACGTGCAGAGGTCCGGCCCTGGGCTGCCCTCCCCTCAATAACCCATCATCGGTCTGGAGACATTCGTTCTGACCGATGCAGGAGTTGCGGCTCGGATTATGGAGTCGTAACACACTTCGAGTTGCCGTCTCAAGCGGGTCCGCTGTGGGAGGCGGAACAGGCTTGGTATCGCAATCTCAGAGGACTCTTTCGCCGTGGCATGGAAGATGAACTCCGGCGCGGGGAGGTGAAAGCACGGCAGACCGGGGACCTTTCAGATGCTGTCAAGCAATTATCAATCCGACATGAAGATGAAGAGAGACTTGCACAGCTTGCAAGGAACATGATGGTTCTGGTGGTTCGGAGGGGGATATGAGACCACCTATGGAGGACCGGAGCCATCTTAAAGTTTTTACTTTTTCTCAGTTTCCTCTGAAAGCCGGTTGGGTAGGGATCGATCTTAAGAACTGCCCAGGTGAGATACATATGTACTATTGACGGGTAAAGGATACGAGCTCGGCATGTGTTAGCAATAAAAGTGACATCATTAGGTCTTCATTCCCAGGGTTATTATCAGTCACCAATTACTATGTCTGTGCTGTTCGAGCAACAAGTGTCCAAGAATCTAGGATTGTGCCCCAAATTGGACCATGGGAAGTATGGGAGACCCATGCGATCCGTCTTTGGACCCTGAACCGTCCATGCACATCATTTCATGTTGTTGGGCAGGTACTACTAGGCTGGAGTGTTCAGTTGTATTTGGTAAGCTACCTAAGAGAACTCACATTGCAGCTTGGAAATAAACATTGGGAGATTCTGGTGAGACTGTGCGGCCCCGGGCCAAAATATACAGTATGGTAAGCCTAACTTTGAATATAACGCCTCCCATGGGTATAAGTCTCGTCCAGCTTGCCGGACAAGCATTGCGGTATGAAACTGATTCAAACACATATCCTCCGGAACACCCCCAGCGCACTCAGCCAACAGTGCCATTCCATTTTCCGGTCAAGTCCAAAAGCAAACTCCCATGCGCCTTGTGATTTCCTCATCTTGATGCAGTTTTGTGCCCTGGTGCGACCCGTGTTGGTCTGAACCACATGAACTCGCTTTCAATGTTTCCATCGTATTCGTACATTGCCGTCCATATTAATTTGTGTGTTTTAAAATCTCGGTCTTGTTGATTTTTCGTTTTAACTGTATGGAATTGGGTCGTATGAGAACCGATGGCATTCTGCCTCCGCACACCTCATACAATAACCTCCTTTCCTGACGACCGGCGTGACGCAGCGGCCGTCTGGTCCCGGGTTTGCTCGGGCACTGGGACATGATGTTGACCGACAGTCGCAGGGCTTGGTGGCTCGCGGCCTGAGGAATCTGATTATGGTATTCATGCTGGCTTGTAGGATGTGTGGTCTTTATGACATCTGGGCTGTTCGCAGAATGTGCTATTGATGCTTTGGAGTATAATTCGGTCTTTGGCTAAGTGTTATACGTTGTATGACAGGACGTTATATGAGTGCCGTTCACAAAGGGGCGGAGCCCTACCGCTCCACAATTCCCTGCTCTTGGCAAGATCCTGAGGTCAGCCAGCCACACACTCAATTTGGCTGTCATTTCTTTGTTCCATCCAATGCAGTATTGAGTTTGATGCTAATCCTAATTTCGAGGTAAGACCGCTGTCAGGAATTCAATCAGATCCTCCAAGCCCTCAGGTGACTTGAACCAATGCCCCCCATCAGCATATTCTTTCCAGGTGACCGTGACTCCGTAGCCCTCCAACTGCTGCCTCAACTGTTTTCCGCCCTCAAATAACACAGTAGGATCATCCATGCAGTGCTCCAAAAGCACGGGCGTATTCAAGACCAATTCATCACTGGGTGTCCCCTCTAGCCCGAGGATATCCCGCGTCTGCTTCAAACTGAGGCCCGGAAAGGGCATGCGGCAGGCGACACCAACAAAGGCGCCCAGCCTCTTCGGCCCGGAATAAGCCTCCGGCAGTCCTAGGTTGAGGAGCGTGTGGACGCTGGTGGCGCCGCCCTGGCTGATGCCCATGAGCACGATCTTGTCGTACCTACCGCCCAGCCGCGCCGCCTCGTCGGATATCAGCGCCCTGATCCGGGCGACGCTGTCCCGCAGCCCAGGCGCCTGCAGCTCCTCGCGCTCCTTGAGGTTGAGGTGGTCCCACAGGTCGAACCACTGGCTCATGCTCGGCAGCGCCCCGGGCCTGGCGCAGGGCTTCTGGCCGGCGTCGGGGAACACCCAGCGGAAGGTCGGCAGGACGTCGACGGCCGTCTGCCGCTTTGAGTTGCTCCAGGTCATGTACCGGATGCTTCGTGCAAAGTTGGGGGCCCTGTCGCCGCGGCCGTGTAGGAATATGACGGTGTGTGTGTGCGGCTGCCCGAGGCTCGGATCGATCACCTCCAGTGGCGCGGTCTGGGTGGCCAGGTCCTCCTCGCTTTGCCAGTCCATGGCCATTGTTCGTGCGTGACCCTGGCGCTGGTGTAGATCTTTTCGGAGATGAAGCCCAAAAGGTGACTGGTATTATGTGAGAGGATCAAAATGATACCTCTTTAGGCGGCTGTCTTGCAGGAAGGAGGGTGTTGATGACTCTCCACCCAAGGGACATTATTCGTTAGGCAGCTGCCTATATTTATTTGGCGTTGGTTGATGACCCTCGGGTTTAAATGTGGAGCTTCCGAGGTGTGGCACAGCAGGCGACCGCAGGATGCCATGCGGCACCTGGGACATCCCTGCGCCCCCAGCTGCCGGAGGATCAATGGCACCTACTTATAAGCAAGCTATGCTCAGCACACCACTACGTAGAGAACCACAGAGCAAGGCAGAACAATGCGATCTAACTGGTTTCGCTTCTATCCCGCATACGTCCGAGGACATAGATGGCGCATTCCAGTGCGATCTGTATTGGCATTTTTCCATGAGAGGAACAACATGCCAAGGTTACTAACAAAGTAAATTACCGAAGAACAGTAGTCAACAAAATGTAGTTAGCTTATTGTGCTCCCGGAACAAAACAGCAGGGCCAAAGCGCTACACATGAGTCGGTTTGACCCGTCCTGTGGACAATATCTCAACATCTGGTCACTCTAACAACATTTAATGCTCCGGTAGTCTGGTTCAGCAAAGCCAATGCACAATCAAGATTAAAAAGCGAACAGGTAGGTGAACGGGTTCGTTGTTGATCAGTATACGAGATGCATTCATACACACAAGTATTTGGGATGGATGCTTCTCCTCGGTACCCGACCCTCCTCCACTGGTATCCTCTTAACCCATCAAGAATCGACCTGTGCGTTCTTTGCCAACGGAAATGTGGAGAAAGGCTTTGAGGCATCTTTGTGTGCACTGCCATGTAAGGAAGTATCTCTGCGTTATGTGCTTCATGGCGACGGCATTTCGGGCTAGAAAAGGTAAAATGGTGGGCACTACATGAGACCGAACCTGGTCGCTTCACATGTTGATAACCAAGAACAAGAGAAGAATTTGATCAGCTTCATCAAAAAGAAGGCCCCTGGCTTTCCATAGCTTTGGGTTGTGGATTTGTGGCAGTCAAATAAGAAGCCTGACTCTGATCTTGAGCGTGATTAAGTCTACTGCTGCACACGCGCGCCATCTACTAGTACATTTCAAGCACTGCAGCCCTCCATGTGTGCTCTCGATCTCAATACGTGCTCTTCAAACTCTCCACTGTACGACAATGTGTTCCTGTAAATGCCATAACTACTTGTTACTTGTTACCATAAACCTGAGCGAACTTCAACTCGAAATCCTTCTCGCTTAGAAGTGGTAAGCCCACGAGCTCGTTATCCACTTCCTGATAGTAGGCTTGGAATTTCCCAGACATGACGGTGGCCTTCAAAAAGTCCATTGTATTCGGGAAACTCGGGTCCTCTTTTGCAATCGCCTCCAACCTGTAGAACTCGGCCAAGGGGTCGCTGACCTGGGTGATGGTCCAGTCGGCACCAGGCGAGTACTTCTTCGCGAGGCTAATAAGCTGAGACTGCGTGACGACTAGTTCGTGTAGGAAGAGGTTTTTGTTCTTGGTCGGCTCAGGATTCTTCAGGGCTCCCACAATAGCGCGGCCTATGCCGTGCAAGCTTGTTGTGCTGATACCGCTGCTCCCGTCGGCCCAGACCTCGGCTGTCTTGTGCTCCCAGTCGAAGAAGAGGTTGTAGTTGATTATAAATTCGGTAAATCCACCAATGCTGAAAATTGTGTGTTCGATATCATGAGACTTAGATTTCAGATACTGTTGGATATCGACCATGTCGATATGGTGGGGGAAATCACTGGCAGCAGGGTGCGTGGTGAGGGAGCCAAAGTCCGTGGGGATGAAACGTCGGACGCCGGTTTCGATTGCAGCGTCGATCATCAGCTTCTGGGCGGGTCTAGCCTCAGAGGCTACCGTGGAGACGACCGCGTCCTGGCCGCTGAGCGCCTTTACCAGGCTTTGCTTATCAGCATAGTCCACAGCGAGGACGCGGACATGGGCCGGAAGATCTTCTTCTGTCTTTCTCGAGCGACCGAGGACGGTCACCTCAAAGCCTCCCTTTACGAGCTCGGATAAGACAGCAGACCCCAATTGACCTCTCTGCGCTTTATTAGTGTAGTTCATGGAGCGGACGGAAGATACTCACACCAACAAGGGCGACCTTCTTGAAGGCGGTCATGGTTGCAGATCGGTTCAAGTAGTCGGTAAAGAATGATACGTGACGATCAAGAGAAGCATAATTGTTAATATGGGGATTCTGGTTGTTTTATATTCTCCCCGCTGTCCGACGAGATGGAAGCATTTATAATCAATCGATTGTCGTCCATGTTGTGCGAGTGCGCATAGGATTTGAATGGATTCAGCTCCCGAGACTTGGGGGCTCGTATCTTAGCACCTATGGAAACAATGCAGTCCACATCATATTACGGAATGCCCGAGGACAGCAGAGGGCGGATAGAAAAGTTTCACCGGATGCGAGAGCGAAGCGGCTTTGTCACCGGCGCGGAGGTCGGTCAAAAAATAAACTCCGTTCTGCCTCTCTAGTTTCAGTAACATTTGTAGAGTACCTAGGTACTTACGCAGCAGGCTATCAGGTAACCAATCGGATGACGCGGGGCACCGGATGGGGATAAACAATACCTAGGTAATAAGATTCGTGGCACACACCTTGGGAGATGCGCTAGTCTGATAGATTGCTCCTTAAGTACTTACCTACTTGGTCAGCAGGCAGACGTCAGCTTACCCTCAATGTCTGCCCTGGCCCTACGAAAGCAGTTTCTTCTAGACAACACGCACGATTCAATCTCTCCTTCATACATACTTAGGTAGTAGGTACCCAACGATGACAATAATAACAGTTTCGCAGGAAACCCGTGTGAAACTTTCCAGAATCCAAGACTGGGCTCAACACGCGCAGGGGTTATTAAGCGATTTTCACCTGCTTCAGTTCGAACCTGAAGAGACTTTTATTTCCTAGCATTTTACGATTTGGCCGGTTGCGAGAGATCTATGCGCTGTCCGTGTCCGATCTTCTAAAATCTCATAACTATAAAGTTACGTGATTTTACGCGGGACTGAAGACACTGTTTTGGAAAATATTGCAGCCATGACAGCATCTAATCAGCTGTAGCTCTGGTGTAATCAAGTTTGTGTTCATAATTAGCAAACAGCGAAGCATGGCGACTAATACCTGCGTAGTACAGAAAGACTTTGTTCAACACCATTTTGGTCAACCGCTGTTTAATCATCATTCAAGAGATCTCTGTCCCTGGGACCGCCCAGAGCCTCAACCAGCTGTGAGTTATCTCCAGGGAGGTGCAAGCCGCAAATCAAAGGGTTCCTGGCAGCTGAAGCTATCATTCGGCCGCGTTGTTGAATCGCCGAGTAGAAACAATACTTACAATTTAGTTCCGTTCCACAAAGATGATTTGCTAAGCAGCTTGAACGTTTTTTAGATCGAGACATGGCCATTGCCACATAGCACACCGGCCATTGTTATCCTCAACAACTCGGTGATTGATCCTTTGTTACACTAGACTAGCCGATAATAATACCTTTGTTGATTTTGAAGCGTACTTGAGCGAGCAGCGGTTTAGCGAAACAGTCCCTTAGTATTAATATAAAGCCATTTGATTGGTCGTCATACCTTCTGAGCTGGAAAGGTTGTGGTCATCAATAACTTGGAACCCTTTTGCACATCGATACAATAAGTTGAGGCATTCAGGTCAACGTTTACCACACAAATTGCTCGGTGTACAGATCATCCATCCAAGACAATGTCAATTCTCATTGAATTCCCAACCGAGATCTGGTTGCTTATCTTACAGCAGCTCTGTCAGTGTCCACACTGTCTCGGCGGCAGCATCTACGATTTCGACCTCTCAACATATGAGCAGGCGAAACCCGATTTGATGGCTTTGACATTGACGTGCCGGGATATGAAGGACGTGGCACAGCCTGTGTTATACCACAGCTTTTATGGTTCTTATTATGGGGATGGACTTTCGAAATTTCTTCGTACCTTGATATCCAAGCCTGAGCTGGCAGGTCACACGAAAGTCTTAGTTTTCCCAGAAGACCTCGTCCGCCCATTTCTGTTGGACGACGACAGTGGGTTTCTTACACGCACCCACATCGGGAACTGTATTCGGGCCAGCGTCGCCGCTGGGGTCGCTGTCCCTCCTTGGTTATACAATGTCGTCGCTGGGCATGAGGAGCCGGCTGTTGAATTCATCGTAGGACGTCACGGCGATCAGCTCCACTTTACGAACCCCGAGCGCCAACACGGCAACCCCAGCGATTCGGAGTACCATTTACTCATGAGGGACTTACGTCTGTGGCAACAACTCCTGACCATAAGACTTGTGTCTTCTAGCATCTCTCACCTCGCAATTGTGGAGCTGAACGCCAAGATCGCACAAGCAAGCTTCGAACATCAAGACCTACCCAAAATGCCTCTCAGATTTCCAAATCTTCGCTCGGTCTGCTGGACGCTCTTGCCGTGGAAGTCACACGAGGCGTTCCAAATGTGCTTCCGCTACGCGCCTGTCCTGAAATCCATGACTGTCGGTGCCGTCTTCAAGCCCGTGCCTGATGACAAGATGTCAACACAGTGGAAACTGCCAGCGTTATCCACCAATGCCAAAACCTTGTCGCTTGCTTGTACAGCTCCGTTACAAGGGTACATGCTACAAGTCAACAACCAGGTTGAGGACCTTGAGCTCCATTTTCTGCACGATGGTGTAGCAGATTGGGTAGCTGGTATTAATGCGCCCCCTGAGCTTTCAAAGCTGGACCCCTGGCCCGATCATGTCAAGAGCCGGCTGAGGCGCCTTTGCTGGAGCAGCAGAGTGTCGTATTTTGCACGCGAAGCCAATCGCTTCCCAAGGGAGGAGGATGGTTTAAACATGTTCCCACCTCTCAGTGATCTCACGAGATTAGAGTCACTTGTAATTGATCGGCCGTCGCTGGAAGTCTGTGTAATGAGGGACCGTGGCTCAAACATATCCAAGAAAGAGATGGCAAGACAACTGCCCACGATACTTCCTCGCTCCCTCAAGACTCTGCGATTGATGGTCAATCAGGAACCCTCCTGGGCATGGCTGATTCTTGAGTTAGAAGAGCTCGCTTCGGCGAAGGAAACTTGTCTTCCGATGCTGTCCGTCGTACAAATCGACTTGACGCCGATGTTAATGATCTTGATTCCGCACTTGCGAGACACGAACCCCTTGCCCGAAGTTATGTCCAATCTTGGAGTAACTCAGGCCATGAGTGACAGTGGGATCGAATTGAGGTTTGGGTCTAGATCAGGTGAGTACCGAGGCTTGGTGCGTCCTCTGCCAGCGTATTTTGACTCTATCTTAACACCTGCACTCAGCGTGAACCCGGCGGTGCCTTTTGATCTCCTTTAGAGTGAGCAGTCTACAGCGTTTAAGTTGCTTTTGAAAATATATTCTTTGTGTCAGAGGATGATATTAACCTTGAATAGTGACATCAATATTTTGGTACAGTTTTTGAAGGTGTCACCTGGTAACCAGACAAGTGTGTAAAGTTGACTTGAGAAGACGCATATTTTTAGGCACTCGACCCGTGAATGTCGACTGTTCGCTTAATTCTGTTTGTCTTACGTCAAGTTCAAATCCTGATCGAAAAAATAATCTTGTTTTTCACTAACTCTATCTCCATTTTTCGTGAACCCCATCTCATCCACTTTTGCGAACGAGACAGATGATCTTTTTATCAACACTGTCGTTAAGACGGTGCCCCTTAGCCTGGTCTATACCTCACAAGGCTAAGGCTATAAGCACCTATCATGTTATGACTATCGTTATTAATATAAAAGTTTATCATGTCCTTTCCAACCTTGGAAGCGCTGGGTCTTGAGTGCTTACCCTAGGGTACCACCGTATAAAGGTGCCAAGTATGCCCTCGGACGCATACGGAATAAAAGCGAAACCACATATGTCCTCGGATGTAAATATAAAATAGAAATGAAATTATTCATTAGTATCGCATTTGTTTACTGTTGGACTACCCCATGGTTAAAGTTATCCTTGAATCTCCGCCTGCGTTCGATATTGCTTGGGATGAATGCAGTTAGGTGATCCGGAGGTCCTAGCAGATAATTGATTTCATATCATATCCCCTGTTGACTTGCCAGTCCAAGGCTTCCTCCTATCAATCAATTACTAAATAAGCCAGTTTTCGAGCCGCTTAAAAGACACTGCGGTCCTTTGTCTGAAATTGATGAAATAATTGATTCTTGTTCTGGAAAATACAAGCAGAAACTAGCACAGTACCTAGGTAGACGTTCAAGATTAAGCAGACTGCGGTCAGGTAGCGAGGAGACTGGGTATCCCCGAGTTATCTGGCCTATTAATACTCAAGTGTTGACCTTCTCCCTATAGCTTCGGGGAATATAAACTCTGGAAATCATAGGGATCCACCAGGTGTCACCAGCCCTCCGCCCTGCCCTGCCCTACTGCCTAGAAGAATGCAGGCGACCCCTGTGTGATGAAAGGCCTGGACTCCCAGACGCTGATAGATGTGGCCCCAAGACAGTTATCCACCTGTCTGGCCCACAAACCCCACGCACTACAAATTCACTAGCCCGAGGTTTTGCCGCTTTCAAAGAGTCTTCTCGAACTGGACGAGTCCGCCTCAGGAAAGGTACCTCGGGAATGACCGCCCCGAGCCTTTGTGTTGTCACCATCCACATCGCCCCACGCCCGGGGTAGTATCCCTTCGCCATCCCAGAAGGTAACAAAAAGCCTCAGCTGGACACAATGAAAGCCCTCCGCATAGTCGAATCATTGAGATTTGTTACGAATCGCCGGCGATTCGTGTGCGCCTTGTTTGATTTGCGCGATATAGTCCCTCCTGTGCTCAAGTGCTTGGAAAGCCTAAACCTTGCTGAGTGGACGACAGCTGTGGAAACTTGATAAGTTTGTAGTCACTCTTGCGTTGGATTATTACGAGCATAGCACCACAAATACTGAGGGTTTAAGGAATTGTTCGGCCTTTACCGACAGCCTTTCTTTTCATCCGAGATGGGCTTGGTGTGCCGGAATAAAGACGGTAATAGATCTCGAACTTGATATATAGTATTTATGGAGGTATAGGGAAATAGTCCTTTACCAAGCCCTATAGGGACCCCTATAGGTCTAGGGATTAGGTCTTTTAAACTATTATACTTTATATAGGCTTAAGGTAGGGAAGTAGACTACCTAAAAAATAAATTCTTTTTACTTTCCTTTTTCTTTTCTTTTAATTAACTATAATAATTTATGTAATATTTTTTTTATAATAGTGTCTAATTATTAGATTATAATTTAATTATAAATTTTAAACTTTTTAACTATTAAATTTAAATATTAATAAGTTTTTAATTATATAAATATAATATTTAATATCTAAAAGGTTTAATAAAAGAAGGTATTTAATTATAACTTTAATTTCTATATTTAATTAGTTTTTATTCTTAATATTTATATAAAGAATAATAAATATATTAATTATTCTTTTAAATAATAAAAGAGGTAAAAAGGTTTTATAATTATAAAAAGGATTATTAAGGTAATAAACTATCTTTTAAATAAATAATTAAATATTTTAATAATTAAATCTTTATTAAAACTATTTAAAGAATTTTTATAAAGTTAATTTAAATAAAATAAAGTTAATAAGGAAGTTTAGTTTTTAGATTTTATAAAGAAAGTTTAGTTTAAATAGTACCTTACTTATTAGTTATAGACTTTAAAGGATTAAAAATATATAATTTAAAGTAATAAAACTTTAATTATTTTATATATTTATTATAATAAATATTAAGTTTAAAAGATTTTTAATTAGTTAATTAATAAGTTAATTATTTATAAATATTAAAAGGGTACTTAAAGTTTATATTTTAGGCTTACTTTTATATAATAAAAGAGGCTTTATTATATTTAGTAAATAGAAACTCTTTTAAAAAGAAAGAGGTTAAAGAGGAATTTAAATAGTTTAATACTTAAAATAAACTTTTATATCTTTATAAAGTAATAAGTTAAGAAGGATATATAATTTACTTTAATATAAAAAAGAATTTATATATAATTTATTTATATAAATAAATATAATTTAAAAGAATAATAAGTTTACAAAAAGTTAACTATAAAAGAATTAATTAATATTATTATTAGAAATATATTTTAGTTAATAAACTTATTTTGTTTATTAAATAAATTAATTTTTATATAATTATTTAAAAGATAAAGCTTTTATATATACCTATTTTACTTAATAATTAATCTTTAAACTTATTAATATTAAATATATATTATAATATAAGAATTCTTTAAACTTTAAAATAATTAAATTAATTTAGTTTAAGTTAAAAGGAGGATAACTTATAAAGGAGTGTTTAAATTAGATCTTAAAGTTAAGTAAGTATAATAAAAAAATAGGCTTAATTTAAATAGTTAAAACTATAAGCCTTTATTAAAAGATCCTATAATATATTAAGTAAGTAATTACTTATAAGAGTAATAATAAATATTAAAAAAAAGGAATAGGTTATTTTAAAAAGAGTTTTATATATTAATTAAAATGTATAATATAGATAATAATTATAATTAAATATATTAAAATATTAAATAAAAAAAGAATAAAAAATTTAATATAAAATTTAAATACTTTATATATATAAATATAATTTAATTAGGATAAGTAAAGGTATAATAGCTATAATAAGTATACCTTAAGGAATTATTAGTTTATTAGTTATTACTTTTATAATAAAATATTATAATAAGGGGCCCCTATAGGGCTTGGTGATAGACTATTTCTCTATACCTCCGTAGTGCGGGTTCCTTGGCAATACTCGGGAAAAATTGACGATTCACTTGAAGTGCCTCAGTTGTGTGGCTTTGAACAGAAACTGTTGAAAGGGAGGTATGTTCGGTGATCTTGTTGCGAAGACTTCCCGTCAATGTCTGCGGGATGATCGGCTTCTTATCGGCACCCTCATCCGAGCCTTTCCAAGTGTTGGTTCCGACAAATTAAGCATAAACAGGGGTGACAGATGCACAATCTCCACAAGCAAGTTCGTATCGTATCATGGATCCACACCCCGATCCTCCGCCATGCCCGTTCCCCGCCGCTGCCTAGAAACAGGAGAAGAAACCCACAAAAGCACCCGGGGGCAATCATCCTGCGGATGCAAGAACGGGCAGGATGACAGACGAATGCGATCATGAGTCGATCCCCTGCTTATTGCAGCCCACATTGGACTCGGGGGGCGAGCTCAAAATAAATCGCGGACTTGGCCTTGCAGATACGATCATCCGTTTGCCGTCCTCCTCCCCTCTCATACGAGCACTCGCCAGCTACCATTGCAACAATAGCCACAGTAGCGTTAATCCTAATAGTAATCGCCATGTTGTCCCCCAAGGCCGCCACCATCCTGAACCTAGCCCTATTGGCGTCCGCTGCCCCCAGCAAGCGCCAATCCACCGGCTCCGGGTCCTGCACGGATCTGCACATCTTCATCGCCCGTGGGTGGAACGAGGAATACCCCGGCCGGCAGCAGCACCTCGTCGACGCCGCCTGCAACGGGGTGTCCAGCTGCGACTATGAGGACATCAGGTTCGACGCGACCAATGCCAATGGTTTCGATGCCGCCGTGGAGGAGGGCCGCGCCTCTGGTGTGGCCCAGGTCAACGCGTACACGCAGCGATGCCCCGACGCCAAGATCGTCCTGAGTGGTTACAGCGAGGGCGCAGTGGTTGTGGGCAACGTGCTGGCCGACTCGGGTCTGACGCCTACTTCGGCCCCGGGAAGCAAGGGTAAGTCATTTTCTTTTAATACTCAGCAATTATGATAGGGTAATCGCTGATGTTTCTACCCAACAACAGTCTGCGCCGGTCTAGTCTTCGGCGACGTAAGGCACGTCGCCAATCAGCCTTACAACGTTGAGGCAGGCTCGTCCTACAGCGCCGAGACGCCTCGCTCCGGCGCCTCGCTCGAGCACTTCAACGCCTTCTCCTCGGTGCTGCGGTCCTACTGCAACGGCGGCGACAGCGTCTGTGCTTACGGCGACGGGTCAAGAGTCATGGAACCCGGCGCACACACCAACTACTTCGACCTCTACTCGGTCGAGGCGGGCCAGTTCATCCAGGATAAGTGTGTCGGTGGGTCATCTGGCGGTGGTGATGGCGGCTCGACCACCCCACCCCCATCCACTGGCAACATCTGTATGGCTGGCAAGGTGAAGGCCGGCCTGTCTGACAACTACACCGGCCTGTGCTCGTTTGCGTGCTCCAACGGCTACTGCCCTGATGGCGTGTGCGAATGCACCGAGTATGGCACGCAGGCTGGCTGGGCTGCCGAGACCGGGCAGGATGGATGCCCGGCTGCCGGGCTCGACGATAGTTACAAGGGCCTCTGCAGCTTCAGCTGCAGCCACGGTTACTGCCCCACTGGCGCCTGTGTGCAGTGCTAGGAAACCCACAAGCTTGTAGGGCACAATGGATAGATATAAGAATACCGACATTTTGCCCTGACATGTTCTGATTCAGATGATGTGACAAAGCTGGGGATGTCATGCATGCATGTGGTCACATTTGCTCGAGTGCGTCTACGGGAACCCCAAAGAAGTTCGCCAACTTGTAGAGCTGACGGCACGCGAGCCCGTGATAAAATGGAAACTGGTCAGTCAATGGAATCTGTGCTGCAGGGCAGCGATTCCAAATGGTCTCTTGCATGGTGAGTGTAATGTCTGCGCTGCTGGTTTTGGGATTACTAGGGTATATCAGCCGTGCTGTACTGATAGCCTCTCAGGGCCTGGGGTCCTCAGACGGGCAGCCGATACCTGATAACTGGTCAAACGGCCTTGATAACCTGACCGATCATCACTCCCGCCAGCACATCCAGCACAAGTCCTGGTCTGATCAAACTTGTCTGCTCTTCGGGTGTTGCTCAAGACCTCAACCTGCAACATACCGCAACTAGCAGCTTTCCCCAGCCTGGATCTCGAAGGGTGTCTGGCATCGATGATGATACTTTTTATGTTACGCAGTAATCCATGATACAATTATAGGGTGTTAAATTCAGCCGCCCCAAGTTAGCCTACCACAGCAAAACCACCACAAAGAAAATGAGTCTGCTTGAGCTTGAGTACCATGACCGAGTCGCCCGACCACGGCGAAATGGCCCAGACACTCATACACCGTGCTACAGTTCTTGCTGACCCGGCTGGTCGCTCTTGTCTTGAATAAGGAGCCCAGCGCTTTGCCATAGAGAATCAATCGTCTATCCTTCTCACCTGCCTCGGCAATAGAGTGTAACTCAAACCCTGTTTAATGAATTCCCTCCATTCCCTTCTCTCAAAATATACCTTTGGCTGCCCGCGTGTGTTACCTAACCACCTCCTGCTGCGTGATATCGCCATTCGTGGACAGCATTATGTGGACGATATATATGGCCGTATCTTCGTGAGAATGAGCGTAATTCTAATGCGGCAAGAACAAGTGCCGAATCACATAGCCCCAGATATGTATGCCGGTAAGACACTCAAATGGTGGCATGTTATCATTCTCTGGAAATCTGAGCTTGAGGTGCATCCAAACAGCTTCCGAGAGAAATGCGGAGTTGTCACGGCGGCGGAACATGGTTGGTTCATTAGCAGGCTACGTGGTGCAAACAGGCTCGATATCAGCGTGGAAGGGGTTGAAGGGGTTGACACGGTCTTTTTGATGGCTGAGATGGAGGGGGTTGTTGAGCGAAATGATGACCCGGAATGGTACAAAATGACTGCGTCTGATTTTCTGTATCAAATAAACTCATCGATTACCAAAACTCATGCTGGATTGACTTGAATCTGTGGCTGCTGGCGGCCGAGTACCGCACAAAGAGAGACTGCCTATGGAGTCATTGCGAATCCACCCATTGTGGATTCTCCATCCAAAATGATTCTCCAACATCGCGTACCAAAAAGATCAGGTCCTGTGTTGTCGCCTCGCCCTCATGTGCGACCCCCTACCAGCTGTACCGGTAGTGTTAATAATAAGAGAGACCAGGCATAGAGGCGCCTGATGAGCTCCCATATCCTCCCTGACTTGTAGATCCCCCCCCGTAGTCTGTCATAGACTGTTGACCAGTCGGGTCAGATATTGTGCCAAAAGGATATATGACCTTGTAGGGGTATAAATCTGGAGTTTTCTGGCGCGTGAAGCCAGCAGCGGCCCAGTCCTGCAAACATCCCTCTTCCACTGCAGATGAGCGGACTACAGTATAGGACTTCCCATCAGGACCTTTCGATTCTTCGCAATAGATTGCCAAGGCCGAGTAAACATCTCTTAAGAGCCTGAAGCATCCCTTGCCCTTAAAGAGAGTCCAATCACCGTTCTCATTACGTGTTGCAATTGTTCGATCCACGCCCTTCAAGGGACGCTGATGAAGACAGTGTACGCGTTGCAACATGAATAGAACTTGAGCGCTTAGCATTCAATCAAAAATGTTAGCCGGATTTTCTGACGAGACATGCCCCTCTCTCAGTCCGTAGGACCAGCAAATTAGGTTGAGTTCGGAAGAATACTTACATATAGTCTCTGCAGCCAACAAATACATTTTTATTCCACTGTGATTTGACTTTTTTGAAGGCAAAGCGGAGTAGCCTATTAGTTGAAAGCCAGCCTATAAAGTCACCAAGGGATTTGTTCCCAGAAGAATTGAAAGTCGTCTGTAGCTCGACGCACAGAAAGTTACCGTTAGGTGGCCCTTCCCATCTTTTAAGGTCCAGAACGACTTCTGCTCTTGTGACAGGCTCGCGTGTAATTGGATCTGGGAAGTCTAGGCCGTTTCTGTTTATTGTATTAACTTCGAGCTTGACGCCGCGCCATAGATTATTCTTGGGGTGCTTAAAGTCGAACTTCAAGGTAACGTGGTTCGTGATCCTGGTGTCAACTTTGGCAAAGCAAATCCAGGCACGTGAAAGGTAAAACTCGCGTTTATCAAAATGCTCGCACAGGGCCCTGATATCTTCAGTCGCCAAGAAATTCGCAAAATCGAATCTTTTCGCACCAGCCCACTCGGGCTTGTTGGCTGGTTGTTTGGCCTTGGAGGAAGATCCGCTAGGCATACTGTATTCGCTCAGCGCTGTACGGTAGATCTTGTGGGTGGGTTGTCAGTTTTTTCTCTAAGACCTTTTAGAGTAAGGGACGTTTTGGGTCACCTTTTCTGATGTACGGTAACAGTAATAATTAGCTCTCTGCTGTTCCTTTTGGTTATTTGTGCTGAGAGCCCAGCCTTGTCTTTGGGATCTCGAAAATTGTTCTTGGTGTTGATCAGTTGGTGTTAATCAGTCGATGTTGATCAGTTGTACATGTGTGGTAAGTAAGTTCCAAGTACGACTCTGTGCTGAAGTGGGCGAGATTTATATACTGAAAAATAATGTATTGCGTCACTAAAGTCGATGATGTTCAGCACATAGCTTCTGGCCGCAGCGATGACTTGTTTGTTCAGTCTTTGCGTGACGAAAGACCATGACTGGCGACAGATCATTGAACTTTACACCTTAAACGAGAACCTGTGAATTAGTAGATTCAATCCCAAGGATATTGACAGCTAAAGGTATGTACGCAAGACTCGGACACACTACACCAAAGTAACTCAGAAGTGCAGGGTGACAGAGAGGGGACTGGACCAGTAGTGACAATATGGTACAAGATTAGGTCATCCAAGCTGTCACAGTAGCGTGACAGTAAGGCCTCAAGCCCTTGAAGGCAACGGCGACCTCGACGCACGTTTCTGGTTGTATCATCCTTCCAACCGCCGAGTGGCCCCTCTTGTCATCGGGGGCGCTGCGGATGGACCCCGGGGAGCGTCAGTGAGCTGGACGGGCAGCGAGGGCCTCTGCGTCAAGGAACGTGTCGCAAGCGATGATTGTTGGATAATATCCAGGCGCCCCGAATCCACGATGGTGCAGTAAATTGACCACACACATCCGACCCCCCCCGGGGGGGGGGGGGTCTGGGCCACCATTTCCCACTAAAATCGCTACTTTACAGGAGTCTAGATCTTCGGAATCACAACCGGAATAAGAAGGGAAAATATTTTCAAACTATCCCCCTCAATATGAAGTATATTAAAGATATATACTGCATTAACTTCATTAAACTGCCTTACGTATTGAGTAGAAATGTGACCTAGATGTGCACTTACCGACTTCAATAGGCACCAGGGCGTAACACACTCATGTGGTTGAACTCAAGCCAGTAAATGGCGTATAGGCCGTCATTTATTTACTATGACACCATTGTATTCGCATACTTCTCATAGACGGTAATGAGATAAGTACGGTATGAGAGATTCAAAAGATCTTACTCTACTAGATGTGCAAAATTAGATACTCACTTATTTGCATCTACCCTAGGGGACCTACACCTCATGGTCTCTCTGAAATTGCAATAGCACCTTGTCTGCTTGTTGACATATCTAGTAGTTATGTAGGCTCATTAGACACTTACTCCGTAGCGCTGTGGTCATCTCACCGTGGTAAGCTGTTTCGCGATAGGTCTCTGAAAACGTAATGCACCTAAAACTGTCTCACAACTCCTACCATTGTAATTCGTTAGAGTACCTGACCAGTCTTGACTGATCATTCATAAGCGAGAGGTCAGCGATCTGCAAGCGCCGGGGTCGCAGTGGCGTGCGAACGGGTAAAATCGGTAAGCGCATCGCCTATTTGGTGCTTCTACGTCCCGTATTACTTTGCCCGCCTTCTGCCCTTACCGGATCTAGTAGTCACATGTGTAAGCATGCATCACAACGTTACCAGTATTCGTGGCAAAGCCCCAATAGAGGAGCTCACGATGGCATCTAATTGGAATTCTTTGTCGTATTCATTGAATTCCTCAAGCATCGTCGGACCACTCTGCTCGGGTGATGTATACGTCCACGATGCTTGAAGTAGGCATTGAACAACATAAATACCGAGACGGTCCATCGATTTCAGAGACCACTTACCCTGTTTCCAGCATCATCATCAGAACATCTTCAATCCATTCGCATCACCACCACCCGACAAGCCTTCCGAACTTGAAGTCCTAGACTCTACCACTATCAACATGAAGTCCACCGTCGTCGCCCTGAGCCTGGCCACTCTCGCCGCCTCAGCACCCGCCACCCGCCGCCAGGTTCCACACTACCCGCCGACCTCGAAGTCGCAGGCCTTCAAGCTCGTCGCCAACGTGACGGACCCAGCCCTCGACTTCAGCCCGTCCATCAACAACTGGCTCGTGCAAGGCTACCACACCGGCGCCGGAACCAACGCCGCCGTGCTCGCGGCCTTTGATGCCGCCACCAACCCTGGCCGGGTCTTCTACGAGAACGGCACCAGCGACGAGTTGGCGTACCACACCACCACCCTGCTCACCGACGCCGGGTCGCTTCCCATCCCTTTCTCTTGGCAGGTGCAGTCCTCCACCGAGTTCGACGCTCAGTACCCAGCCCAGCACCACGTGTCCATCAGTGTCGGAGAGGCGACGCCCGCGTACATCGCCAACTTCCCGGTCGTCTACCCCACCGTGCAGAATGGCCTCGGCCTGGGAACCTTTGTGGCGTGCAAGAACGAGTTGCCCGGCAACCCTACCCTGGGTGAGGTTGTCACCGTCAATTATGCCTACGCCAGCTTCGAGGCCCCTGAGGGCTATTATGAGTACCACGCCAACATCCCTGAGGGCTGTGTTCCCATCAACCTGATCCCGGAGTGCGCGGCGCTTGACGCTTCGGCTGAAGCCAGCCACGAGTTTGCCCAGTCTGAGAGGTGCTACGAGGATGTCTCTGCTATCAACTGGCCCGAGTACGGCCCCTGATCATCCATTACATCACAGTCTCGTTTTGAGTCTGAGTTCCCCTCTGTCCTTGGCCATCACGCGCAATAAGATGCTCAGTTCGAGTTAAAGCGGCCGGATGCGGGGGAGTTGAGATTCATGTCGATGTGATTCCTGGGTAGTATGGCAGCTTATGAGGATGGTACAACGAGTTCATGATTGGATGTGCGTCGATTTCTTCAAAGATGGTGACGAGACATAAGATTATAGAGTCATTTAATAAATTGTCTATTTTGCATTCTACCACGCATCGTTTGTGTCCAGAGCGTAAGCAAGCAACCATGTGGGGCAAGCTTAAATAGGCGCTATAGGGCCATGTGGGAACCCAAACGCTGACATATGACATATATCGAATACCAAATGAATGTTTCTGTTAGCACCGAGCAGAAGTGGAATTCGTGGTATAATGTATAACAAATACCAATCATCTTTCAGGCATAGCTATCTCTCCTTGCTTGACACATTGTTCCCGTGGAACAGATCAGAAACTCGCCGAGAAGGTTGTTCCAAAGACAACAATACAAGCGAGCAAATACGCGTTGCACCACACCGGATAAGCCCTAGTAGCCGTTCGACACCCTCAATTCAACTATCCCAACTAGAAACTGCCTTATTAGTTTGAAAGGTCAAGCATTTGTAGCAGGACCCGTGCCCAGCGACCTCCAAACTCCCCTTGCACCCTTTGCGATAGCATGTCGCCCGTCCCACACTGGAAATACTACAACAGCTCCGAAGGCAAAGAACTGCCAGACAATAGCAACCGTGGTCCAACCGCTGAAGAACGATTTCGTAAAAATGTAGTCTCGGTATAGTGGCATAGGCCACAGGACAAAGGTCACCAGCACGACGACGACAAAGAATACCCAGGCCACGCGTTCCCAGAGTCTTAACTTTTGGAGTGTTGCTTCGTCGAAGGGGTGTTGAACGTTGTCGAGACTCATCAGCGAGGATGTCTTGGATGCCTCTGCGGACCTATTTTCTTTCTTCGATTCTGGGTCGACTATGTGTTGCTGAACTGCCGAGGTGTTTGACAGGGGGGGTTGGTGGTCGAACCCATCGCTTTGTAGAGTCTCATCTCCAGCATTCTTCTCATTATCACTTCCCGAAGATGGAGTCAAGGTTTTATCTTCCCTGTGCAGCATGGCCTCGTCGGCCAGCTCTATCCGCAAGAACTCTCGCCAGTCGAATTTGGATGGCCTGTACAATGATACCAGGACTGAGTATAGCGCAGGTGAGAAGAAAGATCCAATGGCCCCGTACAGAGCCGGAAGGGGGTTCTGTGTCGTCTCGATGGTCACTCTTCCGTAGAAGTGGTATGCCGTGCCAAGCCATATGGCGAGCCCAGTGAAGAAGCCTAGCACTGGAGAAACAATCGCTGCAAGACGCGTCTGTCGCGACCAGCCAAGCGTTAGAGCCAGAGGGATAATACCTGGGCAGCTGACTACAGGTCTAAGATAACCAAGCCAGGTCATATTTGCCCCGCCATAATTCAGAGCGATTGCAACTCCCGACATGAAAACGCCATGCAGTATCACGGTGAGGTGGCTCACTTTGACCAGTTTCTTGTCGGTTGCTCGTGGGTTGAGGTATGTCTTGTAGACGTCGAAGGAGAGGATACTGCTGACTGCGATCATGGATGAGGATACAGTGCTGGTCAGGGCCATGAAGACGAGGACCAGAAAGGCGATTACGCCTTGGTCTCCAATCAAAGCCTTGATGGTGTATGGCATCACGAAGCCTGCGCTCACCTCCGCAGCGGTAAACTGGCCAGGGAACGCTGGGAAGACGGGTGTGTTGTGGATAGCTCGGGCTGCGAGGCCGATTACAGTCCCCAGTCCCCATGGAATACCGAAGATGGCTAGTGCAGCCAGGTTATATCCTGGGACCGTGGCGTTGACCTCCGTTGCGAAAGACTTCTGCCAGAATGCCGTGTCCATAACAACCAGAGCCAGGTTGCCGAACTTGAGATCCAGACCCCAGATGATAGCATCACGGGACTTCATGGTGAGAAGCGATCCTTTGTAATTTCCCGGAATGAGGTTCTCGGATGCAGTTGCCATGACCTTGTCGTACAGGCCATACAACCCCCCAATGGCATCATGGTGGAGTATTGATAATGTGAAGTAAATGATTAGGATGAGAGCCACCAGAGTATGCAGAAAGTCGGTCAGAAATGTAGCCTTGAGACCTCCCACAGCGGTATAGAGCACCACTCAGAAATTGTCAGCGCCAAGGGCGGTTTGAATGTCTCATAACAAGTCTACTCACCTCCGAACGGTATAATAATACAGGCCGCCACGAAATGCATGCCTGACACTCCGTATACAAGCTGTGAGCCAGTTAAGATCATGCTAGCACATCCGAAGACATTGTTGATCAAGTTCATCACAATAAAGACACCATGCCCAATTTTGCCATAACGCTGCTTGATAATCTCGAGGGATGTGTGGGCATATGGTACTCGAATCTTGGCCATCACGCCGAGAGCAGCCATCAAGGCGATCTGGAAGCAGAGACCGGATCCCCACCACTGCATTATTTAGCCTCATTGATCATCACCTTCTCCGATGGGGCAGCGTATCTTACCAGTGGAACAGCCAGCCCATATCTATAACACATAGCGGCACACATGACAGTCTCGTTGATCCACATCCAGCTCGAAAACACAGCCGACGCCGTCAACCCCGTGCCCACGCTCCTATTGGCCACTAGGAACATCTCGGATGTTCCAGAGTCCTCCGCCAGGTACGCCTTCTGGATGCGAACCGCCGCCAGGATGACGACGCAGAAGAGAACCCCGAGGCCGATGAGCAGCCCGTAGGCGGTGCCCTGAGGGATGAGCTGCAGACCCGCCACGGAGACCATGTTCGCTCACTGACGATGCCTGGTGGGTATTGGGAGTGCCACTAAGCGGGTCGGAACAGGTCTTCGGCGGGCTCGGCAAGGCTTGTGTGAAAGCTTGGTCTGTCGTTTGATTGCTTGGGGCATTTGTGATGCACTTCATTCAAAAGAATCTGGTTGTAGGGGAGAGCTGGACCTGCCAAGTCAACGGTCAAGACAGCAACTATACCAAAGAAATAGCCATTTTAAGCGACATGGGTCGAGGTTCTGATATTATGCCTTCCGGCAATTTCTGCTGTCGGCCCCATGCACAACCACATCCACCTGCATGCTGATGATGGGTCCGGTGTGGGCGGGCAAAATCTCCGTGGCCTCACACTGGGTGCTGGCGGGAGCTCAGCGGATAAGTTCTGCGAGAAAATCCATCACGCTGTTGCTGTGGGCTATTGCGTTATGAGAGGATCGGGGAGCCGTGACGGCCGGCCTTCATATCCAAGTGCCAACCAGTGTGCAGGCACCACATTGATGGAGGATGACGTGCTCGGAGGGCAACATGACGAGATCCCTAGAACCGACGAAACTTTTTAGTCCCGCAGATAGGCGCTTCTGAGGGTCGTCGTTGGATGCAATATTTGACAAATTGCAGGATAGATGACCACTTTCGCGAATTACATTCGGTCGCGGATGCCTTGATCTCTCGTTATAGGTATACCTTTTCAATCAAGGGGAGAACGCGTGGACGTGTCGTAATATATTCGCTCTTATACCAATGCATGTAAGCGGATCTAGGCTGGAACTGTAAAATGTTTATCTTGCGCCTGCTATTCAACATCCCTACCATTATAAAATTGCTGCCAGCTCAGCTGACAAGAGTTGGGATTCTCTACCTAGCTCCGCTGTCGAGCACTTGAGACACTTCCGCTGCCAACAATGTTGAAAAGTACTGAAAGCCTTGACGATGGACTCGGAGAGATGGAAGTAGATTCATAGATGGATTCCAGTATCGGGTCATACTACACTACAGCGATGCTTCAATTCCTGGGGTGCATTTAACAACGCACATGTACGTCTGAAGAATTTTAAGAGTGTCACTGTGGAGTGCCGAAGCTTACTTTCCGAGGTAAGCGGTTTTGGGATTGCCATCTTCCCCGGGTTTGTCTGGTACAAGGAAGTCTCATGTCACGATATTACAGAACACGTGCATACAGGAGGTTAGGAGTACAAGCTACCTAGATGATGGGGCGGAATTTGAATGCCAAGTGGCATTAGGTCGGGCGCTGGAAGGCCGCCGGGTAGGGGCCTTGGATTAGGAGCTTGAACTTTCACCCTGTACTTCCATCCTATTGGACGCTATTCCGCAGGTATGTGCCTAGATACCTCTAAGCCGTAAGCCTGCCACCGAAGGATAAGCCCATAGGCAGCGATGCGGCGGCCGCACCATGAACGCCGTGGGATGGGTCATTGTTCATAACCATCTTGCTACAACTCTGATGGCCTGCAGCCGGCAACAACATTGAGAGATTTACAGGCAGATTCGGGTAAGTAATGGTACATGATGACCTTCGATGTCGCCATTAATTATAGACTACCTGAAGCCACTTGTCGCCTGCAAGTACTGCGTGGCAACGATCCCCAAAATAGATAGATCTTCGGCCAAAGAGTGATAGGGCTTGCCAAGATCCACCTACAGACGCCCGTAAGCCTCCAGGGTGGTCCCAGATATAGCGATTGTGCTACCGGATTCATACTAGCACGGAGTTCGAGTTACACTGCTTCCCAGTTCTCCCCGCGCAAGTGACTGCCACAGTAGACATTCCGCATCTCATTCCGCGGCATTCAGCCTGTGTAGAAATGAGACGTCACAAAGAAAAGAAGCAAACGGTTGCCATGGCCTATGAATTTGTAAGCTTTTATTCTTAACTTGTTAGTGATCTTATTTGCATTGAATGAACGGTAGACGGCCAGCTGCCAGTGTTGACAAACAAATATCAACATGCCAACTGCCAGAAGTGCCCTGCAGGCAGTCCGAAAGTCGACCCACCCCGAAAGTCGGCAGATTCCAGAGTCTGCAGGCACAAAATGTCCCCCAAGTCTAATTATGGAGCGTTTGACAGATCAACGCCCTGCCGAGACATGCATCAGTAAGCTCGGCTAGTACCACGCATGTGCATGCTCCAATGGCTACCCTAGGGTAGCCACGCGTAAGCTTTAGGGTGCCAACGGGACCCATCTCACCGCATTCCTCGCCTTGAAAAATGCTACTCTTGCGCTGCGGCTGAGGATTCGGGGAACCATGTCAGCCCGCAAATACCACATGGAGCTGACAGGCGATCCTTCTCATGGGAAGTGCGCCGTCCTAACCTTGGAACTAGATGATAAGGAACAGCCCTAGAGAGAAGTCTGATGATCCTCTGAGCAGCGTAGGGTATTTATCCTTTTTGGCCCCCCTCGAGTGTCCCTGCCTTCCCTCATGGACTTCCCATCTCTCTCACAAAGCTCAACTTAGAAGAGAAACGCATTATGGCGGAACAATATTCATCGGGTTTTCGATATACCATCGAGCGAACGTATCCGTTTCGATGGTTCACACCGCTTGTCACAGTTTGCGGTGCAGCGGCAGTTGTTCTATTCACTTTCGTCAACATTGCTGCGGACGGATATGTGCAAAACGTCATTTACACGACAAACCCAAATTCCACGCTGGAAGAGGAACACTGGTACCTGAACGCACCATGGTCATGGATTAGTACTGCCCGATCATCATGCCAGTCTCCAGGAGTTGCCATAGGCAATCCCTACTACACATCGAATCAACAATCGGGCAGCTACACCGTTACCATGATGAACACGACTTTAGGCCCAGACGACGAGGCTGTCTATCCAGGTCTGAATTCCAAGACTCTTGGAACCACGGTCTACTTGAACAATACACTTCATGACTGTCAGATGGGGGACCTCATGGTTATCTTCACATCTCAACAACAACCAAGCTCCGCCAGGCTACAAATTCAGGTATGCTGATCATCCTCGAAAATACGCAACTTCGAAGAGAGACTAATCACCACGCAGTCTGGACCAATATACTGCAAATTTGACGCTGGTATTCCCGTAAACATTACCATCGAGCAGTCTTTCAGTGGGATCGAGTTCTTGTTTCAGCAACGGTCCAGCTTGAGTCAGTGGGCTGTCTATGACTTCATGTGGGTACCCCTCAACTATAACTGCGACTTTCATTTCGGCGTTCAGAGACCAAGACAAGAATTGAATTGAGCTAAATGTGAATATGTGGTACCATAGGCAGTCGAGCTTCAACGCGCTCATGACTGAAATCCACGGCTTGAACAGCACCATTGAATACACTGGAACCACACTAGGTGAGCTCGCGATGCGTGTTTGGTTTATGATTGACTATACACTGACCACATGAATTCAACTTCAGGCCTGAAGAAAGCCGAAAATGCAGACATTACCGCAGACGACTTCTTCTCGACAACGATAATCAGCCCCGGGCAGAGCGGAAGCCTTGTATCACCATCAAACAGCAGCCAAGACGGCGAGCCATTCCCCTTGGCTGAAGGCGACCCGGGAAGCATAGCAAGACTGCTCGACGTCTTTGCAAAGTCATACTACTCCGCGGTCATGTGGGACCTCAACTTCAACCGAGAAACGAACGCATTCGCGTCTGGCGCCACATTGGACTACCTCGTAAACACCATCGCAGACGCGACCGGGAATGACACGGTGACGCCGAGTCCCATCCTCGGCTCGCCTGACCTGGTCGGCAACCACGCAAGATTTGAGATGCAGTATATCTGCTCGGTGCCCCAGAAGAAGGATACGGGATCCCTGATCATATCAGTCGTCGTCTCGAACATTGTCCTGCTGTGCGTGTTCTGGAACATCTTCAACTGGGTGGCACTGCGGTATCTCCGGACCCGCGACCCGAACTGGGACATGTGCCGGGGTTGCATCCTCCGCAGCGAGGCAGATCGGACCACTGCCCGGGCCATGGTCATGGACCTGGAAAAGGACCCCCTCTGCGAGAATGATGAGGGTGTGCAAGTGGCCCCACCATATGAGAGCCAACAGGATCTACGAAGGGATCCACAGATTTGGAAGAAGCCTAGATCCTGGTCGGTGGCGATCCCTGCCAAAAGCTCCCAGAGCTCTTTGCGGACTTTCATATTTAAGGAGGAAGGGCATGTCCGCAAAAACAGCGATGACATTTCGGGCTGGGATGAGAAGTTCCCAGCGGTTCCGAGGCGATGAGGATTAAGCATTTCCATGTATAACTCTGAGTTGCGGCGCACTACCTAGGTAGTATGCTACCTGCTGGCTCCATGGGCTGCTGGCCAGCCATAGATATAGATACCCGGTGGAGACACTCAACTTGATGTGCAAAGTGTCTCTTTACCAAAACCAAATTCTCGGAATGAGATGATCCCACGCCCCCCACGGTATTTTCCTCATAAGATTCAATGTTATTCTCCGCGTTAGACCGGAGATGGGAAGCCATGCATTTCAGACAGGATCTGCGTAGATGCCCCCACAGCGGCATTGCATCCAGTAGATATAGCTCCTGGGATGACCTTGTACATAGTCATGCAGTCTCCTGCGGCAAACACACCCCTGACGCTGGTCTGATAGAACGGACCTTCAGCCTGAATATCCCCCATCGGGGTGGTGGCCAGCCCAAGCTGTTGGACGAAGGGCCCGGATGGCTCCGTGAGCGGCTGGTGGACCAGGAACTTTTCGTCCTTGCTCGCTCCTCCGTCTTCAAAGTCCAGCGTCACGGACTCGCCGTCTCCTTTGGTTATGCGCTTGATGACCCGCGGCTCGACGGTCCACTTTGTCTTCTGACTGACTGCGGGCACAAGAGCAGCGGTGAGTGCGTCGTTCCCTTGGGTGTACAGCGTAACGTTCTCGCTCAACTGGGATGCGTCTATTAGGGACCAGTTAATAGTAATCTCCTAGCGCTGCAGTTTCTCTCTCCGGGAGCCGATTGGCGCGGTAAAACAAAAGAGCCCTCAATGTTCCCTTATGTGGATGCACTTACTTTCAGCGGCGTGAACGGCCATACCGACCATCATCTCGGTCGGGAGCGGGATGGGAGCCATGGCCAGCACTCCGGCAGACTGGGTACCTTTCTCCTCATAGCCTTTGCAAAAGAGACAATGGAAGATGCGCTCGCCCCAGAGGGATTCATAGCCCTCGATCCCGGGGAAGATATCCGAGGAACCGACCGCGAGCAAAAGCTTGCGGAAGTTCCAGTCCTTGCCCACAGCATCAGTGATCAAGAAGTGGGAATCATTCTTCTTCTCAACCTTGTCGACTCGGACATCATGGAACTCGATAGTCTTGTACTTGGAGAGACCCTCCCGAGACTCACGGCGGAAGTCTTCTGGGTTCTTGCCTTCGTGACCAGGAACCATGTACATACCCGTCGCCTTTGCATTTCGGTACTTTTTCGAGTCTAACACAACCACGCTGTGAAGTTGGCGGGCCAGGGTAGCCGCCGCGGTGAGACCAGCAGGCCCTCCGCCGATGACAGCGACGTCGTAGTATGCCATGGTCGTTCCAAAGTTGCGCTAGGCTGCGAGATGGTGGTGGAAATCTTGAACGGATCTTTGAGAGAATTTAAGAAAAGAGAGTTGAAAGATCCAGACTGAGGTGTGCCTGAAATCAAGTCGCTAATAAGAGAAGGTGTTGGTGGTCAGTCTGTTGGTCCCTAGGTCTGTTGGCGCTTGCCGATCCACACAGACAACACACTGGCAGTGCCCAGGTGGAGACATCCATGTCCAGCACATTATGTCGCAAGAGCCCTGGAGACTAGTCTATGGAATTAAGTATTGTTCGACAGGGTTTCGTATCGGCTGATTGACAACCGTCATTTCAGAGGGGATCACAGGACCATGTTCATTACCAGCACTTGAGCTGGCTCTTGCTCACGAGCCTGGCTCGATAGATATCGTGGAGGACGAGAACATAAAACTATCGACTCCGTGGCTGGAGGTCCTCAGGTTTGGCCGCCAAACGCGTCAAGTTGTGCAGCAAAGTTCAGCAGAGATGATGCAGTTCAGAATGGCATTCATTCTGGTCGTGGATTTCATGGGGACAACGCACATATCCGCCATCAGTCACGCCACACCGATTCTCTATGTGATCAAAACCTGTTACAAATCATTTCCGATGAAATGTATAATTGTCTCATTCTCAGTGGCTACGGAATATTGAAAATTTCACTGCAAGGTCGTATAGGAGTAAGGGTTTCAAATAGCAGACTGCAAATCGAAACCTTCCTAGTCGATCACTGGCCAGGCATCACTTGGAGGTGCATTTTATTCCCTGCACAGTCCCCTTCTCTGTGACGCTACTTAGGTGCCATTAGCGACGCCGCACATGTTGTGGATGGCGTTCTAAACTAGTAGCCCACATTGGAAGACTATCGTGACGGTCCGAATTAAGTGGCAGCTAGTTTACTAGGAGCATGGCCGTAACACCTATCATTTCTGTATTTCAAGACCGAAACAAAAGTCTATCAACGAAGATGAAATACAAACAACTCGGGTCTTTGGGTTGTCAAGTCCTTGAGAGTTATAAATTCACATTCACCATCCGGATCGATTCGCGATTTCTGATGCAAGTGGGTCGGCATTACCTCCCCAAATGCATCGGCGTCAAAGACCCAGATCCCCGCAACCTCGCTGAAAGTCCTCTCTTGTCTCCGCCAAGTCTCCTCACCGATCCTGTCACCCCGAGGTGGCTGTCTGAGATCCTCCATGCGTGTTGCAAACTGTGCGTCCGATTTCTCCAGATACCGCACGAATTGTTGCCGTGTGGCACACGCCTCACTCCACTTCAACGGCCACGTCGCCAAAAGGTAGCGGATCTGCATCACGCTCTTGGACCTGTCCACTCCTAGATTGTCGAGGATGCAGTACCAAGAATAAACGTCTGCTCTCGGATCCACGCGAACCACAACGCTGGCCAGATCCCCCTCCTCAACAGGCCTGGGATCGGGACCGACAGAAGAATACTCTGTCGCCTGTTCCAAAGTCCCCTGCGCGGCAAACGGCAACGATCGGTTCAGGTGGAATCGACCCCCACCGTTCGCCCGCGGATACATGCCTTCCCAGCCGTCCACCGGCTGAACAACGCTGTAGAATGTGCGCAGGCCCGTCTGTAGCCATTCCCTCATGAACGCCGCCGCGACTGGATGTAGCGGAAGTGATGGGCTGTGGGTGCGGAAAGGATTCTGCGCCCCGGCACTGCCGCCGTCCTCACTTTTTGGCAAGGATGTGGCGTAGAGCAGCCTCTGCATATTCGCGAGACCCCTCCCCAGCGCAAGGTGCGAGATCCCGCGACCAGCTGGGTCATTTGCCAGGGCGTCGTGAAGGAACGCCACCAAGGCCACGGGTGGTGTGAACTGTTCCAGTTGCATCTCCAGGATGTCGGTGTCCGGGTTCACGTAGATTTGGCCCACCGGGTCTCCGTTGAGATGGTGCGTTGGGATTGTAATGCGGTAGAAAGACAAGAACACCTCGCGTGATTCTCGGTTGACACCCATCAGGGCACGGGACCATTGCTCGAAGCGCGGGACGTTGACGTGGTACGGGTATGAGCTGACGATGTTGCCTAGACTGTTCCGGGTTTTATAATGCATGCGTGGCGCAAAAGCTTCAGGATCAAAACCACGAATAAACTCCATCTTGCCTCCCTCCACCATGCGTCTCGGGATACCTGGCTGGCTGATAGAAAGGCTGATGATGCGAGTGGGCGGGAAACAGAGCTTCCATATGTGCAGTCGAAGCTCAGAGGGCAGCTGAGGAAAAATCGGAAAAGCAGTGAGGTTTGCACCCCGGGTCGGCAGGGGAGTTGTGCCCAAACTATCGTTGAAGATGCGACGAGTCTCGGAAATGGATGCCTGCTCGACTGGCATTCCGCAAGACGTCGGATGTGGTTCCATGGTGCCAGCAGCGTATCGAAGGGCTGAAGGAACCAAAGTCGAGATGTGCGTCAAGGCGCCCAGTTGTCTGATACTTGAAGAAATTGCAGCAGCAAGAGGCGTGATGACCTGCTAAACTCCTTTTCCTGAATATGAAGCTTAAGAGTCTACGTGCGTCAACAGTCTGATTGAGACGGTCGGGGATTTAAATGCTCTGCGGAGTCTCCTCCAGCCGCTAAACCCAACTTGGAGTGCGCATGTGTGTGTGCCCATGATTGGGTCAGGTGAGAGAGAGTAAGATCAGGCACCAGCAATGGTGAAATTACACACCTACCGACGTCTTTCCAAGAAATCAGTAATTTCACGGGTACTGGACCAGGTTGTATGGTGAAGGCTTTCAACTACCCTCGATGGAGTTGGAATGAGAGCGAAGAGGAGGCAGGTCTCTGCGTGTGACCTGGTAATATAATACGTCGCTATAGCAGTTTTGAAATGTCAAGACTAAGCTCAAACCATTTCAATCTGAGAAAAGATGGATGTCGCGGTCCTTGTCATCGGTAACGAATCTTTCCATGACTTCACACTTGCTCGCTCTCGGGCTTCATCCTCGTCATAGTGAGTTAACACTGTCACCTAAACTGAAGTATCCCTGCTCTGGTGAAAGATGGTCTTGTGGTTACCCAATTCTCACGCGGCGGCCTGACTACAAGCTCATGAGCATCGAGGGAACCGTTCTGCGTTCCAATGACGATGTTCAAAACATATGAGAATAATTCAATTGATTACTGATAGACGAAAGGATCCACACTCTTCTTTAATAAGCACAGGACAGCTGACGGCTGAGTCACGCATTCCGGCTCCCATACCGCATTGCCAATCACCGACATAGTAGCTTGGATGAGAAAATAGAGTCAGCTGAACAAGAACGAGCTCGGCCCGAGGACAACTAGATGGTTAGCGAGAGTAGCGAAGGTCGGGCCAGTACCCCGACCAATATTCTATGTGTGCGTGAGCTTACCTAGGTATGGTGTCACGTAACACACGTGGCTTTCAAGCATACGGAGTAGCTGAGTCGGTATCCGAGGATTGTCTCATGGTCTTACAGTTCCACAGGCGGCGACAGCAATATAGGTCAGACCGGGGCGTCAGGTCCGGGGATGACAGTATCTAGATCGGGAAGCACAAGGACCTCATAATCCGGGGCCTAGATGGTGGAAGTTGTACGCCGGGGATCCGAAGGAGGGACCTTAATACGTAGATCTGAGCCTAGAAATTGAGACACGGAGGAAACGGCTCGGGGAAGATGGCGTGAGTTTTACTCATGCGTTGTAGAAAATGGTGTATGAAGGCGTTTGATAACCTCAACTGTACCACCAGGCTCTGGGAGTGATGAGCCGAGAAGTTGAGGGTGACGAGCTCACTGTGACAAGGCTTGGGCGCGAAAGTAATACTATTTTCTCAGTTGCTAGTAGATAGAGCGAGTCACTCCCGTTGAAACTCTACATATCATGTATAAAAGCCTCGCTTTTTCCACCGAAAGTCTCGTTTCCCTCAACTCAAATCCAGTACAGAACCAAAAGAAAAAGTTCAAACTTGCCAGCTCGAATTGGAACACACATTACCTGAAGGAACCCCAATCGAACACTCAAGATGCTTTCCATGAACACCATCACCAAGCTCGCCCTGCTCGTCTCGGCGGCGGCCACCTCAGTCGTCGCCTTCGACGGCGACATGACCTGGTTCACCCCAGGCCAGGGTGCCTGCGGACCCAACAACGGGCCCGACGACAGGGTCGTGGCCCTCAACCCCGTCCAGTACGGCGGCGGCAGCGCCTGTGGCAAGACGGTCACCATCCACTATGACGGCAAGACCACGACTGCCACCGTCGCAGACCTGTGCCCCACTTGTCCCGACGGCGCCATCGATGCCGGCAAGGCCGTTTTCCAACAGCTTGCCAACCTCGACGTTGGGAGGATCCGCGTGTCTTGGGATCTCGCCTAGAAGTGAGGAAAATGGTGGTATGTTCGTAATGATTGATTGTGGTGAAGAATCCCCCAGGCCGTGCTAACAACCCTCCCCAGGCGGTCTGACAGTATTTGGCAGACACTCTTCGCGCATTTTCTTGTTCAAGCAAGTTCCAATACACGGGCGGCCTCACTGGAAAGGCTGTATCCAATATGCGTTGATTTAATCATGGGCTTGGGGCTGAAAATTCATGCTTGGCAGTCAGTCAATCAAAAAACGGCCGAGCTCAACTTTGGAATGAATCTGAAGCAGTCGCGCACAAGAGCACAAATAGTCCACAAGAAGCTTTACCACGGTGTTATGAGATCGGAAGACAGCTGAAAATTTTTGTGTCATTGGTAATGCTCAGCAGATCAAAAAACCAATGAATAACCTGCTTGCCTTCCGGGCTTCCAAATTTCAAGCCCCGCCTTGAGGACGCCACATCCCATGAGTGGAAATGCCGGCAACATTCTCTCATGAAAAATCCGGGACTATTCCAGATGCCTTCGAAGCATTTACCGTTAGTCACCGTGTAGAGTCCCGTCTGTCACTTCCTTGCTTTTGTGGACCGTGAGGTAATGCTTTGGTAGAGGGGCAAAGGTGTGATTGCGCAACTGGGCACACTGGTATGATGGCAGTCAGGATCCTGAATTCAACTGGCAGTAAAAGTGCCAGAGACGGTGTTGGAGCCCTAATCCTCTGCTGGCCAGAGCAGCTGAAGGGTAGGCCCAGCAGGATTTTGTATCGTGCATTGATAATGCGTTTAGCAGCTGCCACAGTTGACAAGGGGATGTTGCTGCTGTTGCTCAGGTCCAGCTTTGGGTTGGCCATGGACCTAGGGGCCCTGACGTGGGTCACGTGCACACTTCTTGTAGTTCACTACACTGTTTCCTGGGCTGTTGGAAGTCTGAGCTTCGAGAGGTGTGGTCGGGGCTAGGTACCTAGGTACCTAGGTACTTAGGTACTTAGGTACTTCAACGTTTGACGATGCCATGGGCAGGTGTGACCACCCTCGTCAGGGTTAGGGTCTCAAGCATCACCTCTGCAGTAACACCACACCTGTTGTGAGAACATCAATTCTGCTACCAAACAACCTGCTCAGATAACAGAAACAGTTGAATGCCAGTCGCTCAGGCCGATGCCAGTGATACTGTCATAGCTCCCAGAACCAGCAACCCACCCACACCACACAGCTGAGGCAGTACTGTAGGATTCACTTGAAGTATGTCTCCACACAAGGTACTTAGGTACCTACCGCAGTCCGATGTCTTCGACCACCGCACCAACCTCCGACCTTGGAACCTTTCACAACTCACCATCCCTCGAAATTTCCACCGTCTCGAGCACTTGAGCGACGGCCGATGGAATTCCTTCAGTGAGAGCCTGGCCAATCTCTCATCCAACAAAAACCCACCTTCTTGACAACCAGTCATCCACCTCTCAACAGCCCATCTGCTTCTGATGCTGCAGGTATGTCAATGTTGCTTGGAAGATGCGTTTGTTATTGATTCTTGAAATCTCGACTGACTTGAAACCCACAGCTACGCCATCATGTCTGACCAGGATGCCATCAACAGGCTGGACCACGCCGTCAAGGTTGCAGAGGGCACCAGCACCCACTATGACTACTATTTGCGTCACCGCAAGACTGCAGCCCAGATCGCAGAGGAGGGATTCCCGCTGTTCAAGAACTTGCCTCCTGAGATGCGATCACAGATCTGGAAGGAAGCCATGCCGCCCTATGGCATCTACACTGTCCTGATGCTCGGCCGAGAGGAGCCCAGGCCTCAGCAGCCTCCCGCTCCCGCACCCATCGCCTTTCGCGTGGTCTATCGCCTCGAGCCTGTCCCTCGCGACCAGCAGGACGATGAATTGAGGGTACGCCTCGACAACATGCGGACCATCCAGGCTGTCAACTCGGAGGCGGCGCACGAGGTGCAGATGGCCTTTCCTACGACGATCGACTGCACAGGCGGCAAGATACGGTTCAACGCCGTGCACGACAGCCTCAACCTGTCGGATTTGCAGTGCCTCCTGGGGTGCGGATTCCTCGAGCGATTCGGGCGGTACACTCAAGGTGCAGTCGTTTTTGCAAACGACTGGCACAAGATCCCACACACGATGCTGTTCAACAACCATGCATTGTGGCTGCCCGCTGCTCGTAGTTTGCACCCCGATCGTCAACTCATGAAGGGATTCCTGGACTTCCTGGCCGATTGCACCAATTTGAAAGCGTTGGGTCTGACTTGCGACATCCCTTGTGCGGTGTCCCCCCGCTTTCTTTTAGGCTCCCTGCCCGATCTTGCGTTCTATCCTCTCCTCACACCGGCCATGAGGAATCCATTTTATGAGAAGGTCTGGCGCGGGCGATCTCATTTCAGCGGACTTGGTAACTTTTTAGTTAACACCGGGGGCATCAGGGCTTTTCTACACGAAATGGATCCTGCCCGATTCCCGCCGTACCCACAACCAGCCACCTTCTCCCCCACGGAGAATCATCTTCAATTCCTGGCTGTGGTCCCCGTCGGCGACGAGGAGTTTTTCTAGAGGTGGCTAGGTAACTACAGGGCGAAGTCTATCTTTTAGGATGTTCGCCGCACCAGTTACCGAGGTCCTGAGCTGGAGGTTCCTCGAGTATTTGTCGGCCGGTGTTGTGGGAAGTGTTGAGGAGTGTGACGGGTATCAACTCGTTGCATCAAGAGAACTCTTCGACGGCAGATGAATGGGCAGCCAGTATCAAAGGCTCGCAGTCATGTTACATTGCGCACGCCAGGGGCTTATGTTCCCGCTAGACACAGGTCAGCTTCAGCTTCAGCTATCTGCTCGGTCGAGGATGTGGGTTCTACAGTTGACGAGATAGAGCGTTGGGGCACCCCTTTAGGAAGAAATATACACATATTGAAATCATGAAGAGGATACACGCCCACTGATGGGACTAACCTCAAGTGCTTGGAAGGTACCGAGCCAACTCGCTGTTACACGACCAACGGCCATGTGTCGGCCACATACCTAGGTACCTAGGTATTACAACTACATCGGCAACCATGAAGATGGGTGGTTGTTGCTACAAGCTATGAGACCTAAGGTGGCTATCAACACGTTCCAGCGCCAATTCAACAGAAATCGAAACCCAGATGCCCAGCTGAATGATAAGACCCTGCGCAACACCCACCTTTTCTCCTTGCGGATAGCGACCAAACAGTATGATGCTCCGATGTCAAGGCATCCCTGGGTTTATAATACCCAAACCACAGAACCACAGAACCAGCACTCGCACCGCATCCTATCCTCGAGCACCACCACCCCCCTCCCAATTCTCACTCAAAGCCTCCCCAGCAACAGGCAAAGCCCAATAACCCCAAGCATAGTCCACTGCGGCCGCATAGGCCGGCCGTCCCTCGCGGCAAGGACAGTCCCGCGCGCCACGACGGCGCCGTTGAGCAGCAGCGCGGCCTCGCGCACCAGCCGGCTGCCCCAGATGCAGCAGGCGCCGACGGCGACGCGCAGCGCGGCGCCCGCGTAGCCGGCCTGGCGGGGCGTCAGGCGGCCGCCCGAGAGCCGGGCCATCCAGGCGTTCTTCTCGGCGTAGTAGGCGAGCCATGACTGGGAGTTTCCGGGGGGGCGCCGGGGTGTCACCCAGGGGATGGAGACGTGCACGCCTGCGAAGGGGAGGGCTGAGGCTATGCACAGCCCGCCGTAGAGTGTGGCGGCTGCTGTGGAGAGGTTGTGGGCCCACGACATTTGGCGGTGGTTTTGGTTTGTTGCTGTTGTTGTTGGTGGTGGCTGTGATAGTGATCAATGATGGTGTTTGGGATCTTGGGTGGGCTGGTGGAGGGACAGGCGTGTTTTTACCTCAATTTTGGTGGGCGGATTTGGGCTGATTTGCCGGCTTCGGAGTGTCCCATTTGATGTTTCGTGGCGCTTCGGTGCTGTTTTGGTCCACTATCCATTCAATGTTGCCGTGTGGAGTTCCCATCCTACCTGCGCCGCACACCTGGGCATGTCAGCAGCTCAACACACTCAGATTGTGCCGCCGGTTCCTGCCTCACATCCCCATTTGATTCGTCACGTGGAACTGGTCATGAGTGGCATCCAGCTCTTGGTCGGACCGAAGAACATTGGAGGCGTTGTCTCCACATGATCCGGTGCGAGCACTAAGCGCCATCGATGCCGGCGAATCCATACATCACCACCGCCTGCAAATATATTCGTCGACTGTGCCACAAACGTACACTCTAGCCAGTAGAAAATGAGATCGCCCATTTGAGGAACAGTCGACAGTGTTGACCTTGATCACAGTTCACACAATACAAATTATTCTTTGACATATGAAGGCCTGTGTGTAAATGTGTGTAGTCATTTCGCCATTCTCGCCAGAGTACCACCTTGTCTAGTGTTTCTTCTGAATGTATTCTCTGCCCTTGGTCCACTCAGAATCCTTCACCATAGAAGCCAACAAGATACTATCTGGCCATTGACACCTATAGACCGACTGTTGTTTGTCGTACATTTGGGCGACTTGACTCCCAAAACCGGAGGTGGAATAACTTGACAGTCGAAGACAGTATTCTTAGTCGTGATAGCAGCGGTGCTCTAAGCCTTGTGATAAAAGCTGTAGACGGGCGAGGCAGGAGGCGGATAACTTGAAGGGGACCCCAACCAAAGTTGCTGTCTCATAGTTGAGTTAAACCACGACTGCATGATGCAGAGACTCGCCCATGGCGATGGTGAATCTGATAAGCCAGAAGACCACGACGGCGGCCCCGCCGACGATGACGGCAGCGACGGCGACATCGGCCATGGCGGAGTTGCCCTGCTTCTGGATCTTGTTCTGGACGATGGGATGGTCGGTGGTCTCTATGGCGTGGCCGAAAGAGTCATCGCGGATCTCCGCTCCCTGCTGGCCATTTCTGTAATTGAGACCGCCATCGGCAAGGTCAGCAGAGACCATTTCGGCCACGACGGTGGCCAACCGGTCCATGTCGCTGCCGCTGATGGAGGCGGCGAGCATCTCCGTGTTGTAGCCTAAGTCGCCAATAACAAGGGTGATGAAACGGATGTTGCGCTCGTGGCTGGGACCGGGACCAGATTCAAGATTGGGGCCAACGGTGACTGCGTGGTGGAATTGGCCGTCGTGGAAGTCAAACCAGCGCTGGCGGAGGGGAATGGGACCGTAGCCATCATCGTCGATCTCGGGCTGCTCAGCAAAACCAAGCATGCCCATGTGCTGGGGCAAAGAGTTGTCAGACATGATGACTGGATCGGTGAGGGCACGAATGAGTGTTTTGAAGGATGTGTAAGTAGTAAAGTTGTTGGGGGGATGCACACCCGTCGTGGTTTGTTGTGTCGGACAAAGAGAATGGAGATGTCGGGTTGGGAGGGGGGGACAGTGGATTGACGAAGGAGGCCAAACACTCCCAGATAAAACAGGCCTGTTTGGGTGACGGACTTGCAACTCAATGCCAGTGGGCCGGGCTGGAGGCCTGAGGCTGGTAGCTGCCGGTGATGTCGTTGGGCCCACTGCCAAACGCCCAAGTAATATTAAACAGAGGTGCACATTTTGGATCGCTCGGGACTATGGATGGAAAAAGCACGAAGTGAACCTGATAGCATGCAGACAGGAGTTCTGCGGACATCCGCCCCTCGCCTTCAGACCAAACTCAAGCCACATGAGTTAATGGCTGCAAGGAGGAGAAGACCTCGGACCGTTTTGTGGTATCCTAATGTCACCTGTAAGGGGCAGTGAGGGTTTTCTAAGACAAAAATCACCATTGCATCATGCTGCGGCAGCTTGAAGTGCAAGTCTGTTGTAGAAGACCGTTGTATTCGGTTCGTCCTTCCGCCTGCCTTTTCGCTATGCATCGGTGCCGACATCCATGGATGTTCTAAGATGTGATTAATGATCTAAGCCGCGATGGGCGGCTGTTATTTCTACAATCTTTCCCACTTGCACCCCAACTTTTGTCGAGGATGTGTGTAATGGCTTCAAGGCGTCTGCCAAGATGGGCAATTGTCGTTTCCTATGGTCAAGTCGTTTGCCTCTCTCCTCGTCATAACTTCATTTCGCTCTCGAGGTATCATGCCCTTAGCATGGCACTTGGTCTTTTTCGTGATATCATGTCCACTTCATGGTTCCCTTCATGGTTCCACGTCGTCCTCATAACATCAAATGGCGGCCTTTCTTATATCCTGAGGCTCCGTTGCCTGAACAGCTGGGTGTTTCTCCATCCTTATTCCCCAGACGTTCTTAGACAAAGACGCTGGTTTCTGGAGCCCAGCAGTGATGATCGGGTGTGCTCCTTCACCGGCAGCTCTGTCGATGTACACTCCGGGTTTACACACCCCGACCAGCGATCACCGGTACGAGGCGCCGTGCTGCCAAGGCGACGCTGACCCGATCGAATGGGTGGCAAATGACAACTGGGTTGACTCAGGGTGTCTACCCATTGTGCGAGTACCAGGACAGGTGCCCGCAGTCAGTGAGCTGTAAAGATGGGCGGCGGCTCAGACGACGTGAAAGGATCGGTCAAATTTTCTGCGGTCGTCCCGGGCTCGCATTGCAGCGCCCAGACTGGCCTCAAAATTCAAGCAATGGCTGTCAAACCGAGAAGCCGGAAGCTTAAGGATGCAGCCAATGCCGCCGTTTGTGTCCAAGTGGGTCTTGGTTAACTCCTCGATATCTTCCACTATTGAGCGTTCCCACCAATCCGTCCACTCGGGTTCCCTGCATGGGATCATCGTATCTCGTACGCGCTTTTCAGGGCGGGCTGGAGGCATGTACGGCTCGAAATCCGTTTCATGGTCGATCCTAAAACGCTTGTACTCTTCCGATGAGGACAGGGTTTCCACCCATCCAAACTGCCTGCCAGAGGAGTCAAGCACGAATTTATGCCCCATGGCTGTTGTGAGCACGAGGACTGTGTGTGTTGCTTGCATGTTGAACTGCAACGTCATAGTGTTGCACTCCAGAGTGGTCGCAGCATTCCTAATAAGGAACTGGAGGACGTCGATGGAGGCACAATATTCTGCTATAAATCCACGCAGTTAGTTTGTATTGTCCCCACACTCATCGTAACATTTGAATGGGCATTGAGGATCATGGTCTTAACTTACGGCGGAAAAAAAGCTCCACGAGGGGGCTTCCCCAAGATGTGACGACGCAGCAGGCGGAGTTATGAAGTGCTGCCCGCACCTCTGACCGTCCCAGGTCTACATCTGGCATCATTCCCATGTTTTCCCACCCCCTATCACGATCACCTTCCAGGAGGTTGTGCTTCACAGAAATGATGCCGTCGGACGATCGAACATAGAACCTTTTGCTGTACGTATTGGACACCAGGCACTGATTAAACGTGACCTGGAATAGGCGAGCCAAGCGCGAGAGCGGAATATCCTCGGCGTCCAAACCAGACGCATTCCTCGTCGATGGGAGGTATCTATAGTCTCCGTCGAATCCCACTACCGGGAGCGGGCGCCTGTGGCTCTTCCATGGCTTTGCTACCATGCAGGTTGAGTCTTTTCGACCGAGGACAATCCAGCTGAGGTACCTCAACAGGTTCTGTGTTTCCTCGCAGTATGGGGCCAGATCAGCTGTCCCGCCAGTGACTCCAGTGTCCCACACGAGGTATTGTAGTCCTCGGTACATTTCCGAGCCCGGCATATGATTGTCCATATACTTGTCGTCGATGACTGGAAAAGAGTCGAGATCCAAGGGCTCAATTGCCTTCTCAATGATCTCAACGAGACGTGCCAGTATTGGGTCGCTCTCGCATTGTGAGTTGATCCTGTCCACGCCGTAGAAAGGAGCGAAGGTCCAAAACACGGAGAGGGCGACGTTGTATCTGTTGTTCGCATACTCCAAAGTCGCGTCGTCTCCGAGGTGGAAACGCTCATGTTCCTCTGGCGGGGGGAGTGCTCTAAAGTATACGTCGACGGGGTTGGTCTCGTCGGCGAGGGCGCTGGCCACGGCATTCCTGATCTCATCGCTGACAATGCTATCATCGAGGTCGTTGAACTTGGTGTCCTCCATCCTTTCGTTGTCTGCCGCGGTGTCTTCTGGTTGCTGTCAAATCGCACTGGCTGTAGGGTCCTTGTCAGCCAACGGAGTTAGACGAATACTTCTACGGCGGGAAGAAGACCCCTGAGGGTTATATCATTGTTTGCGATGACTTGCCCGAAAAATGCGAATGTTTTACGGCAGAATTCGTCAAGTTGTGGCTCGTTGCGTCCAAGATTCGCAAGTGGACGGGCGGTTGGGGGAGGGAAGAAATTTGCAAAAGAAGGCAGGCAAGAAGGAAGCAAAAACGCTCATCAAACGGTTTTCTGTTTCCGCCATTGGTCTTCTGGCCACTGCTTAGTCGGCGCGCGAAGAAAGGTTTGTTCGGGTGCGAGGGTCCTTAGCCTACAAAGCGACATCTGAGATGTACACATCCACTTTGCACATGGACGGGGATGTGTGGGCATGCATTGGCCCATGAAAGACCTCTCTAGCAGCCCTCCCAGTTCATGAATGTGTTTTTGCTACTGCCCTACAAATAAAGCTTACTCTGGCCTGTACATGTCTCTTTGTGTGCCTCCTGAAGCACCCTGACTCTAAATGTGGACTTCTCAAGATATGAAGCGCGAAGATGTGATGTCGTTGTAGTCCAGTGCTCTCGAGACTACTTCACAATCACATGAAGCATGACATGTGCAATGACATTCTAAGCGGGTCTTCGCTGGGCATTATCTATGTCTTCATCTATGTCATGTACTAAGCCCGTCAATTGACTCCGTCCTGACTGTTCCGTCTGTTGTTCTCCCCGTCTGTTGTTCTTCCCGTCTCCAGGGCTGTTGTTGTTTCTGTTCCGTCTGTTGTTCTTCCCGTCTGTTGTTCTTTCTGTTCCGTCTGTTCTTCTTTCTGCTCCGTCTGTTTTTCTTCTTCTCTCATCCTTTCCTTTCCCGTACATGGGACGTGAAGCCGTTGTTAAATTTATTTGATGGCGAAGTAGTTTTTCTGTGACTTCTATTGGATTCAAGTCATCCACAGAGAATCAGGGTGTGGGCCAGACAGAATTGGCCATCATACCTTGCCTGTTCTCATTCATCCATCTCTTCTCCCCAATCTGGGAACCCCCACATGGTGTTTCTTCTATGTGGCTGCCCTCGGTCCAAAAATTCCAGTCTTCCCAACCTTCAAATGTTTTCAACAGCAGTCCCGGAACCATGCACCCATGATCTCAGCAAAGGGACCCGGCAACCCTATAGAGCTCAAGCTTGCCCAGCGAAAGCCCCCTTTTCTTCAAGAACAATTGGTCTTTGAAAACAATGGCAAAAGAATCGACATCTGCCTATCCAAATTCCGGCAGTGCCGATCGAAATCCTCCTGCGAACCATCAATGAGGCGGCCAAGATCGCCGTTGGGGATATAATTTCTGACATATCCCAGGATATACTCGGCCGCGCGCCGCCTCCTCCAGTTCCCGGCGGCCGTCTTCCCCTGCGGCTTCGGGGTATCCTTAGTCGGCAGCCGGTCGGGGTCGAGCGGCACGCAGCCATAGGTGCTGTACTTGAAGTCGACGCGGCACCGGGCGTACGTGTCCAGCGGCGCGAAGACGTCCGCCCAGCCGTACTGCGGGGCGCTCGGGTCGAGGACGAACTGGCGGCCCGACCTGGCCGTGAGGACGACGACGGTGTGGAGCGGCCGCATGTTGGACCTGGGCCAGTCGCCTATGATCTGCACGACCGGCGTGTTGACGTTCTTGGGCACAAAGTCCAGGAACTCGATCTCCGCCCCGGAGTCTGCGTTTTACCGGCGAGGAGGGGTTAGCTTTATAGTTAATCGAAGAGCAGTGGACTCTCCAACTCACCGAGGAAGAAATACTCAAAGAGCGCCCTTGCGGAACAGTACATCTCGCGGCAGCAGTAGGCGTGGAGAGCCCCCTGGACTTCGGGAAGGGCGAGGTCCAGGCCGGATGCGATGCCCGCGTAGTCACACTGCGGCAGTTCGTGCTCGGGGCGGTCCATCGTCGCCACGATGATGCCATCTTCCAGCGTCACGGCATGGACGGTCCCCGTTATGCCAAAGGTGGTCAGGATATACTGGTTGAACACGACGCTGAATATACAGGCGCGGCGGTAGAGGCTCTTGGTATCCGGGCACGACCTTAACTCCTCTGTGTGCACCAGGCCGACGGGCAGGCGGCCCAAGTCGAGGTTGGGCACGCCCGTGGCCCCCAGGTCCGCGGGGCGGTCGTCTTTGTCCCAGGGCTTGGTGAAGGTGCACTCCGAGTCCCGTCGACCGTGGGACAGCCAGCTTAGGTAACCCAGGAGCTGGCATGTGCGCTCATTATAAGAATCGTTCCTCTGTGGGATGGCTGTTGACGATACTTCCTGGACGCGCTCGGTGTAGATGGGGCAGGCCTCGTTCTGGCAGTGGATGCCAAGGTTCTCCATGTCCTCCCTGGTGGCGTACGTGAACGCCTCTGTAGTTAAGGGGCTCTGATAGATAGTGTGCTCGGTCGAGCAGCCAGAGCAGATGATGCGACGGGTCGATGACCCTATGAGCATGAGCTCTTTGGTCACGAAGTCCGAGAACAGGTCGTGGTCCTCGGTCTGGCCGTCGCGGGCTGCTCGATCCACGTAAAGGAAGAGCTTGTCCAGGACTGGATCCTTGAATTCTTGGGTCATCTCCGTCCTTCCGTGAGCGGCTATCAGAGCCCTGAAAGATCTGAATGCGTGCTTGCATGCCAGCTTGAAGGGCCAGTCGCTATTCTCGTCCAGGTCATAAAGCTCTCTCTCGAATTCCTCGGGGCTGGGCAGACAGTCGAAGAAGACGTTGACGGGGGTCTTATTTTCTAGTATGGCCTTGCCGACGCCCTTCTTGACCTCCGAATCGCATACATGGTCACTCAGACGGCGTAGCTTCATAAGCACGTTATAAGAGCGGGCGGGATGGTCGAAGTTGTTGGTACGCTGGTCCAGGTAGTGGAGAAAGGGCTCACGCAATTCGACCGAAAGGCTCTCTGCACCCATGTGGAGCCCAGTAAGAAGTTCGTCGTAAATAAGTGCAGCTGTGCCTTCGGCCATCCTCAAGCGGTGGCCGTGCATGGTTGGTCGTGTTGAGTCGCTCATCGGTGATGGGTAACGCTACGAAGGCCTTGGGCCCAACGGCATTAGACGCAAACGTGTAAGGTGAAAATGGCAGTTCTAAGGCCTCAGTATGGTTACGATAGACTCACCTGTCAAGTACGACTGTCCCTACAGAGCGAATTCGAGTAGCCTTGTGTGTTGAGAAGTTGCTTGGATGTGGGTGGCAGTCGAGGAAGGGCAAGGTTTTGCAACTGAGCGGAGCAAGAAGGAAGCCAAACTGTGACTCGGGCCAGTTCCCAGCTTCAAAAAGGGTCCTGTTTGTAGCTCATTGGGCATGGCTTGGTCTGATTCCAACTTGCGAGGATGTTGGTCTGAGAAAAGCGACATGTAGATGTACCTCGCACACTACTCGCGAACGGGGGTCTTTCAGCCCGGAACTGACTTGATAGTCAGTCACCCAGCAAGTGTCTGCAGATAACTTTTTGGATGGCTGTTCGTTCACTGTTGCTTGGCATTAAAAGGCACTTTAGGGGCCAAATGGCTACTTGTGACCTATTTTGAGGAGGATTGCTCTTTGTGTCTTGAAAGACATAGACAGCGGGTATCCGCTATCTCTGGCTGCAGTGGTTTGCTCCATAATTAAAGCTTTGATCAATGTTTTGAAGGTTCCAAACTCAAGCAGAATGCAGTGATCCTAAATTTCTGAATCACTCACACATAGCCCATTCCCCCACCACAGCATAAACTTGAGATTCTAGGCGAGAAACTCCCTGTCGCCATAGCCAATACGGGTGAAATTTCTTTCACCGCGTAGAGCACTCTGAGTTCTGGAATACGAGATATTCACCACGAGGCACGAGGCACGAGGCTACAGCCGTACCACGCAGATGGCTGTCTCTGTTGATTCCTATGACAGCCTCGCCCACACAGCCTGATCAAGCCAATGCAGTGTTGTCGGACGGTAGACCACCTGGGACGAGATGTTGGATTGGACAAGACCCATGGGACGGGAGATCAATTCTGACTGAGACGGAAGCTAGTTACATGAGACAAACGCTTTGTATGACTTCTATAGAATGCAGATCTGGTCTATCTACTCCCCCAAGACTCCATGTTGCCGTTGCCGTCGTCGATACGGAATTGAAACGCAACGGCCATCTATGCTCCACCCCAAAGCGCCCGAACCGAATGCAGAGACCCCGGACATGATGCAAACAAGCATGGGTGAGTGCCTGTCGGTCCAATACGCCAAAAGAATCAGTCGGCTACCTCAGCGGGCCACCCTCTCACACAGACAGACGTCCATGCAGCTAATGAGTGAGGTCAACAACAGGAGTCGCCGCCGCCGAGCCGCCGCCCGCCCCCGCCGCCGACGCAAAGCCCGACCTGAGCAGCTCCAACACCCTGCCGAACCCCTCCGAGTCCTTGAGGCAGAGCGCCTCGGCCTCGTCCCGCACCCACTCGAGCTTACCAATAAGCGTCTCGCCCTCCTCCCCGCCGCCGGCCCTCCTCCGGCCGGTGCGCAGCCTCTCCTCGGGGGTCATGCTCTCGGCGACGCGGACCATGACGTCGGAGATGTGCGAGTCGCCCTGCAGCTCCCTGCGGACCTCGTGGCCGACGGTGTCGCCGGCGAGGATGACGGCGCGCGCGATCTCGCGCAGCGTCTCGAGGGCGTTCTGCTTGGTGCCCAGGGGCGAGTCGGCGCGCGTCATGTCGTCGATGGCGTTGACGCAGTCGCACACGTCGCCGTAGACGTCGCCCGCCAGCGTGTACTGCCTGCTGCCGCTGAGCGAGAGCAGCTGGCGGTCGTTGAGGGCGTGCCAGGCCGACTTGGAGTAGTGGTCGAAGTTGGTGACGGGCCTTGTCATGGTGGTCTGGTGCTGGTGCGACGACAGCGTCGTGGTGGTGTTGGGGACGGCTGCTGCTGCTGTGACAGGCAGGCGTGTGGTGGTGGGCGAGGCCGTGGTGGGCGATGAGGCTGCTGATGCTGCTGCTGCTGCTCTCACTGCCTTTGCCGCGGCGGCCTGCTGCATCATCAGGTGAGAGGTGAGCAGCGGCTGGGGCAGCAGCGGCGGGGGCTGTGGCCTGGCGACCTGGCGGTGGTAGGCGTCCTTGATGGAGCGCTGGATTTCCTGGCTGGAGGCGGCGCTCTGCAGCAGCAGGTCGCGCAGGGCCTTCTCCTCGAGGGCGGCTATCATGGCCGCCAGGCCCGGCGATGGGGCGGTGGGCTGCGGTGGTGGTGGCGGCGACGAGGGCGGCGGGTCATGTTGGCGGGCGGTGGCGTCGGCGACGTCGGCGACAGCTTCAGCATCACTAGCGGCGGCGGCGGCGGCAGCATCCTCGTCTCGGTGGCAGTCGCCACAATCGGGCTGGCCACAGCCTGTACCGTGGCAGCGGTCTCCTGTGCGTCTCCTCTTGCTTCTGGGAGACATAAAGAGTCGTCGCAGGTCGTGGTGGGGTCACAGGGTCTGGCTGGCTAGCTCTCGGTCGAGCAGACTGTGGGCAGCAGGCAGATCGGGTTTGGTTGGTTGGGCGGCCTGGTTTGGAGGACCAGCTAGAGCGGTATGTCGATATGCCATGGCCGTGGCGAGACACGGTTCTGATGTCGTCGAAAATGGACGGGGGTGGCTCGAGCCAACCCGAGTGCAGATTGTGGCTGAGCACTTGGGATCTGCCATCTCCATTTAATTATGGTGTGGCTGGTGAGTGAGGCGATGTGAGGTGATGAGATGGACGGTATCGACGTTTGTTGGGTCCGTTGCTCGGGCCGCTGTGATGCCTTCACTCATGGTTGAGTACCCACTCACTCGATCACACTCACTCACTCACAGTTACTCACTCACGCTCACACACGCTCACTCATCTCACTCACACACTCACTCATACTCACTCACACTCTCACACTCTCACACTCACTCTCCCATGGTTCATACTCTTCGCTCCTGTCTTTCACTCCTGTCTTGGTCGCACCGTGTCACAAAACGGGTCTCATCGCCACTAACTAACAATCCTTGCCACCAGCTAGCTTTTCCTGGGCTGCAGCTTCCGAGGTTGATAAATCCCGAGATGCCACGCTCCGGCCCGTCCCAGATCCCATGTAATCTCCGGGCCGCCACAATCAGTTGACTCGGTCACTCGATCACACGTTGGCTGACTGACGTCCCATCTTGCTGCCACTCCCAGCATTGATTCGACTTGCTCTCGAGTCTGGTGCGCAGACTAGATCACTACTGTGCGATCTGCATAAATCTTACCCCAGTTGCCTTCATCCTATCTAACACCAGAATTAACCTTATTTGACGTGACACGATGCATCTCCCCGCTGTCAGTGCGCTTCTCTCACTCGGACTCTTCAGGCAGGGCAGAGCCAACCAGGACCACGGCCTCAGATAGAAGCTCTTGCACCCTCTGACATACAAATAAGTGCAAGCAGGCCAGCAGCACCCTGGCTGGGGGGTGATGGCCCCTGCCCATGCCCATGCCTGCCAAGACATGGCCTATTTTACTTCCCCCCTGCCCCCTTTGCAGATGCCCTTCATTGTGCACCAGCAACCTTGGCAATTCTGATGGATGGCCGTCGCTCTGAAATCAACGCACCACCGCCGCCGCTGGATCGAATCTAGTTATCATGCCAACAAGCATCCAACACCCGCCCCCCCTCCAGAAAAAGATGAAGAAGAAAAAATCAGCTAGCGGTGGACACTTGCTAGTGGTCCTTCCCGGCCGAATTGCGATACCGAGACTCTTGAGACGGACCGCACAGTTCACTGGCACTGGCATGGAGGGAGAGTTCAGAGGTGGGCTGCTTTGTACACAGGATTAGGACTTAACTGTATAAAGGCGCCGCATACGCTTTATATGTATGGGGGCTTCAAACGAACCCACAAAAGCATAGACATATACTACGGGCAGCATCACCCACAAGCATATGATCACCACCACCGCCGCCTCACAGGCCAACCAGCGACCGCACAGATCCCGCGACAGGCGGGATCGAGGTGAACAGCACGGTGATGGTCCCAAACAGGCTCATGGACAGGCTAGACAGCGCCGCGGCCCTCGGGTCCGTCCGGAGGAGCAGGGCCGTGGCCACCGCCGAGGAGTTGGCGCCCAGCGTCACGCCGCGGGTGACGTAGTCATCTGGACAGAACAAAATCAGTCTTTTGTGCCCAACAAACTGCCCGGGGCACAGGGGGGAGGCCAGTGAGGCAGAATCAGAGGGGTGCCCAGGGGGGCATGATGATAATGATGATAAAGAAAGAGAGGGAAAAGGCTAAAAAAAAGAAAAGACAAAGAAAGAAAAAGAACATAATAAAGATAAAATCAAAAAAAGAGAAAAAGAAAACTCACCCTCCGGAATCCCAAGCCACCCCAACACCCTCCCCCCAACAAGCGCCCCGACGACCCCGCTCATGATAGCAACAGCAGCGACGGTCCTCTCGTCCCCGCCCAGGTTCGCCGTGGCCGGGATAGCAAGCGCGAGCGTGAGGCTGCGGCTCGCAAACGCCAGCGCGCGCGGGGGCGAGATCCCGCCCACGGCGGCGCAGGCGGCCGGGTACGCGTAGAGGCTGGCCGCGCTCAGCACGACGCTGGGGACGGCGATGGCAGCGCCGTGGGAGACCAGCTCGCGGCGGTACTGGTACATGGGCAGGGCGAGGCCGACGATGGACGCGTCCAGCACGGAGGAGAGGATGTCGCCCGCGCCGGGGGGCATCCCCTGCCCCTGACCCCTGGCGCTGGTGGCGTGCCGCCACAGCTGGAGGTACTTGTTCCCCGTGGTGTATCCCTCCAGGACGGGCATGAGTCCCCCGCCGTGGTGCGCCACCGCCGCAAACGCCCATATCCCCAGCACCGTGAGCAGCGCCGACACGATCACCGGGTGGAGGACCTGTCTCCACGCGGGCGGCAGGGCCAGCGCGGCGCGGTACATGAGCACCGTGAAGGCCAGGTGGAGGGGCATCGCGTACCCCGTGGCGTAGTAGACGGGCAGGCCGACGGATATAAGCAGGGCGAGGTAGGTGAGCGTGTCGAGGTGGCGCTGCATCACGGCCGCCCAGAGACGGGCGCGCGGTGGGGCTTGCTGCTGTAAGGGCGCAGGAGGAGGGGGAGGGGGAGGGCTCGCGGGCGGTGTGTTGTTGTTGTTGCTGTTGCTGCCGCCGACGTGCTCGGCCACGGGCTGGATGTGGTTTGGGCCGTGAGCTGGGACCGGCGGGGCCAGCTCGTCCAGGGCGACGGCCGACGTGTGCGTCGAGACGCCTGTGGACATTGTGGAGGGGTTGTCGTCGTCTTGAGGAGGAGCATGAGGAGGAGTAGGTGGCATCCTCGCGAGATCGACCTCATCGTCTCGTGGGCCCAGCTCCTCGGCCCTCGCGGCCTGGGCCTTCTTGTGTGAGCCGGTGAGGAGCTGCAGTCCCCGGGTCATGTAGGCCGTGCCGACGAACATGACGACGAACCCAACAGCTGTGGGTAGGGTTGAGGCCGTGGTCAGCAAGCGAGCTGTGCAGTTATACTCGTGATCTCATGGCTGGTTGACCCACCAAACACCGCAATCATCTTCCCAACCTCAGCAGCACCGATCGGCGGGCTCAGGGGCAGCGTGACAAACGTCGGCGTGAAGAGGATGCTGATCCACCGCAGCGCCCAGCCGGCCTGTTGCAACACATTATCAGCCCACCGTCATGGCCACAGGAGAAGTACCAGTAGTCAGCTGGCTGGCTCTCACTCACAGGAACATCAATAACAGCAACAGCCCGCCGCACGCGATGAGCCCCAACCACAAGCTCGCCAACCCACAAGCCCGCAAACAGCAGCAGCATGCACGCCACCGAGGCCGGGAACGAGACCGACACGCGCCTGAAGAGGGCGTCAACGCCGAAGCACGCGGCAAGAATGGCGAGGATGCCCGCGGGCACGAGGACCCATGACCGGAGGGTCTTGTCGCGTGAGTTCTGGAGTGTCTTCGTTGTAAGAGTGGACTTGTCAGTGATGGGTTCAGGTCAGGGTGTGGGTAAATAATAAAGCAGTTATGAGACAGACAGCGCACGCAAGTGTGGTGATGCATTGGGAGTGAGCGACAAAGGAAGGCGAAAAGGAGTTGTGTGATCGTTTACTTACCAGCTTCGTGGCTGTCACTGCGTCGCTGGCAATGTCAAGCAGCCCCGCCAGGTCTGTTGAGAAGCGACTGAATGAACCAGCCATGATTGCTATATCAATGTCATTGCTGGCTGTGAGGATGCCAGGATGTGGTAGCCGTGCATGATGCAGGTACATGAAGGGTGCAGGATGGCGAGGCACGGCTGTTGTGGAGTGGGCTGCCGCAGCGTGCCGACGATCTCCGGCCGAAGCCCGAGGCGGCTTGCGCGACATCGGAGCCGGTCTGCCACAGCCCAGGGCAGAGCGAGGGTCTCACCATGATGGCCCACAGAGAGAAGCCATCAACCTTTGAACAGCTAGTTACAGGTACAGGTGGGATTGGGTGATGTGGCCTCAAAGAGCACTATCATTGTGATTAACGACTGAAACTGATTAGAAAGAATCTGGGCACGCCCTCCCCCTCTCCTCCTGATTACGACGTGCCCCCATTCAAAGCCCAGGAAAAGCCTGGGTCGATCAACTAAAACAACAAAAACATAAAACCAAACAGAAACTTTTCTTTTCCTTTCCAGTCATGAGGAGGGGTTCAGAGAGCAAGCCATTCATCTCTCCATCGCAAGCTTCCCCGTATTCAATCTTGCGTGATGGAAGCTCCAATATCCAAACCCATCCTCGTCATTCCTTTTCACATGTTCGGTCGTCGGTAAGAGAAGCCTCAAAATCGTGGACCATCTGGAGATTAGTGACCCGCAAGAGGCAATACCAATGCCAAATCAGTCCTGGGGAGGGTGCAAGAGAGCAAACCCTTCATCTCTCCATCACAAACTCCCCAGTATTCAATCTTGCGCGGTGCAAGCTCTCATCTCCAACCCCTCATCGTCGTTCCTTTTCTTAAGCTCGCAGGTCGTCCAGAGAATCGTCAAAATAGCGGCCCATCTAGAGATTAGTGAGCCGCGAAAGGTAGTACCGTAGTACCAATGCCAACCAGCCAGGATGGCATCCATCCAAGCGCAGCCAAACGCCGCAGTCCACCAACGTGAGCACCCACTCAAACACAGACAAAGGCCAGGCGGCGGTGCACCCAACCATCACAAGGCCATCACTCCCTGGTCTCCTCGTCGAGCTTGAAAGCAACCAGGATGCCAAACTTGACATTCACGCGCTTCACCAACGGGGTGTTGTAAAGCTCATTGTCCTTCTTGCCCTTGTAGATGGAGATGACCGTTTGGAGACAGTCGCGCGCCTCCCTGTGGGCCTCAAAGGGCAGCTCGTTGATCCACTGGCCAATCTCCTTGAGGCGGTGAACCGCGGGGAGCTGGACGTACTCAAACTTCCGGTCGTAGAAGTGCACTAGCGGCATCCTGGGGCCCTCCTTGTCCCCGAATGGCCAAGTCTTGATGTTGTAGTCAAACATGCGGGCGTTCCCTAGATGAGCTTGTCAGTGATGTCCAAACACGCCGCGGGTATTTGTTCCAGCTACTGACTTCTGTAGGTGTGGAGCCAATCTGCCGCCTTCCTGCCCGGAATCTCAATCACGTAGTAGAACTCCTCCAGGTTGGCAAAGCAGTCCAAGAAGCAAGCCTGCTCCATGGGGCAGGCCTTGAATCGGTAGCAACCGAGCCTTCCTGGATTGTGGCACCAGCACTGGAAGGGCCCGCGCTTGTCGGCCTTCGCGTGTGTCTTCTTGTAGTGCACTGCCACGCGCTTCAAGTCCATCGTATTGCGGCGGATGGCGTCAATGTCCAAGCGTCCCATGCCGGTGTGCTCAAACCACGAGTTCGGAGGGGCATTCTCGCCACGGTTGAACTCGAGGATGACCAGGTCAGTTGCGGCGTCAATCACGGCACGGTCGAACTCGATGATGGTCAGGTCACTTGCGGCAGCCCCTCTCGCACGCTCTCGAATGCCAGTCGGTGGTGGGGTGATGATGTTCTTTGGCTGACGCATGGACCTTCGAAAGCCCACTTGGAAGCTGAGGTTGGCAAGTTTGGAAAACGCCTCGTGAGACTTTTGGACGTTTTTCTTCAAGGACCGGGGATCAAAGTTCTTTTTCTCCACCTTGAATTTCTCGAGGTCAAGCCCCTCGAGCTTTGGCTTCTCAGCCTTTGGCTTCACAGCCTTTGGCTTGTCACCTCCCGCCTTCGAGGATTTCTTCTTCTTCGCTGCCTCATCGGAGTCATCCATGGGTTGCTTGTACTTGCGGCAGTATAGCAGCGACTTCCAGTAGCGCCATGGTGAATTGTCGCGGGAGCTGATGTCGGCTACGATGTCCATCCTAGTCTTGCCATCCACCTTCTTCTGAATGAACCTGAAAGTGTGGCAAGATGGCTTTCGCACGACCTCGCCCCAGATCATTTGCTGGATCTCGGCCGGGAACTTGGGGAACAGCTCCATCTTTGGCTGTTTGCGCTCCTGGACAGGCTTTTTGACCTTGTTGGGCGAGATGGGGGCCTCCCATCCCGAAGCATTAACCTTCTCCCGGGCTCTCCGGTTCGCCTCGATCCTGGCGATGGTGGGAGGGGCCATGGTGAAGGGGTGAGTTGTGTAGTTGGGGATGTTGGGTGATTGTGTTTGTCCTCAAGCCGCAGCTACAGCTGAGAATGGATGGGATTGAGGTGATGCAATTAGGGACAACCTGGTAAGGAGAAAGGTGGAGTCTCAACCCGAACTGCACTCAAGGCCTGTTCGGGGATGAGAATGTCAGTAGGAAGTGGTCCCAATGTCCGTCTTTGGCGGATCGGGTAGTGGGGTTGGTGGGATGTTGTCGGGATTGAAAGATGATTGTTTGTCACGAACTCTTTGTCTGTTTGAGTACCTGACTGCGGGTGAGGGAACGGGGGAGAAAAGCGTCAGTCACCGAGGGCAGTAAGGTCATGCCGTCGTTGCGAAGATGAGACACTTACGCGACAGGTTGGAGGCTTCTGCGGGCTTCCCAAGCAGGCCTTGGTGATATCTTCTCGAGCCTCGAGCCTCGAGCTGAAGGAGTTCGTGGGGCTCCTGGGGCTCCAATCTGCCGGTTGTCTCAAAGTGACCAGAATCGGGTAAACAAGTCAACTGTGGTGGATGGAGGGGTATGGGCAAGGACTGTCGCGAGGAGTCCGATGCAGTTGACCGAGAAGGGAGGAAGATGCCACCGAGGACTGAAGAAGTATCTGTGAGGGTCTTCCCACCTAGACAGCGTGGCCAAGTTATTCACGCCGTTGCCTGATTGAGAGATTGACGGTCGGCTGGTGCCTGCGTGAAACAGCAGAAGTGGCAGAAGAAGGTGGCAGAAGACGGTGGTAGAAGACGGTGGTAGAAGAAGGTGGTAGAAGAAGGTGGTAGAAGAAGGCGGTAGAAGAGGCGTAGAAAAGGTTGGTTGAACAGGGGCTTGAGCTTCGACCGGAAGGGCTGGCAGAATCAGTTCCCAGTAGCAGCTCCCGTGTGGGAGATGATCGAGCTGCCAGGAAGGCCACGGTCAAGTTGATCTGCCAGTGGGAAACAAATGGAAGGATGGTTGGAAGTTGCGTCGAGGCTAGCTGAGAGCCAAAGTTGGACCTGCTGCACAGATGGCAGCATTGAGATGATGATCAGGGTCTCCTCGGGGCTGGCCAGTATCAACCGCTGTTGAGCACGGTAGGTATGGCTTCGGCTGGCCAGTCTTGTGTCACACCTCGAGTCGCAAAAGGTTAATGTTGGAAAACACGCCGGACCCTGTAGGTCTCAGCCCTTCAGATTTCACGCAGATGCCTGCCAGTTCCAAGAGCCATTCAACGAAGCTCGCAGCAGGTGCGCGAGCGTTCAGAATGCTGCCACTCAGCTCCGGTGACAAGAACAGATCCGATTCACCAGCAGCCGACCATGCCACCTGAACATTGAGAATCTGCACCATTTAGCACGACTCCTCGGTCGCGCTTGAGGTCTGGTGCGTGTCCTCCCGGTATGTCTCTGACAACATGGTACGTTGGGTCTCGACCATGCTCATCCGTTGCAAACAGTTTGGGGCGCCCTGTTGCGTGGGGCAGCCAGCTCGCCCGGAGCAGGCACACAACTGCACGACCACGCTCTGGTATCTGAAACGTTCGTCTCGACCCGCAGGCTTTCATCGTGGTGCAAATTTGATGGTAGCAAGATTGGCTGCTTGGAAAGAACCAATGACTCTTGATAATGGATGGTGAACACGAGCTGGGTTTCCACCGTCTCGAGAATGCGAAGGAGCTCGAGATGGCATACCCAGCCCGTTCAATGCCATTTGCTGTGGAGTCTAGAGTGGTCCGGGTCTCCAGTAATGTCTGCCATTCTTCAAGGCCGACAGCGCACTATTCCACACCCCCTTTAGTCAAGGCGATGATACGCCCGACGGCAGTTCGAGGTCGATCGGTTGCTCAGCGTCATTGACATCATGGCCGATGAAAGGAGGCATAAGCCCCGTCTCGTTTGATGAGACCGTACGTGCCACTATCTCCTGGCAGCCGCTGTTTGGAAACCCGCAAGTGCTGGCTGGCAGTGCGACTAGCGCTCAGTCGCTCTCAAAGTTTGCAGGCCATCTTGGACCTGGGCGATGGGATTCATGGGCGTCTTGCTGACGAGACACTGAGCTCACAATCTCTTGGCGGTGATGTTGCCCGGATGTGGACCGCTGAGGCCATCACAACAGCTGCCGCTGTCTTATTTGTCCAGGCTCGACGACTGGCCTGGTGATGCTCTCAGAAGCAGTCCTTGGAACAGGCTGCCGGATGAAGCAGTTTGTCGAGAAGGTCACCTGTTGCCCTGACGTGTGTGGTGATGATGATGGCGTCTGATGCGATTGAGGTTGGTCTGCCGAGCCGGCTGGCCAGAGGTGACCTCAGGAGGGCATCAGAAAACAAACCAGCTTTGTATGTCGTTCGATCCGGTCGAAGTCAGTCGTCTTGGACTGCGTCCCAGTGGGGCAATCAAGAGGAGGCAGGCAGGGAGAGAGGAGCTGGTGGTGATAGCGTCTGATGCCACTGGGCTTGGTCTGCCGAGCCGGCTAGCCTCTTCGTCAGCCAGTGGTGACCCCAGGAGGGCACGGGGAAACCAACAAGCTTTGTCGTTCGAGCTGCTTGGTCGTCAAAGCTGCTTAGTCGTCACAGCTGCTCAGTCGTCAGTCTCTCGTCTTAAGCTGTCTCCCACTGAGGCAGTCGAGAGAAGGCAGGCCGGGAGGGAGAGAGAAGCTGGTGATGATGGCGTCTGATTCAACTGGGCTTGGTCTGCCGGGCCAGCAGTCTGGCCTCTCCGTTGCCCAACCAATGGTGACCCCATGAGGGACTCACAGAGCAAAACAGCCTTGTTGTCAGAGCTGCTTAGTCGTCAGTCCATCATTTGAACTGCCTCCCAGTGAGGCAGGAGAGAGTAGGCAGGCAGAGAGAGAGAGAGAGAGAGAGAGAGAGAGAGAGAGCCGGCAGTGATGGCCTCTTGTACGACTGGGCTTGGTCTGCCGGGCCAGCAGGCTGGCCTCTTCGTTGCCCAACCAATGGTGACTCCAGGAGGGCCCCAGGAAAATAACCGGCCTTGTTGTTGAGCTGCTTAGTCGTCACAGCTGATGAGTCGTCAGTCCGTCGTCGTCTTAGACTGCCTCCAAGTGAGGCAGTCGAGAGGGCCAGGCGAGGCAGGGAGAGAATCCGGCTGTGTGGCAGCATCTTCGGCACAGCAAGGAGGGCTTACCCAAGACCCAAGGGGTCAAGTGGTGGTGTTGTGCCAAAGACAAAATCTGGTTGGAATTTGATCAAAGGCAGACAGGTCGGGAAGAAGTTTGATGCCGACAGGAAGAGGAAGGGAGGAAATTCCTGACGAGACTGACGAGGGTGACGAGGGGGGCCCCTTTTGGGAAGGCACAACTGAAGTCTTGGCCCGGGTCGGGTCACAAATTCTACACTGCAAAAACCAGCTCACGATGCTGGCTCTCTCCCTTATCCGGTCCCCCTCACCTGCAGTCATGGACCATACGGGCCTGGTCAGCCTTGCCACATATCACGTCGATTTCACCTGAAGCAAACTTCCCAGGCCGGGCCCTCCCTGCTAACAGTACTCTGCTGGCACTGCAGCGAAGTAGCCTCGATGGAGTGTGATGTGCTGGTGCAGACTCACTCAACATGACAAGTCTTCTTCCTGGCCACCACAATATGCATCCTACGCCAAGGCCAACCCAAGCAGCAACTTCTTTGATACTGGGCATCAATCAGGCACGGGTAGAGGCATCATCAATGGAGGAAAATATCTGCTTTCATTGCGCTGATCCATGGTCAATCAATCTTTGGGCAGATGGGAGTCATTAATAGCAGTATCCCACCCCTCCCTCGACCTCAGGAAATTCTCCACCCTATCCTCCCGGGTAAGCAGGGCCTTCTCCCTCCTCCTTCGCCACATCTCCTCGCTGATGTGGACGTCCTTCTTCTCCTGCATCTCAACGAGGTACATGCCATGGTTGCCGGCGCGCGTGGCCTGGCCCCAGCCGCCGAGGACCACAAACACGCAGATGGCCATGACGAACAGCCCGTTGCTCATGTAGCGCGGCTCAGACCTCGTCTGTCCGTTGCGGCGGCCGTTCTGCTCCCAGTGCCAGCGCTCCCAGTCCTCCCAGGTGGCGTTGTGGGCGGCGGTGCCGGCCTGGGCGCGCCACGCGCGGTCGGCCTCGCGGTAGGCGGTGTTGGACATGTCGGAAGCGCCGCCCCAGCCCGCGCCGTACAGGTCGTAGGCGCGGCGCTTGGCCGGGTCTGACAGGATGTCGTTCGCGGCGACGACGAGGCGGTATCGCTCGAGCTTGGCCTTTTGGGTCATGACCCCGCCGCCGAGGCCCGAGGTGTGGGCGTGGCGGTCCGGGTGGTAGAGCTTGACCAGCTGGTAGAAGGTCTTCTTGTTGTAGGGGGTGGACTTGGCCTGGTCGAAGATCTCGTAGGGGGTCGGGTTCTTGGACGTGGGCCAGGTCGGAGGGGCGGCTGCGTCGTCATCGTTGCGGGGGGGTTCGTCTCGGACGGTGGCATAGGACCGTGACGGGCGCCATTGGATCGGTGCACATGATTTTGTCCTGCGCAGGGGCGTGGACGTCGGCGACGACTGTGGTGTTGATGACCGAGTCGGAGTCGAAGTTGAAGTTGAAGACGGGCCAATCGATGACGTTATCGATGCGGCTGCGGGGAGAGCCAGGGCCGAGGAAAGGCAGCCGCTGGAGCACAGGGCGACTGTTGGTTTTCTCAAGAGCATGATGGGCTTGAGGGAGCAAGCAGCCGGCCAGGAAGCATGGTGGCTGGCTGCTCTGCTGTTCTGCTCGCGATGCAGTTATTTGTGGGAGTGACTGAGGCTGTGGTTATGGTTGTGGAAGGTCTGGATAACAACCCGTGCAACCATGTGCAGCCAGCAGCAGCAGCCATGCGCAAGTAATCTGCATCAGACGACGTCGGAGATGGACTGCACTCAAAGAGTTAGCGGCCTGTAGCACGGATTTAGACCCGACCGATCCAGCGCCGGGTTCCAGGTGGACGGCATCAGGGTCCATCATTGGTTGAACCTTGGCAATTGCCCCGCGTCTTCCGGATCGTCCCTTGCACTCTCAGACTCTCGAGTCGAGGGGGGGGGAGAGATGTGCAGACTTGCAAAGTTGAGATGTCGAGGATGAGTTGCCAGTGGTTCAAACTTTGTTGGCCTTGGAAAGAGCTGCAGAGAAATGGATGGCTCGAGTCTGGCCAGCCATGAGGTACGTACCTTTGGTCCCCTAGTGCTGCGAGTCGCTGAACGGAAGGAGGTGAGGGGTCGAGTTGAGACCCTCATGCCCTTCCTTCCCATTGCTGCTCTTCTTCCGGTCACCTGGGCAGCTGGGGTCTGGCTGTCCCTGCTCCTGCCCTGCCCTGCAGTGGCAGACTATGATCGTAAGGGTATCCACCCCGCAGAAGGTCAGGTTGGGCTGCACATGTGGTTGGTAACGCTTTGGGTACGTACCTTACCTGCTCCCCCAATCACCCAATCAAAAAACGATGTCGGTCAGGGGGCCCCTGTCTCACCATCTGGGCCTGGGGGCATCTGGTCTGAATCCTGCTGCTTCTGCTGCTGGGAGCCTGGTAGCCTGCAGCTGGCGTTGAGCCGCTAGGAGCCTAGGCCTGGCAAAATTGGTCTGCTCGTCAACCTCGAACCGTCTCGACTTGCGCTCCGTCCCTTTCACCACCACCGACCTTAGCATCCCACTGTACACAGCACACATTCTTGCCCCCTCCCAAGCCTCAAAAAGGGACAAAAACCACCACGACCACCACCACAAATCAACAAACAACACCACCAGAGACCTCTCCCGGCCTGTTGAGCTGCCCTGAACCACGCGACCTTTCCGCACGCGCACAATTTGTCCACAACACTCCGCCCCCTCTTCCAAACGGAGCTCCCTCTCTCTCTGGCTCCCACATTCGCGACTCGGCTCTTCTCCCCCAAAGCCTCGACGACAACGGCGACCTCGACCAAGACCACCGCTCACCCGACCCTGACTGCGCCCTGAACTGCTGAGCACCATCTACGCAACAGCCAGCCTCTGCTGTCCCACATTTTCTTCCCACCCCGACCTGCCTGAGGCGACGTGGCGCAACCTTCCCCGCCAGCCACCCACCCCCGTTGATTCTTCCCTTTCCTCGTCGACCAGCGAGCCCAGTCCATTGCGACTTCAGCCTGTGAACACGCAAATACTACTACTACCCCCTCTCCTGCGCATAATACCCTCCATCTTGGTGCCTCAGCCAAGATGTCCGAACAATCAAATGTCGTCGACCAATTGACTGAAAAGCTGCGCGCAAGCACCGTCCAGGATGGGGCCGCTTCAGATGACTGGAAGCAGAAGCTGAACCTCCCAGCAAAGGACAACAGACAACAGACCGAGGTGTGTCCCTCCACCGCCATCACCGTGTCGTGTGCCTACAACACGTGCACCTCTGCTTTGCACTGAGCATCTGGCTAACAATCCGTCTTCTACCCGCCCTTCAGGATGTGACCAACACCAAAGGTTTCGAATTCGAAGACTTCAAGCTTTCGCGGGACTTGATGATGGGCATCTTCGAAGCAGGTTTTGACAAGCCCTCACCCATCCAAGAAGAGAGCATCCCCGTCGCCCTCCAAGGCCGTGACATATTAGCCCGAGCAAAGAACGGAACAGGAAAGACCGCCGCCTTCATCATCCCATGCCTCCAGAGGGTCAAGCCCCAGGTCTCCCGCATCCAGTGCCTCATCCTCGTCCCCACCCGAGAGCTCGCCCTGCAGACATCACACGTCTGCAAGACCTTGGGCAAGCACCTCAACATCAACGTCATGGTAACAACCGGTGGCACTGGCCTGCGCGACGACATCCTCCGTCTCAGCGAGCCCGTCCACGTCCTCGTCGGTACCCCCGGCCGAGTAGCAGATCTCGCCAGACAGAACGTCGCCGACCTGAGCGAATGCCCCATGCTCGTTATGGACGAGGCAGACAAGCTTCTCTCGGTCGAGTTCCTCCAGTCTATCGAGGAGATCCTTGGACGCCACCCCAAGGACCGCCAGCTCATGCTCTTCTCCGCCACCTTCCCAATCTCCGTCAAGGACTTTTCCGACAAGCACATGAGCAACCCCTACGAGATCAATCTGATGGACGAGCTCACCCTGCGCGGTATCACGCAGTACTATGCTTTCATCGAGGAGAAGCAGAAGGTCCACTGCCTCAACACCCTCTTCTCCAAGCTGCAGATCAACCAGTCCATCATCTTCTGCAACTCCACCAACCGTGTCGAACTCCTCGCCAAGAAGATCACCGAGCTAGGATACTCTTGCTTCTACAGCCACGCCAAGATGCCCCAGGCCGCCCGAAACCGGGTCTTCCACGACTTCCGCAACGGCGTTTGCCGTAACCTTGTCTGCTCCGATTTGCTCACCCGTGGCATCGACATCCAGGCTGTCAACGTCGTCATCAACTTCGATTTCCCCAAGAACGCTGAGACCTACCTGCACCGCATTGGCCGTTCGGGCCGTTACGGCCATCTTGGCCTCGCCATCAACCTGATCAACTGGGAGGACCGCTTCAACCTCTACAACATCGAGCAGGACTTGGGCATTGACATCCAGCCTATCCCATCGACCATCGACAAGAGCCTCTACGTCTACGACAACCCCGAATCCATCCCTCGTCCCATGAAGCCCGCCCAGCCGCAGCAGCAGCAGCAGCAGGCTCAACAAGCACAGCCCTCGTCTTACCAGCCCCAACCTCAATCCCAGCCTCAGGTCCAGCCCCAGCAGGCACTGGGTCAGAATGACTACCGCCAGAATGGAGGGCATCGCCAGTACCAGGGCAACAACCGTCAAGGTGGTCCTAGGGGCGGGGGCTCCGGCGGCCGGGGCCGCGGAGGCTACCAAGGCCAAGGTCGGGGATTCCAAGGCTACGGCGGCCAGCGTGGCGGCCGTGGTCAAGGTCCCCCAGCACCTGCACCACAGGCATAATTCCTCACCCCATGACCGTCTGTATGTTGGATGCGGGGGTGTCGTCATGTTCCATTTCTCTGTCACCATTCCTCTTTGGAATTTTTGAATCTTTCTCTTCTTCGACTTATGCTCTTTGGTTCTTACAGTCAGATGATATCCTAGACCGGAATCGCGCTTTGAAGGGACCCTTCGACCCTGCTAATTTCTCACTCTCCGCAATCACCTCCTCAAAAGCCCCAGCCTCACACCATGGCGGCGGCACTAACGACGCTTTTCACGATACCAGCATTCATTGGAACGTTGGGGGGTAGTCCTCATCTTGGCCACCATCCCGGCCATATTTGATATTTGGACAGCATTTTGTGTTGCAAGAAAGGACACGGGGGCAGGCCGTGGTGTCTATGCTTCGTGGTAATAGCAATGGGTCCCACAAAATGAAGGGGTTGGTCCTAGATCTCTGATTTTATGCTTCTTTTACGCTTCTTCTCGACGGCGAATCTGGCGTTTTGCGAAACGGAGGCATCATATATAACGGTGTCCGGCGTACCACCACGGTGAGACGGATGGGGGCCGGTTATGGAGTTGGATCGGTGTCCAATTCATGGACGGGCTCGCATGGCCAGGGATAAATGCAAAACGGGGCTAGCAGCTTCTCGTCTCGATGTGCCACTCAACCCGTGGCCTCGAGATCATATGCTGCGCGCCCACAGAAGCGTGTTCATCACGCGAAAACATGGGAGAGGAAGAGGAGGTAGTGCAGCATGGGCTATGGACGCTGTACCGACGTGATTTCACGACTATAACGGCACGAACTCATGAAAAGACCGGGGGGGTGGGTGTTACGATAGTGAGCGACGGTGATGGCACCCAGGTGTTCGGGCTGGGTGCCAGGACAAGAAGGCCCAACGCCTGGCCTTGTGACTGAAGCCTTACGGGGGGGGGGGGTGGATTTACATGTCTCGGCTACGACCATGGCGACCGCGGGACATTGTGTCTCGCCTACATACACAACACGACCCTTTACACTGGCTCACCGAGCCTGTCACCCCCGAGGGCATACATTTTCTCCCAGCGACACGACAACACTGGAACTCATGGTGGCGTCGCGCACCAACTCTGAGAACCACGACACCACACAGCATTTACGACTGCTCACCCTCCTCGCCCCCAAAATGATCCGGTGTGCAATACGACTTACCCTCCTACTCACGCAGGGCCCACGCTTACTCGGCCCAGCTTGTGGCTAAAAAACATCAAGTCGTTGAAGGGGCGGGGGATGCCGCAGTCGTCTGTCAAACTGACAAATCACCACATAAAAACTAACACAAAAAACAATGGAGAGGGGACAAGGGTTTTGGGCAGGAGAAACGGCGAGGACACACTTATGGATGGGGCTCGTGGCATCAAGCGCGCTGGCTGACTGGCTCACTCACCACTCGGCTGCTATGTGTAGCTGCCGGTCCTGAACCACCTGCGCGCATTGTGCGCTGTGGCTGGGCCTGCTGGAGGCTTGATGGGGCCCCTGGTCGTCGATATCTATCTGTTCGTTCTCCTGCCTTGCCGGCCGCATTAGGATAGTGTAAATTGGAAGTCACTATTCTCCCCTCCCTTCCGATTCCTGCTGCTGATTGTTGTTGTTTTGGAATCCTTGTTCCCGTGAGTTGGTAGCATTGAGTGCGTGTGTACTTGAGTGACATTGGCTTGAAATATGTGTGAGCGACACGGCTTATACGCACTTGAGGTTGTTAGCCCGGCCTAAGACACTTGCCATTTCCCTCTCTTTAGTGTTCATTACAACTGCCCGCACCATACGTACTTGTTGTCACTGGCACTGGCACCGTAGGTTGTCCCCATCAACGAACGAACGTTCCACCACATACATGGATCTAACCGTTCCGTTTCGTTTCGTTTATCCCGAGCTCGAGCATGGGTTGGGTTACCTACCCTACTGGTTTCGCTTCTATCCCGTATACGTCCGAGGACATAACATGGCGCGTTCATGTAGTGGTAAGCGCTCAAGACCCAGCGCTTTACCTCCCTACATGCCGGTTCTCCGGCCCCCAGCAATGGTGTATGAGATCCGCGGCCGGCTGGCCCTGTCCTGTGTACATGTCGCGAAGATGGATAGGTGGGTGGATGGGTGCAGGCATGACAGCCCCTTTCCCACTGGGCTTTTTTGTCTTTTGTTTTAATCGCCAACCTACCTCCCGCAGGCGCAGGCCCTCCGTAGGTAAGCAGCGCGGTCACATTGCACCCCTCTACAATGTCCCATTCCTTGTGCCTTCCACATATATCTCACCGCCAAGTCATCCTGTTCTCTTTAGTGTCCCCAAAGACAGCCAAAATCCCCCACGACGATGACGGTCTGGCTTAAGCCATACTGCCAATAGTGCGGCAGCCGCTAGCTGGAGGATGGATATGTGGAGGTCGCTCCGTCTGCTGGCTTGGGAAGGGGGGGAAGGGCCGGATGGTTCCCCGTCGGTCGGGGCTGTCAGCACGTGGGCTTTTGGGGCTTCTACGTGTAGATATCTGGATTAGTTGTTCTGGCTGCTCTGCTTGGGTGTGTGTGTGTGTGTGTGTGTGTGTGTTGGCTTTTTGATTTCCGTTTCGGGACGATGGGTGGGTGCCAGCGTGCTGCCGCTTGCTCAAGTGGGACATCTGGAGTTCTGTTTCGTTACGGGGAAAGACAAGGTACCAGTGGTCGTCGTCCTATCTGCCTGGTCAGGCAGGTACTTAGTACCTACCAAGTAAGTACCCATGGGCCTCGGCAAAGGTTGTGTGTGTCGTGCTTGAATTGACGGTTTTATTCGTGGCATCGGTCCCCCCTTCGGTAACGGACTTGTGATTGGTTAGCCGAATAGATAGCCGAATAGACGTCCAATGACTCCCGGGACAAGACTGCCCGAGAGGGATTTCTATATACCTCGGTTTGCTGATTCTGAGGCCCTCTCTGTGTGGGCTTCTTGAATTCTTACCTCTTCCCCTTCTTTGTGGATAGGATATAGACATCCTGTAGTGTGTGTGCCTTGCTCCTCCGTCCTCCTCCTCCCTCTGCCTTCCTTAAGTTTGTTATGGCCAAAGGGCCAACCAGGAGCCAGCTTTCAGAGGACGAATCGTTGTTTCTGGGACTTTGGTTGCCCCCCACCCCCATGGCAACTATTGCCGAAACCCACAGAGCCCCGGTCCGGTCGGTATCTTGTGCAAGTGCGGGTGGGTTGGGTATGTCGTCCATCGCGTCAAGGCTAGCCCAGTACTACAGGTCTCTGGCTGTATAAAGTATGCACCTCCTGCGCGCCAGCAGCTATCACACCCACAGATGGGGGCGGACGGGCGGGCCCGATACATACATACATACATACATGCCTGCCTGCCTGCCTGCCTGCCTGCCTCCTGATGCCGGCATGCATGCATACATGTATCAAACAAAGATGGATCTTGCCGATTCCCTTTCACCCCAACATGACGTGTCGCATGATGGGTTCGGGTATGTGGTGTCGTCGACCCGCTCTCCCCGGAGTATTAATTGCCTAGATCACGACACACATATTCTCAACTACTAGTGTCCTACATGTACACAACTGAAGCCACTAGCGTCCCCTTCTTTGAGACTCTGGTGTGCCACGTTATACAAGGGAATCCGGATGCACAGCTTGTCAAATATCTCTGGGGCTGACTGTTGTCGCTGGCGGGACATCTGGAAGACACCCCCGCCGGCCCCCACGAGAGATCTGCGTCACCGGGTCAGACGGGTGGGCGAGCTAATCTTCAAGTTGTGTGTGTGTGTGTGTGTGTGTGTGTGTGTGTGTGTGTGTGTGTGTGTGCGTGTGTCTCGGGGACACAGCAGTAGCAGCAGCAGGAAAGCCTCATACCCCGAAGCGTACCTCGGTGAGCGAGCGATCTGCGTGGCTGGTTGGCAGTGGCAGGCAGGCTGGCAGGCTGGCAGGCAGGCGAGGTAACCATCCATGGATCTATCTGCCCACGCTTCGAGATTCCGTGCGACGTGACAGGCAAGTGTGCCTGGACGGAACGAAGAACCGCAGGAAACACACCCTGGACACTGCAGTGCCTTGCCTGCACCGAGGACGGGGCCCTAGAATGTTCGACGGACGAGCTGCGTCTACGTGCGTGCGTGCGCGCATGCGTGCCGGGAGTCAGTGCCGGTGCTCTCCATTTCTTGTTGTTTCCCCTGTCTCTCTCTCTGTCTCTCGCTCTTCTCAGTCTCCCTCTCAAAAGCCTATCTCTCTCCCGGAACTCTTCTTGGCCTTCGCATCCGGATCGCCGTCCTGCCCTTCCGGTGCCCCTCCTGGCCCCCTTTCCCACCCTCTCTCATGCTGTGCGACCGACACGTTCTTGCACGCGACCAGCAAGATATGACACTCACCCAGGTGTTTATGCATAGATGGCTGCAGCAGCCCAGCCCAGCCCGCGGAAAACGGTCCGGGCCAGTCGTGCAACACCGTTAGAACATGATGTGCGGGTTGTTTTCCCTGGCCCACTCCCCCCTCCCCTCCCACCTGCGAGCCGGTTGATCGATGCTACTGTACATGACCCCTGAAAAGGCGGCCTGTCTCGCGGCTGCTGCTTCCGCAGCTGCGATGTCCAATGGATCTTGCCTCGACCGGGCAGTGTCGAAACATGTCTGTCTGTCCCTGATTACATGTGCGCACGCATACTCGCTCCGCCCCCGGCCCGGTGCTAGGAAAACATACCTAGGTATGGCAATTCCATCCCGACTGCACGTTGCCATTGGCAGGTACCTAGGTAGATGGGCTGTCGCACATCCTCCGCCCAGCCCCGGGGAATCGATCCAGGGGAGAGGGCGCGCCACATGGTCCAAAGACATTGCTGGCCCGTCCCGCTGATGATGGCATGCTGCTGCTGCGTCCGTCTAACTACCTGGGTACTTACCCCTGCCCAGCACACAGAGAGGCTCTGGACAGGGGTATGTACACAAATGCCCTTGACATGGGGGAGGGGGACAAAGAACGGGGCTGCGAGAACTATAATTATCGTTGATTATAGGTACGTACCTGCCGGAGGTCAGAAGATGCTGCACCTCATCGACACGATGCCCGGGGCAGTGACGGCAGGGGCCGGATCGTCCTTGTAAGATTGGATAAGTCGTGCGGTGTACACGGCCGCGGTGGCGGATTGATGTCCCATTCGTGAGCTGGCACGCTGGTCGGGCGTCTGGTGCTCTGTAGCCTGTTTCAAGTTGTTTGTCGAGTTGATAGAGCGGTTGAGGCGTTCTCTGGTGGGAGCTGGACTCGCAGGAAGACCGCCATTTGGGGGAGAGGGTGGCCGACTATAAGTACTGCAGATGTAATACATCGCGGTCTCGCCTGCTGCCCTCTTCTCTTGCTTTAGACTCAAGGTCTTAGTGCTCTGTATTCGTGTTAGTAATTATCTTTGATTTTTGGAAGAGTCCCCCCAGGTCGACATCGTGCCCTCTCCCGACTTGTCCCCCCTCAAGGCATTCCGCGATGGCTGAGACCATGACTTGGTCAACACGAGCTGAAGATGGGTCCCACGAGAGGCAAGTCTCTTCTTTAGCTTAGTCCCCGCTACCGACGGCCACGCCTGCACCAAACCCTTACAACCTTGGAACTGTTACCACAAGGCGCCTGCCATTTGCGGCCAGCCTGTGCCAACAGCGAACTCGGCTGAACAGTACTGGTATTTAGCTCTGATGGAGACCGCCCCAGGCCTGGAACCGCGTTGGCCAGTCAGAAGGGGGTAGAACTGCCCCAGGTGCGAGCAGAGTCATACTATCACGACAGTGTGGGATGTGCGATGCAGATATTGGACGCAGAGAGTCGTGCGTCACGTCGGCAGGCGGCGATCAAAGAGTGTCTTCTGCGGGTGGAGCCGAAGGTTTGCAACCAGCCGGGAGCTGCTGGTCAGGTTGACACCCAAGCTGATGTTCACAAGATGTGATTTTGTTTGGTCTCGGCGTACGGTCTGAACATCTGCTAAGATATCTTTCTTGCGTATGGTCTATGCTGGAGTTGCTGTTGGGTTTTGGATCTGAAGCTATAGATAGATATAAACCTACCACCCCGTGTGGACTTGGTAGGAGCTACTTACAGGAATTCATTGTTGTTCAGGCCTGCGAGACGATCCTTAAGGTTGAAATATTAGTATTTGTACCAATTCGCAAGCCCAGCCCGTTAAAACCGGTGGCGCATGTGCAATGCGAGTCCGCTGCAGTCAAATGCTTGTCGGTTTGTGGCATTGCTCCATTCCTCAAAATATTGCACCGCAGCAACTTGGATCGTGACACAGGCAGTAGCTTAAATCACCGGAGAATTTCTAGGGGTGTTAAAGGAAGCCGTTGCCATCATCCTAGCAAACCTTGAAACAAAGCAATACTGTAGGCAGGCCGGAAGATTACCCTGCCCTTCGTAGCTCGGTGGGCGTGGCAAGCCCCCGCCGCAGGGAAATATTTGAGTCTATGTTCTACGGAGGTTGCGGTCACTGAGATTTGACTGAAAAGACCAAAATTCATCACGGGGAGTCCACAGCACTCCAGGAGTCGTAAAATACAGTAAGATGTATAATTCAGGGTCGATCTAGTGACATGCATACTAACTAGTCAGTGGTAGTTCATAAAGTATAGGACATCAGTACGGTCGTTTGCAGAAGCATGACAGCTAGAAATCCACCTGGGTATACTTCTCAAGTTCTCAGCGTATCTCTTCATACTGTATATTGATGTAGCGTCACATGTGTATCCTGAACAGGCAGTATTGGTGGGTGAAGATAAGATGCGGAGACCATGGTGGCGGCGATCTCGGAGTGTGCGCCGGAACGGGATCTCGATAAGATGCGGGCACTTCAACATTAACACCAAGCCCTTCACACACCACCTGATCACCAAACCAGCTTCGTCGCAAAAATTTCTGTGGGTAGTCAGATTAAATCAATACCATCTCGGGATGGCTCTCCGACAGGCAGTCATCGTCGCCGTCGCTGCCGCCGGCGTCTTCGCGCCAAGGTTCGTCGCCTGCGCAGCAGCCACTCCCGGTGTAGAAGAGCAGAAGCCGGTGTTCAACACAGACGCACAAGATGAAGAGTTCGATGCTTACTGGACGGATTCACCGCTTTACAAGCGTGCCCAGGCGCTGATGAAGGAGAGTCCTCTCATCGACACGCATATTGATCTCCCACAGATCATCCGCTCCCTAGGTTGGTATATCCTCTTGACTGCTAACCCGTGATGCGATTTGTAACTAGCGAAACTACTTATCCTAACCCATCGTCAGATCGCAAGCCACTCTCTATACTCCCCGACCTTGCGACTTATACCCCAGGCCACATTGACATTCCCCGCCTCAGGAAAGGCCAGCTCGGCGCAGCCTTTTGGACCGTGTGGGCGCCATGTCCGGATTTCCTGGGTATCGAGGTCGGGGCCGACTACAACATCCCTAATGACGGCCTCCGCGACGCCCTCGAGGTCCTCGATCTCATCAACGAGATGATAGCCGCGCACCCAGACCACTTCCAGCACGCCCGCTCGACGCAGGACATCCGCGACGCCTTCGAGTCGGGCAAGGTCGCCAGCCTCCTCGGGATGGAAGGGACGCACTTCCTCGGCAACTCCCTGTCGACGGTCCGGCTGTTCGCGCAGCTGGGCGTCCGCTACGTCAGCCTCACGCACATGTGCCACAGCGCGTTCGCGAGCTCCTCCGGGTTCGGGCAGGCCATGGGCCCCTCCGGCCACGAGGGGAACGGCCTCTCGGACCTGGGCCGGGAGCTGGTCGCGGAGCTGAACCGCCTGGGCCTGCTCGTCGACCTCTCGCACTCGAGCGACGAGACTGCCAGGCAGGCCATCGAGCTGTCCAGGGCCCCCGTGGTCTGGACGCACTCGGTCGCGCGGGCGCTGCACGACCATCCGCGAAACGTCCCCGATGAACTGCTCCAGCTCATTGGCTCAGGGGAGGGCAAGAATCCCGGCGTCGTGCAATGTGTCTTCTTCCCCGCGTTCGTGGGCCCCACGGTGGAGGCGGCGAATGTCTCGAGGCTCGCGGACCATATTGAGCATGTTGCTGGGATTGTGGGGAGAAAGCATGTTGGGATAGGGTCAGACTTTGACGGCATGTTTGCTTCTGTGAAAGGGCTGGAGGATGCTAGCAAGTATCCCAACTTGGTAAGTGGGAAGGGCTTTGATCTTCGCACATCATGGTACCCTCAGCGGCGAAAACTGACGAACGGCTACCAGATCACTGAAATGCTCATGCGCGGCTGGTCGGATGAAGAAGTTAAGGACCTGATGGGGCGTAACCTCATGCGGGTCATGGACGAGGTGGATGCTGTCTCAGAGCGCCTCAAGTCCGAGAAGGCATCACAAGCGATTTGGGAGAAACGAACAGACTTGCCAGCCCAATGGGGTGGTGACGGCAACATGTTCTACCCATACGAGATCCAAGACATCCAATCAAAAATACCACAGCACGATGAGTTGTAACCCAAAACACTGGCAAGTTAAGGGGGTATCAGTAATACAGCCCGAAGGTTGGAAGAAGCTATCGGACCTGTCTTCGAGGGGACTGACTGGGGTTCCAAGAGTTCAATGAGACGATCAGGGTTGAAAATGCTCTTTGTACTGTTACAGCTTGCACAATATTGCTGTGCCAACGAAGGATAATACAATACCATGCTAAGAAGATTGCGATGCAGAGAAAATACGGGATTTCTCCTTGATTCACAGATTGTTTAAGATTCAAGGCCGATCGGCGGTTCAGGGCACTTAGGGTAGTTTTGGCTGTAGAAGCTGGTTTCATCTGGAATTGCTAGGCCATCATCACATCTGACTTGGTCAGTTATCTCCAAATGGGTGTCTTTTATGGGCTTTTACGTTCAGCCTCTTTTCAAAGTGCTTGAATACTCTGAATTCAGCGTTTAAGGGTATGTGAGGATTCGTTCGACAGGGCCTATGCAGGTTCTATGGGAGTGTGCGACACTAAAGATAGTCTGTGAACCACGAGCGAGCTTCTCGCATCTTATATCCAGAGTACGATAGATTAGGGTGCAGTTATGGGGATGGACGGAGGGTATCTCAAACGTAAACAAAATAGCAAATAGAGCTGTGCGTTGTGGCGCGTAGAGTGGTGCAGATGGCTTGCTGAAATGGGTGTGTGACCGCCCAGCCATTCACATTTATAAATAGCCTCGGTTGCAGACCATGCTGTCATAGCTAAGAGCATCAAAAATCCGAATCCGTGGACTATCTTTGATCATGATGACTGTGGTCCAATTGAGTCAATCGTACCTAGGTACAGATGTCTGCGAAGTCGGTCCTACGTTGCGCTCTTCGAACGTAAATAGATAGCAAAGGCAACATCGTTTCAGGCATCGCCGTTCATAAACCCACATGTATATTTATAAAGCAGGAGCGTTCTATTTGAAGTTTATTGAGGTCATAATCCATAACAATAGAGCAACTCGGCAAACCCGTTATCAGTTTATGTTCGTCTATAAATGACCACATTTGGACGCGCGAATTCTTCGATTTCCTGACTTTATTTCTATCAAATATTCCTGGAATTATCATCATTCATTATTCCATGTGAGCCACATGTACTGTAGCCAACTCATTATCACCAGACCCAGTCGCGTGCTTAACAATATCAACCATTGGCAAAGATTGTGTAGTTATCTAGGTATGAGTGTACTATGGATAGTGTAGAAACGATGCTATAAAGCTTCGAATAAGCTTGTACTATATCTCTAAGGAGCCTGATAAATATCCCTACAAGTGAACCTAAAGCACACGACCTTGGTGAACCCAAGGTCCACAGGTCAAGTACCCAGGTAGTTCGTCTAGGCGGCGGCAAGTCGGGCCTTGTGCATCGTCCTCTTGGCAGTGGCTCCCAAACGGCGGTGCTTGCTGCGCCATTCAGGGGAGTGATCGCGCAAAGCATGACACCGCTTTAACACATGCCAGGCAGGTTGGCCAGTGCTGCTACGCCGCCCGTTGCGAATGGCTCTTGGCACCAGACGCTTTGTCTCGTCTTTAGTACAGTGAGGTCAAGTCGCTCACCGCACCTCCCAAGCGAAAGTGTATGTAGCCAAGCAGGGGCACCGCGGAAGTTCCCCAGCAAAACACGCGTCTTGTTTCAACGTTGAGGAGGCCTCAAGCAATTCGCACTCGGTTGTCACAGCTTTCAAGCTTTGATCGAATATATAAATGTGTTGCACCCCCAGACGACGAGCTCAATGCAATGAACAACTTGAAATATAAACCTCCATATCATTATTCGGCCCAAAAGAAAACGCGCATAGGCTAATTCAATTTTCACAATCAAATCAACCACTAACTCACTGAGCGCAATGGGAGGTCAACGCCCACACGTCGAGATCGCAGCCGTCATCCCTGATGGACAAGGAAAGATCGTCATCGGAAAGAGAAAGGGCAAGACTGGCACAGGTATGATAATACTCAATCTCAAATCTCATACCTTCTATAACTCTCCGGGGTGAATGTTGTGGGAGTGGGAGAACGGCGGTTCTGACAACACACGCCCAATTAGGACTCTATGAGCTCCCAGGTGGCAACCTGGAATTTGGAGAGGACATTTTCTCCAGCATCAAGAGAGAGGTCCTTGAAGAGACTGGCCTCAAGATCGTTCCCAAGAAGATCATCGCGTACACCAACGATATCCAGAAGGCAGAGGAAAAGCATGAAGTGACTCTCTACGTGCTTTCGGAGCGAGAGGACTCGTCTCAGCAGCCTGAGGTGTGCATAACCCACCAGAACACAATTTCGACAAAAGTTGACTACCATGCTGACTTTCTATTTCACGTAGACGAAGGAGCCCCACAAGATTGAAGGTTGGGAGTGGAGGGCCTGGAAGGAGATTGCTGCCTTGGGTGAAGCGGAGCTCTACCTGCCCACACTGAACCTTGTTCGGAGCGAGCCGCAGCTGGATTCTAAGTTTTGAGTCTTTTTCTGGCTCGAGAAGGTCATAGCGCTTACTCATTTGCTTTGATCGTCGGATGATTTGCGAGTGCAACACTTCTGCTTTCTTGTGACACTAGACGCCACACGAAAATACAAATGGGTTCCTTTTCAATGTTTTGCTTTTGAACATAAGGTTTCACGTAGTTGTATTGTCTTCAGTGGCTAAGAAATGCTTGAGAACCGCCACGGCATCACAGATCTCACATCCGTGGCTTCGATGTCTCAATCCCGATATGGACACCACGGCTTCGCCTCTCTGGCTGCCGCAATCCTCACACTTGCATCATGATTGGCCACTCGTAGTCGTGATCCGCCATTGAACTCGCCCCAAATAAGTGAGAGTTTCGCTTCGTCGCCAGTTTTTATGCTGGGCCAATTGGGAGTCCGAGAAGGCGATGGGATCTGCCGTGTGGGGCTGTATAGCCCCCGTACAGACTCGGATGACAGTGGGCTGGGAGAGCGGGAGCACGAAGCTCCTTATATCAGAGACCCACAAGCTTTCGCCTGGTTTAAAAATCGTCGTTGCAATTATATACACACAGGCTAGAGCTAAAGTAGGTGGCATCCCGGAATCCTTCGGCGCAGATGCGATCCTACCCAAGGCAGGGATGCCTCCCAAACCCGCCCCTCACTGGCCCGAGAGGGCTGATTAGCTTATGCTGGTATGTCTTGGTGGGTCGCACTGCATAATCAAAACAATACTGAGAGTCAAGTGACCCTGGTGATCAAGCAGAGGACCATTCACTCAGACAAGGGCACTTAATAGTGCTTACCACCCTAGGCTATTCTAAGCCGGCGCCGTATGTGGTAGACAGGCTACGGCGGGAGAGGCTTCCCAGATGAGCGGGTCGCACCCGTCAGAATACCACCTCGCCATGCCCGAGTCGCCCTAGCAACATCGAATTCAGCCGCCCACGAAAGGCAGAGCTCGGAGGACGCAAGGGTGTCCCGCTGATCGTGAGGATTTCGGCCGGCGCCCACGTTCTAGTTTCCCACGTGTCCCGCCCCGATCTGACGGTACGGCGGCCCCCAACAAACCGATCCTTCTTCGTCCACTTACTAATTTCCTAGGTACGAAATCACGCAGGCCGCGTCACCGACTTCTTGTTCTCGTCGTGAGAACTGCACCCGGTCTTGTCCTGTGATGGGATGCCGACGGGGCACGTACAATGGCATCGCAGGACTCCGCGACACAGCTTTCGCAGAGTACCTTTCTGGTAACACAAACCCCCCTCTCCCCTCCTCCTCCGTCTCGTTATCGGAATTGATGACGAGCAGACTGTGGAAAGACTGACCTGGTGGCCGAGGATGATAGGGCATCACCTGGCTGCTCTTTTCATTATGCGCCGTCGCCCTCGCCGCGCGCATCTACATCCGATGGACCTGTTTCCGAAAATTGCTCGCCGAGGATTGGCTCATGATAGCCACCTTATGCCTAATCATCAGCATCCAGAGCCAAGCGCAGGGCTTTTCCTACGACATCTACCGCCTCATGGGCTGGGTCAATGACCCTAGTACGATTGCCTTCAAGGACCAGCTCGACTTCCTCGGGGACACTGAGTCGATGCTCAAGGGCTGCGGATCCAGCATCATCCTCTTCATCTTCGGATTCTACTGTATCAAGGTCAACTTCCTCTTGTTCTTTTACCGACTAGGACATCGAGTCGAAAAGATTTTCTGGATTTTGTGGTGGATCGTCTTCGTTGTTGTGCTGGCATGCGGCATAGCAAGTATCACCATGGGTGTGCCTACATTCAAGTGCCTGTTTGGTAATATCATTTACACCCTGACAACATGCCAAACCCACGGATATGAGAACACGTTTTTCACGTATTTCAGAGTATCAGTGGCTCTGGACATTTTCACAGATGCACTGAGTGAGTACTCCTCCTCTAACCTTTTATCTCCCAATGTGGGAAGATCGGAGCTACACTGACCATGGTATTTTCCCGCGCACCAGTCATCGGCTTCCCTGTTTGGATCCTTTGGGGAGTGCGTATAAGCATGCGCAAGAAGCTTGCCCTTGGTGCCATCTTCTCTCTGGTTGGGTTCACGATTGTTGCGACGGTGCTCCGGGGGGCTTTGTTGAGCGAGGTATTCACTGATACAACCAGAGGCAAGACTTTCAACATACCGTGGGTGTGGTTCTGGTTTCACATAGAGTTCTGTACTGGTGAGTTCCTCCTTATCAACCCCCAAGGGCACGATGGCACAAGAGTACGATTCCCAGTCAACATTGAGTCACCTGGTGAATAGACTGCGGGCAAGACTAACCGACATAACCCCTCAAAGCCTTCATCGTCGCATGTCTAGTCTCCTTCCGCTCGCTCTTCGTCCACCGCGAGCAGAATTCCGGCGCAGCCCGGCGCGCGGCAGCAGTCCAGCGACGACCTAGTAACTACAACCCATACCCGAGCAGCGGCCGGACGCCGCAGGACAGCGGCAACGCCAGCAGGGGAAACCTGGGGCGGCTCCGCGGGCGAATGAAGCTCTTCCAGGATAGCGTGCTGGACACATGCCGCACGCTGGAGGGCGTCCTCGACGACGGCACGACGCTGGTGGAGATGTCGCAGCGCTCCACCCAGCTGGGACCCGTGGTAGAGGACGAGCCTGTGCCGACGGGTGCGGACGTCCGCCGTCATTCGCCTGATGAGTACGAGGTCGAGAGGGATTCGGGGGAGCGGGAGGGACAGGCCCGGGTCGTCAGCGGTTCCGGCCCAGCTGCCTTTGCCCAAGGCAATGTGCCGCGGCGGTGTGGGACGGTGTCGACTGGGCGGCTGTCGATTGATTCACTATATCAGCAGGAGGAAGCTCGCACCGTGTCACCAGAGACGGTCGAGTCACATCGGGAACGGCGGGGGAGTATTGTGGTCTCTGAGCCGTCCCCGCTGATGCTTAATCCAGTATACCCGAGGTATCCGCCCTGGAGACGCGACTCGCTTGACGAAGAGGAAAGAGGCGAGCCGAAACACGGCCGTGATGCATAATGATAGTATGAACTGCATTGTCAATATCGCGGCATATTAGATGGCTTGTTTATTTTGAGTAGGAGTCAAGCGACTGTACATACATCAAGCACAGGCTTTCTGCACATAGAAACACATCGCTGACAATAATACAAAACATTGTTATATTAGCCGCCTTGCTGGTAGCCGTGACAACATCATCTCTCTCAAGAGTCAATCTCGCTTGCCTACACAATCTCAAGCTAGAACAAGAGGACTTTCCAGACGACGGGTCAACGGCATGGCAAAGCGTTTTGAGAGAGACGCTGCCTTGACTTCCAAGGTTTGGATCGAGAACGGGCTGGATAGCCACTGAACCATACAAAGTCGGGGTTTTTTCCGGTGAAAAAAGGTGGAAGCTATCAGGAATTTGACGAACATCTACTCATCTGGGGCGATATTACACTACTGCACACAGGAAATCCTATTCCTCCGCTGCCGTAATGCATGCAATCTTATCCGTTGACACACATCTGCCCTTTTTCAACGATAATCAACAGCATCGTAGAAAGTCTCTGCCCCGTCCTGGTCACTAATGTCTTCGATTTCCCCAATACCATCTTCGCCAAAGCGACTCTCTTGGCTTGGAGTGGAAGAGCGTTTTATGCAGGTAATGCAGCAGTCGTCCATCGTCCACTCATCCCACCACATCATCCACTGACTCCCTCGTCGCAAGCATCCACAGTCACTCTGGGCGTTCTTGGTCATGAGACGACTAACAGCATTTACCCAAAGCTTAATTCGCTCATGAGACCCATCCTCTCTGAAAGTGCGCTGAGACTCAAGAAACAGACCAGCACCCCAATTCGTTTCCCGAATCCCGATGATCAGCTCCGTGAATGCGAGCACATCAGCGATGCCCCACGCCGGATTGTTGTCCAGCGTATTGCGGAGGATGTTGAGAGGTGATGCGCACATGGTCGCACTGCTGGATCGGTCCGGGTCGACGCCCAAGAAATGGCCGAGCAGCGATGTCAGTTTGGAGGGGATCCTCCCGTGAGGGTGTTGAGCGAGGACGTGCAACATGTTGACGTCTTCGACACCGTTATTGATGGTTATTAATGTGCCCCTGCTATGCACCTTCGAGCCGAACTCAAGCAACACCGGGGTCATCCGGGCGTCCAAGGCAGCTGCCATCAATAATGGCGTGCTGCCCCCTGTGCCTTTTGCGTCAGCCAAAGACTCAAAGGAGCCGCTGAAGAGGTCTGAAAGGAAACAATACGAGGATTGTAGGTACAATGACATGTAATTTGCAGATGACCATTCATAGTGTTCTCACAAAGACGCGGAGGAATAAACATACATTTATTTCGGAGTTCCAGATCTGCGTTGGCCCTTACCATCTCCTTGACAAATGCCCTTCTCGTAGCGAAGTCCACTCTCCAGAATCGACTCTCGTACTCCATAGCTAACTGCAATGGAGAAGTCAAGCTAGTGTCGAGAGCGTTTACATCCGCACCGTGGGAGACGAGCAGACGCACGAACCTCGGCAAAGGCGGAGAGTGGTGGAGCGCCGTCCTGCGGCGGTAATCTCGGCGGTTAGCGTCTGCTCCTCGATCAAGGAGAATCTCAGAGATCTCATATAACTGTAAACCACAAGATACATGGAGTGGTGTCTCGCGAGTCTGACTGTTTGGTTGGTTGGCGTCTGCGCCGTAGTCGAGCAGAATTTTTAGGGCTCCGAGGTTCCTGAGCATTACCGCTAGATGGAGAGGTGCGTTCCCAAGCCCATCTGGTTTGTTAATAGCATCTGGCCGCTGCAGTATGGCTTTGTGGATATCCGCCCCATCTTTGTCTCGTATCGCGTCGTGGATGGGAGTCGACAATGCTGGTGGTGATGGTTCGGCTTTCATCATTCGAGAGACATCGGCTTGGAAGTCCGTTGGAAGCTTGGCACCGAGGGTACCGTATTGAAATACCCAGTCAAGGACGCACCTATGAGAAATACGTTAGTCCTAACTTCCTGCGTGGGAGCGGTCAACTTCAGGCTTGAGTGTTCGCTCTGTCATTACCTTCCCGAACCGAGATCTTTCAAACCAGCATCAAAACCAAGATTGAATAGTTTGTGCCAGATGGCCGGGTGACCATGTCTCATGGCATACTATTATTTTAAGAACTTCAGCATGCCGATTAGTGCGAAAGAGACACTGGGGCTGACTTGCCGTGAGTATCGTTTCTCCAGAGAGGCTATCCACGTCCGTCGGACGCAAGACTCCGGTGACCAGCTTTTGCTGTATCCAAGTAATATTCCCAACAATTAGGGCTATGTTTATGCCACAATCGAATTCGAATACCCGCGGCACTCGCAGGTGCAGTGAGGCGCCGGGCCCGGCGAGGCCGCAATCCCAGGTGACAGAGGCCATGATTGCGCGCGAGAGTAGCCAACGTGGTAGGTAGAATTGGAAGGAAATTGAGTCACTGTCTCGGGACACGCAAGAAGGCTGATCACAAGGCGGTCGCGGCGCTAAGATTCTGGTGTTGTATTGAAGGAGTATCTGCCCCAGGACAGGCCGCAGCCACACTGGAGCGTGGGTGCTATATTTGTCGTGGCAATGGCAGTGGCAGAAGGGCGGACAATGACGAAGTAGTTCCACACCGACAGAGATGATCGGTACTCCCCACGAGACGTTTGCGGGATCAATTGAGAACAGCTCGGAGTTTCCATCCTCTGGGAGGAGCATGGATTCATGCGTCGAGAGCTGCTGAAGCGCCTGTCCCATACTAGTAATGCCGTTGTCTCCAACACGAGCACAATTCGGGTGGGTCTGTAGATCCAGCTCATCATTTGTCATTCTTTCAGGCTGTCGCGGCTGATTCTTGGTCCTGGTCTTGATGTCACTGGTCTCCACGGACTTTCCAGCCAGGCCAGAAAGTGCGACGTTCCGCAGTTCCATGAGCAGTTGAGTTTGATCATGTCTGTCGAAGAAATCCTTAGTGTTCATTTATAAAATGTCCCCCGGATGAGAGTAATGGCTCACCCATAAGAAGTGCTGCTCATAGCAAACCACTGGCAAACTCCTAAGTCCTGACGGACCTGTCGAGATCTGTCACAGAGCTTTGCGATACTCCCCTTGGATCGTAACCACTTTCTCTTCGAGATCCCATAGCCTTCTTCTTGATTAGAGTGGTTGCTGCTATGGATGATACCCTTGACGAGATTGTCTAAGCCTGTGACGATGTTCTCGACCTCTTCAACCAGTAGCTTCAAGCTTCCGATATCCTCAGAGCTGCGATTGTCGAAAGTGTCGTTCCCGTGCGCTAATGTTCGACGTGATCGTTCTAGGAAAGCATGTAGAAGAGAAAGTTCATTCAACAAGGACAAAAAGTCATCAGAAGAGCTGCGAAGGGACAGAAATGCCTTGATTCCAAGTTGGAGTGTTCCAGCGCATTGCCCAAGGGCGATTGTGCTGGCTGCAATAGAGAGTGGATCCATCACAGAGTATCCTCAAGTATTGCAGTTAGTGCGTTGTGGTAATTCTGTTTTGGCTCTTGAAATTCGTCGATCATGCCCATGCAACCCGGCTTAGAGTTGAACGAAATCTATGGAAACATCGAATGTTTCGTGGTCCGCGCATTATGGAAGGCCAGTTCAGAATTTATATCTGTGGTTTCCATCGATGACACTGGAAAAACCGAAGACCTATGTTTAGCAGTCTCAGCCCCCAGTTGCCAAACTATTTACTTGCACCAGCTGATGCTGTTCTAAACCCGGGATGCTGTGCATAATAGGCGCTTGTAAAACCGAGCTTTGCTGTAACCCCGGGATAAAGAGACGTGATTCGCGATTATGAAGGTAACATAGCATATCCGGAGTAGGCTTTCAAGAGTCCCTCCTACCTTGCAATTGATCGGAATTCTTTGGGGGCCATGATATCTCACTGATGGTGTACGATCGGGCTTTGCCTATGGACCGGTGGAGAATCCATGCGCGTTTATTGGAAGACTGCACCATCCTTCATGCTCCTGTCACTAAACAGACACACGGCTGCAACGTCGTTGTGTACCCCCCCAGGCCGCATTAAATCGGTTACAGGGATCGTTGAGGGCTGTGGGAATCAAAAGTGCTTATATTCCTTCACCGATTTGATGATACGACGCCGCCATGCAATCCTCCATTACCACCACAACGCTGGGAATATATTGGTATGGGTGTCACACCATACCCTGAATATGAGTTTGCCATCAGCCCAGTTGCTAGATATACCGCTGGGAATGTCCAAACTAAAAAATGGCATTTCTGGTTCCTCGAGCGGCACACCTGATCCGATAGCAGAGATTAAGTTCGTGTCAGGTGTCTGATGCTTAGAGCGACACCACTGCCAGCTCAGCAGAGTACGGTATGACAAGCAGCGAGCCTGCTTTGCAAGCCTGGGCTCGCTTGCATCCTTTTCAATTCTTAGTGACCTTCTCAAGCTTAGAACAGGAATCCAAGGATGCCTGTGCAACCGTGCTCCTGCCAAAGTTTGATGGTGCGTTGCTGCGCACGGCTGCAGAAGCTGTTTAACTTTGTTTAACGTGATGAATTGGCATGAGTGGTTTCGTTTCTAATATCATAGGTGGTTTCATGGTTTGGTTTTTAATCCCCATACATATTAGTATACAACTATGCGGCGCCTGCTTAGAGTCAGTCACCCTTTAAACGTCACGCTGGGCACCACATTAGGGGTTTTCTCCATGTAAGTTCCGCAATCACAGTGTTTAGACCTTTCTTTAAATCTCTTGTTAAGTTCCCGGTGTACATTGATGGAAATAGTACTGGCAAGGCGCAGCGGAAGGACTCTTGTAATAATGGGTATCGCAAGTTCATCGATTCTTGCTGCACATCTTCTTAAAATCGCCAGCCAGCCATGCTGCTATAAGCTATTTAATCAGCTTAGTGGCCATTGCATGAGAAAGCCTCATCCGTTTCGTGCGAGGACGGATACACGTACCCTGGCGGACCCATTCTCCCACCCCGGACGTTGACCTGGGAACCCCAACAGAGGGGACAAAGCTGAAGGGCTAACAAACAAGGGTGATAACATCTATCACAAGACTAACAGCGGGTTTATGGTCACGGAAGAGTCCAAGCCAGTCAAGCCGTCCGAGGCCGAATCAGTGGAGCGATCCATTTACTGCGGAGCGGGCTCATGGCACAACACGCAAACGGCGATGGAATCAGCTTGGCAGGAGGCTGTCTGTGAGAAGATTTACGCTGCAGACCATGAAACCCAGTTATCTCATCAGAGGGAAAGGGACAAGCTTGCTTGTAAATATAGTGTCGACATTGGTATTATGCTATAACCTTTGTTTTGGCCTGCGCACTTGTAGCCCGAGTACAAAGCTAACAGAACAAATCCGAGTCCTGGTAACTCCCCTCCATGAAGCCAGCAAAGCCTCCGTTGAGCGAAGACAAGAAACCCTCCGCCTCCCACCCGAGCGCGGCAAAGTCGATATTAGCCGCTTCCATCGCTAGCGGAGCCTGGGCGTACTCCCCGTTCTGGCCGTCTCGAGCAGCGGCTATCTGTGTTTGTCCGTTCACAGCCAATCTTGACTGGGCAGGATCATCAGATCCGGGTTGATCTGTTGATGGGTTAGGAACAAGAAGGAGTCGAATGGATATTGAGTACCCCGGAATTGTGGGAGGGGGGTTCGTGATGATGCGTAATTACCTAGCAAGTTCAGACACTGCTGCAGCGTGGCCACAAATTTGGCACACTTGTCAACCATGCTGTTTTCCTTGTCTATGAGTGGCAGACAGACCAGGGCATCCTCGAAGACATCTTTCAGGGCCTGGTTTGGTATGCCCCCGGTTTCGCTCGGCGCAGTAGGAATAGGGCTGCTGGCGTGATTGCACAAAATTATTGTGACAATTGTCAGTGTGGCATTCAAAGCTACGCAGGTGTCAGTGGATTGATGGTTGAGGACCTAGGTACTGGAACATCACGGGATGCGCAGTGTCTTACTGTAGTATAGCGTAAACCACCATGCGCCGAGAAGGCCACACTTGGGTTGCGGGGAATGGGTGATGGTCTTGACGATCCCGATCAGTTCTGATGCCACCTGGAAAGACACGCATTTACTTCTCTCGCCGACTTGCATGAGCATCGACTCATTGGAATCGTAAGCCCGGCCTTTCTCGATACCAGCGAGGTACAAGTCTAATATCCGGCGGTGGGCGAGGAGGAGGATGTTGTGCTGTCTGAGGGTGAGAATGACTCTGAAGCGCCGTGCCAAGCTAAAGTCATCGTCGTTGCGTACTTCCGTGGGGTTGGTCAGAGATAGGAGGGGTGGGAGAGAGGTTTGCCATTCTAGAAGCTGATGTTCAATCTGGAGAATCCGGGACGCTATGGATATGGCACTGTTGTCTGGGTATGCTATGTTGCAATCGTAGAGTCGTTCTATGATGGTCCACATGACCTTATACAATGTCCTACGTGAGCGTGGTTTCATTATCAGATATTGAGTTCAGTTTCAGAAGGTCTCTCAGCACTCACACAGTAGACACGAAGAACTGGATGCTCATAGTATCATCCAGAGACGGCTCCGAGTCCGGCAGAATGCTTGTTCCGCTATGTGGCTTTGGTAGTGGGGTGCGTATGTATGACTCTGGGATCGCAGGAGGCCGGCCAAATGTCATGCTCAAGGTTCGGTCTAGCATGACGCAAGCAAACCATGTACGGGACCGAGTCTCCCTCTCGTGTGCCGAGTAGGCCTTCAGCGAGGTCGGGGAGTGCAGACCCAGTTGGAAGGCTGCCTTGACAGCAATGCCGTGCATGTTCCAGGTCATGACGGAGCGGTGAGTGCCTTGGAGATACTGGCTCATGAGCAGCATGGCTTGGACTGTCTCCAGGCTAGAGCCACTCAGCATCTGGTCGAGGCACAGGGACTTGGCCCGCGTGAAGAACACCTCTGCCTTTGTACCTCTCTCTGTTGCTGTTGAGCTCCAGCTTCCAATGGTGAAAATAGACATGGTCAGGATGGAGTTGAGTAGGGCTAGCCACGAGCGCCTAGATCGTTTGAAGCCGATGCTCTTGGTGCGATTGTATGTTTCCATGAAAGTCCCAGGGTGTACAAACGGGTATAATGCACCAGTGTCTCTGAAAAAGCGTTCGACTAGGGCATCCATTTCTTCGTACGGGGGGAGAGCCAGACAGTCATCCCTAGCCTGTGTACTGTTTGAGTAGCTATGATGCTCCTCAGAAGCTGGCTTGGTTTCGTCTCTGCTCGGTGTCTGTGGACGAGATACATCAAGTGACGGCCGTTGAGAGTGTCCCAACCTGTGGGAACGCTGTCCCAAGCTCCGAGACAGCTGTGTGGACAGGGCCCGTCGAATGTTGCGGGTGAATGCGATATTGGAAGACGGCCCTAGGACGAGTTAGCCAGGGCAAGTCCTCGGTAAAATGGAAAATAAGTAAGGCCTGAGTACCATAGTAGCCGGAGTCATCCTCCTTGGTGAATTCAATGGATCCAATCCCGTCAGTAGCATCGGGGGTGGCGACTGATCCCTCAGAATCTGCCTCGGGTACAATAGGAATGCTATGGCCTCCTTCACTTGGTCTTCTTCCCACGTTGGTGGAAGCCGAAGCGCTACCAGCGTCACCCTGCTGGCTCTTCAGTAAGCGTACGTCGCTCTCCAGCTGAGACAAGCGGGACTCGACGAGCTGGAGAAACCTGGGCGTCTCCAATCAGCCTCGGATGGAAGTCACACAAAGACCTGTGACAGAAGATACACTCACGCTCTGGGGACTGGCGTGGTCGTCGCGATGGGCGGAGCGAGGTACACACATTCAATGTCAAGGGCCTGGCAGCTGGAGCATTTCGGCCGAGAGCCGTCACACTGCGGCCGAGAGACACGTTAGCACTACTTCGGGGAGAAAGGGGTTGGGCTCTGCTCTCTTTCTCCTTCTCTCTTCTCTGTCTCTCTATAACACTCCTCCCTTCCCAAGCTTGATACATATTGATTATATGCATCAAAGGCTCCGCGTGATACTTTTCTTACCCTGGACTTCTTGTTCCTGCAGGCACCACACGCCACCGGAATCCTGCGACGCTTCTTCGGCCGTGGTTGAGCAGACGACCCGTCAGCCGACCCACAAGAGTCGTATTCCGCACCGGGCCTGCCCTCGTCGTCATCCGGGAGGGATACCCGGATAGAACTTGCCATGGTCTGATGTGTGGTCTGCGGATCTATTGCAGGGGCCTTCCCAAACTCGCGTATCCGGGGAGGATGGACGAAGGTTTGATAGAAAGGGAAAATGCTTTGCTCGTGGAGACCTCTTTCGGAGCGACAGGCTTTATCTCCCCGCACCGCCGCATGTCTCTCCCTTGGCGCTGTCAGCTCCCAACACGGACCAGGGTCAAGGCGGCCGGATAAGCCTCCCTAAGTCCGGCCTGCGCAGTTGAACCTTAATATATTCACAACCCAGTGCGCTGGGTACGCAGCCATAGGGGCAAACTTAAGTCCTTCTTCATCATTGGTATTCTTTCCTCCGAAACGGATATTAGGGAACGAAATCTCATTGCCAACAACAAGATGGGGAATGTTTAGTTGAGTAACTAATAACGCCCACGACAAACGACTTACAGACGACCAGATGGCGACAGCAACATCAGCAACCGAGACCTCAACGGCGGACGCAACCAAGACTCTCCTGAACGGAGCAGCACACAGGCCCACACAAAACCACTCTGGCTCCAGATGACCCGCCTCAACCAGCCCAAGCCAGACCCCCAGTGCACACCACAGGTCTACCCCAGCCTCCTCGAGGCGTGCGACCTGGTCCCCGAGATGCAGGCACAGCGGCGCGTGCTGATTCTTTCCAACCCATCCCGCGACCCGCTCTTCACGAAAGACACGCTCTATGCAGGGCTGGCATGCTCATATTATGCCCACCGCAGTGTGCAAGACCTTTGGTCCGTATCAATCCAGGAAAAGCAACCCCGGTCGTACAGAAGACGGCGTCATCTATCACGTGGTAGAAGGCTGGGGGTTTATTACCACCATCTGCGGCAAGAAGGTCACTTAAGAGAGAGGCGACACTTTCTGCATCCCCTCTTGGTATCCGTATCAGCGTTTTGCGGATGACGGCCTGACTAGTCGGTCGTGTATCTGTGCCGCTTTGATGACAAACCTATGCTCAACTCGCTCGGGGTTTCATCGGATGGCATGGATATTGAGTCACTTCAAATGCTGTGTCGACATGGGCCTGGCCTGGCTGGGGGCCGGAAAGTGGAGCTCGTGCTTGTCGGATAACATTTTTATGCTTTTGTGAAGCGCCAGAACGGGCGCGCTGTTTCTTGCTCTACCCAGGTTCGGAATCTATGATCTGAATTTTATCATACGCAAATGCCGAGCAAACACTGATAGGACCCCAGCGTGTGTGTTCTTAGGTCTTCCTGTATGCGATTGAAGTCAAGGGCCGTCTCCGTCCGGCGCTGTGACGCTCGCCCGTCCGAGCGAGCTTCCAGCTGCGCTATAGTGGCTGAGGGCTCATCATCGTGAAGTAACGTTATTTCGGCGGCGGCCGGCGCCTAGCCTTCCTGTACTAGGTTGTATCTCCGTCTCACTGGGCAGTAGGTACCCTCGCCTGCCGCACATCGTCATCGCCATCCCCTCGGACCAGCCATCCCATCAAACAAGGCCTTCAATAGTGTGCCCCCAGTCAGGCCGGCCAGCATCAACGCGCAGGCGGCCACGTCCTTGTGCACGCGGTACCGCCCGCCCCATGAGGTGACGATGACGGCGGTGATGTACTGCGTGAGGATGAAGAGGAACCACTTGACCGCCTCGTTGGCGGCGCCGGAGCCAAAGTCCCGGAACGGCGAGTAGTGGAGCAGGTAGTAGAAGGGGACCGCGCCGTAGAGCGCGAAGTGGAAGACCATGAACGGGGTGGTGTAGAACTTGGAGAAGATGTCCTCGTTGAAGACGGGATGCCGCGGGTTCTTGGCCCTGGTTGTCGTCGACGTTGCGGCTGCCGGCATCGGTGATGCTGATGCGGTGGCTGTAGGTGAGGCTGTCGTCTTCGTCGGTGATGCAGCTCTCCTGTCAGCCGGTGATCTGGCGCTCTTAGATGGGACGGGGGATCGCCGTGCGCTGGCAGCGGCCGAGGAGATGGTGTCTACTGCCAACGCCATGGGCGCGGGGATGAGGGGGAAGACCGTGTCACTTCGGGAGGCCATAGTTCGCGAGAGTGCAGGACATGCCAGTGTTTTGATCAAGGAGTGGCAGAGGAATCAATTGGGATGGAGTGTAGCTAGCCGTGGAAAGATAACAACTGGTTCTGTCAGCTGACGGGACCGGGGCCTGGTGGTGATGACGAGAGCTCGAGCTGAGGGAGGAGAGAGGTCGGGGAGAATGTGGTTGTTAAGGTGGCGAGCTCCTCCCGCGCCAGGATTAGAAAAGCTGGGGTACAGATTGTTTTATCCAGGGTCTAAACCCAAAGGCCCGGGTCTGACCGTCTGCCTAGGGAGCAGAAGAGGGGCCAGGAAAAGTGAAGGGAAGGGGGCGACTCTGGGCCCGTGTCCCGTGGCACTTCCGTCAGAGTGAGTGCTCAGCCAAGCCTTTCGAAGGAGCCCGTTTTGGGAGGCGCAGTTTCCTGCAGGGGTAGCAGAGACGGTTGGACGGACGGAACATGCAGTGGCAGTGTGGCACATGGACCATATGGTGGACAGAGGAAAGCAAGAGTCTAAGACCCCCCCTCCCCCTTGGTGTCTTGGGGTGTCCGTGTAACATCTGTCAACTGGCATTATTCCGATAGGGCCAGGCCAAGTCTGTGCTGAAGGTTCGGGTCTGCAGAAACCATGTCAGGCCCTTCGAAACACGTGCGAACAAGGCCTTTGAGGGACAGCCAGCTAGCAGCTGTTGCTTGTCCTCTCAGCTTTTTCCTAGCGTCCACCGTCTGATGCGGTCATAGAGAAGGCGCCCTGTGTTAGTCGTGTAATTACAAGTGTTTGCGTCACAAACGCGTGCCTGCACGGGTGTTATTCACCGTACTACCACCTGTCCGTCAGCTGTTTCTGGGCAGTTCTGATTCGACGTTTCCCCCGTCCCATGCTGCTTCTCCCTCTCTTCTCAGGTTCCGCACAACTTAATGCACGGGTCATGCCCGCAGGCCCGCCGCGCTTGTCTCCTTGGAAGGGGCGCTGTTGTCTGGAAGTAGCCGCAAGCGGGCTTGCTGCCTCCAGAATAGCCGGTGATCTTGCTTGGCGCCAAGGGGCCCATATTAGTCGAGATTCGAGAACCAGTCGACCCAGTGTGACGGGCTGACGGGCTGACGGTATGGTGCGCGACAGGGGCAACTTTCTAAAAACCCTAAAATCCCTTAGGACTATACCTATTTAATTAGATACCTTAACTTATTTAATAAAATATATATATATATATAATTTAAATATATTATAGAGTTATTAATAAGTTTATAGAGAAATTAATTAATTAAAGTATTAGGATTATTAGTAAGCTTTACTTACTGTTTTTATTAAATAGTTATAACTACTTACTATTTTCTTTCCTTTCTTTTTTTTAATAATTATTAAAATAATATATCTATAATTACTCTATCTATTTTATTTAATTTATATAACTATCTTTAATTAATTTAGTTTATTTAAAAGTATATAAATATATATTTTTATTAAAATTAATATTAGTTTTATAATTTTAACTTTTAATATATTATATTATTTTATTTAATTATAATACTATTTTTATAGACTTTTTAAATATTTAAATTAATTAATATTTTTATAGATCTTTATAGATTTATATAGTATTATTTAAAGCTATATAGCTCTATATAATAATAAAGAGAATTTATAAGTATTATAATAAAGGCTTTAATTTATAGGTTATTAAGGTACTATATTTTAAGGTATTTACCCTTAATTCTAAGTATATAACTATAGATACTATCTACCTAAAAGGTATAGCTATAAATACCTTAACTTAAAAGTATAACTATAAATATTATTTAACTTAAATATATAAATATAGATATTATTTAATTAAAGAGTATAGATATAAATACTACTAACTTAAGTATATAGATATAAATATTATTATTAATAATAAAATTAACTTAATTAAAAGTAATAAATTAAATAATATTAATAATTTAAATAAAATAATTAATTATAATTATAAATAATTATTTAATAATAATAAAATTATATTAATTATAATTAATAATTAATAAAGTCTTTTAAAGTTAAATAAAACTAAATAATCTATAATAACCTCTTTAATATTAATTACTTTTATTAATATTAAATAAATTTAAAGAATATTTATAATTAAAAATATAAAGATATTTATCTTTTTATAATATTAAATAATATTAATATAACTAATATAAACTATAAAGTTACTCCTATTATTTAAATAAAGTTCTTTAATAATATTTTAATAATATTAATTATATAATTTAAAGTAATATAATTATATAATTTATATATAACCTTATATATATTTTTATTAATATTAATTAATATAATTATAAATAATTTAATATTTTTAAATATTATTTATATTAATAAGTTTAAAGATAATTAATACTATAAGTTTAACTTTATTTATTAATAATAATTTTAAATATTATTATATATATCTTTATATTAATATTTACTATTATATAGATTTAATATAAAACCTATAATAAATCTAATTAACTATTTATAATCTACCTTTTAACCTTAATTATTTTAAAGGTATATATATTAATTATTAAGTAAAATTAAATATTAAAACTATAATTATAAAAGTATATAATTATATAGCTTTTATAGTAATTTAAGATTATATATTAATATATATATAGATAATAAACCTTTAATTAAAGATAATATATAGTTAATTAAGGACTTTAATAATTTTAATAATAACTTTTTAATAATAAATTTTATTTAATTTTTAATAAATATATATAAAAATTTAATTATTCTTTAAGTTTATAATTAAATATATAAGGTATAATTAGGTATTTATATCTTTAAATAAATCTTTTATAGTAAAACTTACTATAATACTTACTATATATCTATTTTTTAACCTATAATATTAAATATTAATATATTATTTTTTAATTTTTATTATTATATACCTATTTATATATTTAATTATAATTCTTATTAATATAAAATAATAATTTATAATAATAGTTAAATAGCTTATATTAATATTAAGATTTTTAAAACTTTATATAAAAGATTAATATTATTTTAATTTAATATTATTTATATACTAATAATTAAAATTAATTTTATAATAAATAAAATATTTCTAATTTAAATAAAAGTTTTATCCTTTAATTAAAAGTAATTATACTTAACTATTATTAAGGTTTCTTTATATAGATATAAATAAAGTTATTAATATTTTTAAGTTATTTTTATAATACCTATTAGTTAATTTAAATAGTTTATAAATCTTTATAAAGATATATATATATAGATAGTATAATTAAAATCTAATAAAGTTAGATAGGTTTAGAGAGATATAGTAGGGTTAATAAGAGTTTTATTATATATCTTTTATAATAGTTTTAAATTATTAAATATTTATAATAATAAATAATAATACCTAACTATATATAACTATATATAATTATATATAGTTATATATAGTTATATATAAATATATAGAAATATATAAAAGTATATATAGTTATATATAGATATATATAATTATATATAATTATATATAAGTATAAAATAATAATAATAATAATTTAATAATAATATTTTAATAATATTTATTTAATTATTTATTTATTATTTATTTATTATTTATTTATTATTTATTTATTATTTATTTATTATTTATTTATTATTTATTTATTATTTATTTATTATTTATTTATTATTTATTTATTATTTATTTATTATTTATTATTTATTTAAAATATATATTAAATATATTAAATAGATTATTAAGTAAATTAATATATATATATAATTAATTAATTTTATATATATTAATATATACTTACTTCACTTTATCCCTATTTCTACCCCCTCTTTTCTCCTTCTCTCTCTTTTATCCTTCTCTTTCTCTATCCTCTTATTATATATATTATTTATTATAATACTATAATTATTAATTAACTTTAATTTATATTACTTATAGATTATAAATTAAATTTAAAATAAAATATTTATATTTTTAATACTCTTTTAGTTTAAATAACTTTATAATATTTATATATAAAAGTTTATATTATATATTTATTTTAAAAGTATTTAATTAAACTTTTATAAAGTTAAACTATTAACTCTTTTAATTTATAATAATAAGTTATAATACTTTATTTTAAATTAAAATTATTAAATTTTAAATAGTTTAATTCTTTATTATAAAAAATTAGTTTATTATATTATATAGTATTAAATAAATTTAAAAGAAATTAAATATTATTTATTAATATAATTTAAAAGAAGTTAAATAATAGTATAATTATTTATAATAGTTTTTAAAATAAATAATATAAAAGAACCTTATAGTTAGTATTAAAAAATATACTTTATATATACCTTTAATAATATTTAGTTAATATTTTATAAAGTATTTTTAATAATATTTATTTATTATTTTATTTAAATAATTTAAATATTATTATTTAAAGGTATATAAATATTAAGGTAGTTAAATATATTTTAGTTTAAACTTTATATAGTTAATTAATAAATATATAAAATTATTTATATATAAATTTAATATTATATTAAAATTAATATATATTTAAGATTTATTATATAATTTTATTATAATATTTTAGTTATTATAATTTAAATTATATTTATATAATATATTAAAATAGTTAAATAATATAAGTATATTTTTATTAATATATATAGATTATAATAGGGAAATTAGTTTTATTATTAATATATATTTCTATTTATTATAAATTTTAACCTTATATAAAACTTTAATATTTATATATTATTTTATAATTATAATATTATTAATTAATTATATTTAATAATTATTAGCTTTTATTTTAATTTATTTAATTATTATTAACTATTAATTAAATAATATTATTTAATAATTTATAATTAAATCTATTTTTATAAGTATTAATTATATAAGAAAAGTATATATAATATTAAAATTAAATATTAATAAGAAATTTATATAAAAATATATTAAATTCTAGTTAATATATATAAATTTAATATAT